CTTGGGTCTCCGCTCTTGCCTGTCACACTCCCAGAAACACTATATCCTTTCCCATAAGGACCTTTCATCCCCATCACGTGCTCACAAGAACATATCATCCCTTTGAGTCTTGGCTATCTCACTCCTCCAGCAAATTTCTGATGGTGTCACAGAACCAAGTTGGCTACAGCTTTTAGAAGGTGATTTCCCAAAGGTCAAAAATTTTCTGAAGTCCAAAAGCCAGGCTTGATTTCCTTCTCACTATTGTTATAAAACTATCTAATATTTTAAAACGAAGTCTAAAAATAAAAGGATTGTCAAAAGGTCTCAACCATCCACCAAATCTCATCAGTGTGACTTCTTTCTTTCTCAGTTTGACTTCCCGAGTTGCAGCAACCTCTTGAATTTCCCCTTTTGGGATTCTACAAAAGGTCGCCATGTCAACGGAAAGATCTGCTGGCATATTCTGCTGGCAGCCTGGAGGAGTTCTCTGAGATTAGGAGCAAACCGTTACCCTCAGAAGGCTTCCTCCTGGAAGCTGGTCCACATTTTGCATGCTGGGTGCTGTTCTGGTCCTCATATTTCTGGTTCTCACAGCTCAGAAATGATCCACTTTAAGGGGAAAGGTTCAAAGAAGGGCAAAGATTATCAAAGGTCTGGGAAAACGGAATAAACAGGAACACTGTCACCCCAATAGCAGTGACTAGGGTGGGATATGATAGAGGTCTACAATATCTTCACTGCCCAGGACTGAGTGGCTAGGATCAGCACTTCAGCATCTTTGTGGAAAAAAAGAATGGAGGGCATCAAATTAATTAGTTGGAACCAGGTTCAAAATAAGATAGGTCTTATTCAAGAACTTGTAAATCCATGGAGCTGCTTTTCAGGGGCTCAGAGAGGGATAGGAAAATGATAGTTTAGAATTTATTAAAGAGAAATCGTGGAGACAGGAACATCTCCCAAGGTAAAAATTACCAGCACCATAAAGAGCACCAGAAGGGATGCATCATTAGTTTACCTTGTTCTTGGTCTTCTCTGTACAGCTGCTTGTAACCACTCTTGAGGCAAGATTTGGGCAAGAACAGTCAGACCATCAACAAAATTCACCTGCCTGCCTTCAGCATCCAGCTCATCTCTCACTTCCCTCTTGTCCTGACATAAGTTAATGTCACTGAATTCTGCAGGTGACTCCTGGATGGAGCAGCAGGCAACTCACCACTCCTTGTTCCTTGTCATTTTTGCCACAATGTTCTTGGAACAGTCTTTTCCAACTCAGGATAGCCATTTCCACCCCAGGTACACCAGCATATAGATATTTATAAAATAAGTATTCTATTTATTAATTTATTTTTTAATATATATATTTGATACCTACAGTGTATATCCTATATCCAGGTGTCACTTTGAGGAGGGTTCAGACAGAGTGAAGACAGCCATGTGCACACCACAGTAGTGCTGCCATAGGTACAAGCAGATCTGAAAGATTTTCTTGGATCTGAAAGATTTTTCAGGCAGAAAAGAAAATGTTGAGGCATCACAATTACTGTAAACTCAAGAAATGAGGCAAGATGTGCAGACAGGTTTGGAAGAACAGGTTAAAATGCAATGCTTCTGGAAACTGATTCTGTGACTAAGCAGCTCACAAACCCGGGTGGCAGGAGAAGTGCTAGACTGGTGGATACCTTTGGGAGTTTTGAGTTCCTGGCTCTGTTATAACAGCCACACCTCTTGCCCTGCCCAGGCCTCTTCCCCATGGTTACAGACAGCACTTTTCCTTTGATTTGCTCTTTATTGGTTTTTCTCCACTGCAGCACCTGCTGAGCAATGACAAGAAGGATACCAGTGAGTTAGAAACTTGTGAACCATCTGACTCGGTACTGAAGTGGGGCTTAAAAGTCATGCTTTAAACAACACATCACATAGAATATGCCATAAAATTCAGCAACTTCCCCACAATGAAGCCAGGACTTTGAGCTGCATTCAGATTAGCTAAGTTACTGGCACTGAACTGTAGAACTATAGAATCATGTAAGTTGGAAAAGACCTCTCAGATCATCAAGTCCAACCACTAACCCAACACTGCCAACTCCACAATTAAACCATGTCCTCAAGTGCCAAATCTACACATTTTTTTAAAACCTCCAGGGATGGTTACTCCACCCCTTTCCTGGACAGCCTGTTCCAGTGCTTGACAACCCTTTAGGTTAAGAAATATTTTCTTAGTATCCAATCTAAACCTTCCCTGGGGAAGCCTGAAGCCATTTCCTTTTATCCTATTGCTTGTTACCTGGGAGAAGAGACTGGTCCCCACCTTGCTACAGTGTCCTTTTCTGTGGTTGTAGAGACCCATAAGGTCCCTCCCAAGCCTCCTTTTCTCCAGGTTAAACACCTCCAGCTCCTTAGGCCACTCCTCATTGGACCAGTGCTCCAGACCCTTCCTCAGCTCCATTGCCCTTCCCTGGACATGCTCCAGCACCTCAATGTCCTTCTTGTACTGAGCCTCTTTCTTGTACTGAACCCAGGATTTGAGGTGAGGCCTCACCAGTGCTGAGTACAGGGGGATGGTCACTGCCCTGGTCCACCTGGCTGACACAGGCCAGGTGCCATTGGCCTTCTTGGCCACCTGGCCACACTCTGGCTCATGTTCAGCCACTGTCGACCAGCACACCCAGGTCCTTTTCCACTGGGCTGTTTTCCAGCCACTCTGTCCCAGGCCTGGAGCACTGCAGGAGTTTGTTGTGACCCAAGTGCAGGACCTGGCACTTGGCCCTGCTGAACCTCACACAATAGGCCTCAGCCCATCGATCCAGCTTGTCCAGACACCTCTTCAAAGCCTTCCTACATTCCCACCTACCTTGGTGTCATCTGTGAACTGACTGAGGGTGCACTTGATCTACTTGTCCAGATCATCAGTAAAGATATTAAAAAGGACTGGGCCCAGTACTGATCCCCAGAGGATCCACTGATGACCAGCTGCCAGCTGGATACAGCACCATTCACCACTACTTTCTGGGCCTGGCCATCCAGCAAACAGTGCACCCGCCCAAGCTATGGGCAGCCAGTTCCTCCAGGAGGATGCTGTGGTAGACAGTGTAAAAGACTTTGCTGAAGTCGAGGTAGACAACCACCATGGCCTTTCCCTCATCCACCAAGCAGGTCACCTTGTCACAGAAGGAGATCAGGTCAGTCAAGCAGGACCTGCCTTTCATAAAGCCCTGCTGCCTGGGCCTGATCCCCTGTTTGTCCTGCACATGCTGCGTGTTAGCACTCAGTATGCTCTGCTCCATGATCTTCCATGGCACTGAGCTCAGGCTGCCAGGCTTGGAGTTCCCTGGATCCTTCTTCCGGCCCTACTTGTAGATGGGCATCATGTTTGCCAGCCTCCAATCAGCTGGGACCTCCCCAGTGAGCCAGGGGAAATGGTAAATGATGGAAAGTGGCTTGTTGAGCAATTCCACCACTCCCTCAGTGCCCTTGGGTGGATCCCACCTGGCCCCATAGACCTGTGGGTCTCTAAGTGAGTGGTGCAGTAGGTCATTGACCATTTCCCCTTGGATCATGGAGGCTTCATTATGCACCCTGTCCCTGTTGTCCAGCTCACAGGCCTGGGTACCCCGAGAACAACTGGTCTTGCTATTACAGACTGAGGCAAAGGTGGCATTAAGTACTTCAGCCTTTTCCTCCTCCACTGTCACTATTCTTCCCACCACATCCAACAAAGGATGGAGATTGTCCTTAGCCCTCATTTTGTTGCTGAGGTATTTATAGAAACAGTTTTTGTTGTCTTTTATGGCAGTACACAGGTTAAGTTCTAGTTGGGCTTTGGCCCTTTCAGTGTTCTCCCTGCATAATCCCACAACATCCTTGTAGTCCTCCTAAGTTGCTGCTTCTTCCACAGGTCATAAACTCTCCTTTCTTTCCCAAGTTCCAGACAAAGCTCCCTGTTCAGCCACACCAGTCTTCTTCCCCATCGGCTCATCTTTTGGCCCATGGTGATGCCCTGCTCCTGTGCCTTTAAGATTTACTTCTTGAAGAATATCCAGCCTCCCTGGATTCCTTTGCCCTCCAGGACTGCCTCCCAAGGGACTCTGTTGCTGAGCATGTGTTACCCAAGGAAAAAATGGCATCTCAGATCACAGAAATTCGGAGAGCCATGTTATCATGAAATACGAGTCTCTGATTTATTTGACCTTGTCTGCTGGAAATTGGCAGGATCCCCAAAAAGTGAGGAGAGGGAGTAGTTTCCTTGACATCAAGAAGGCTTATTCTTTCATCTCTTGTCAATACAATCTACAAAGTATTAATGATCATATGAGGCTGAAAGTTATGAATCAAGTTAGTTACATAATTATTTTTCTTCCCATTTTATCTGTAAAATATCCGACTGCCTGTCTGAGTCTTTCCACTCAGCACCTTCATGAGACTATGCTAGTACAAAGGAATGTGACTTAAAGGCCAGACAGGAGAAAAAAAAAGGAACTAAGCTATTCTCTATGCTTTTCTGTGATGTCCTAGTGTGTTATCAGAAGCCACGGACTTCGGGGAAAGATGTCCTAGACAGAGGCACCATGGAGGAGGGGGGAATTTGCTGGGTATCTACAGCACCAAAAAAATCTATGTGCTAAGCCAGATTTACGAAGATGTTGTTGTGATTCTTCTGTACATGGTTTAGCAAAACAAATTACAGTTATATTTCCACAGATGACTCCAAATGCTGCTAAAAGAGTTTATTAAAGACCATACTAACAGTTCTCATAACAATGGCACGTACAATGATTCAAAATCATGACAAATAGCGTGGAGTTTTGAAGAGCATTAGTATAACACACCATGGACAAGAACAAAGCAGATGTGCTGTCTCAGAACTCTACCAGCAGGCCTATGAAATACAGGAGTCACATCATACAGCTGTACAAGTATCAGAGAAAATAGAAAGGAAAAAAAAAGGTCATTCAATTGCAGTCCTTGAATTTATTGACAGTATTACAGTACTTTATGGGCAAGGACTGGCTTGTTCCAGCTGCACTTTCCAGAGCACAAGGGCAGCTGGAAAAGCAAAAATATCCCCAATAAAAACCCTCCAACAAACATACCTCAGGTGCAATCACCATTCCAGACCTTCCTGCTTACGAATTTTCAGTCAGAAATTCTGACCTCCCTGCAATTACTTCGCTCAGGACAGTGTTTTGTTTTGCAAGAAAACAAAAGCAGGATGCTTCTTTAAGACAGTGCAAAAATATTTCAATGGTATCATCAATGGTATCGTAAGATTAATGACAATCAGCGTGGATCAATCACAGCATCTTCAAGATCAGAACCAAACACACGTGCTGCCCCTTGACCAGCACTCCAGACTGAGGGCTTGCAGAGGGGAGGTTTCTTCCTCTCTCCCAGGCAAGCCATCGTTTCTAGGTTCATAGTGAGGAATGGTCTTAAGCTACTCCAGGGTAACAAAATGCTACAGAAAGCCTGCAAGTATGAAATTATCCAATCCTCTGTCAAAAACTAACAAAAGAATATTGAAGTGGAAAAAAAGTACATAGCAGCCATGTAATTTGTCACGGCTCTAACTCTACGACTCTAACGCTGATCCCTTCCTTACCGCGTTGGTCACGGCAGCCGGAGCGTGCCTAGCGGAGCTGAGCGGCTTTACAGCACCCCCACGGCGGCACGGGATTCCCGGCAGCACGTGGGGATTTACACTCTCCGAGACACACTGTCTAATTACAATGGCAGGGCAGCTGCAGCCTGCTCCTGGTGTGTTGCCTTCGCAGCTTTTGGCTATGAGATCTTAGGCCCCTCTGCACTTGTCTCCCATGCTCAGAGCAGCACACCCGTGGACATACATTCATCCAGTGTGCATCTCCAGAGCGATCTGCCACTTCCTTTTTAAGCAGATGTTGAGGTGTCTGCATATCATGTTGGCATAACCTGTGACAGAAGATCCCCGGGCAGCTCCACAGTACATGAATTCAATGAGAGATAACTGTGCTTTGTCAAGCCCCCAAATCATCTCCTCCCAATTTCCACACAGTTGCGTGTTCGCATCGTAGTGTGATTATGTAGAACCTTTTTAATGCCTGCCAACTTCAGAGGATAAAATCACAGTGCTGCATATCAACAAAACCCAGCAACTCCAGCCTCCAATATAAAATAATTTATATACACAAAGCAGAATTTGCATCTTAAATAAGAGATTGTCTCATTCTCTATGGTGTCTTACCCAGCTACTAAAAAATAAATAATTCACATCAGATTGATGGATTTGTTTCCTATATAGCACACGTGCGCTATCGGAGCTGACAAAGACAACATGAAAAAAAACCTTTTGCAATTAATAAAAGAGAATTGTTGAACACTTGCACATATTGGCACAAGGCAGAAGAGAAAAGGGAATATTACACAGCTCAGGTGCCTTCCTCTGTGGAGCGGGATTCAGATTTCAACTTTACAAATTCTCTGGCAACTTCATCATTGGTTCTCTGAGACAGAATCCTCAAGATTGTAAGTCCAGTCTCATCCATGTGAATCCTGCGCCCAAGGGGGCACCAGCAAGCACAGCTTCCTTTGTCTGCTATGTCTCTGAGCTGCATCACTGCTATCCCCAGTACCCGGTCCTCCCGAGCGAAGCAGTAATCCTTCACACAGACTTGGAGCTCATAGGCATCGGGGCCATCTTCATTCCCCAGGATGCTGAAAAACACACACAAATTACAGTTTCTAAAGTGTATAAATTCCTCTGCAAAATAAAGGTGTCAGCAGCAGACTAGAGTGCTCTGATAAGCCACAGAAACTCATTTCTTCAGAAAACCCTGGTCAGAGAGGGAGAAGTAAAACTTATAGCATGTGGGCATTTTTGCTGATTTATAGCAGATAAGACAACCTGGTTACTTAAAAAAAAAAGAACCACAACAACCCTTATCAAGTTGCCTTTGCAACTTGGGGGGGTGTGTGTATATTAAACTGTGAAATGAGAGGAGCATGGAACATTAAAGCCATGCTAATAGATTTTCAACTCAGAAGACTTTAAACATTTCTGCTTCTCTTAAGGGTTGCTTCATTTCAGAATTACTATTTTAATTAGATGAGGTCTTTGTTAAAGATTCAAAACCTTCCATTAAAGCAAAAGCTAATAAAAATAAATCCCCAATCCTTCTGATGTTGCTAAAATTAAAAGAATAAAAGGAACAAAACCTCTTCACTTAGAGGAAGCCTGACTTTTCCCACAGAATAGAAAAATTATATGAACATTCCCTCTTCCCCAGAGATTCACAGTCTTTTGCTGGTCAGCTCTGCTCCACTCATTTTTACATGTACAGCTGAGTGAGCACTAGCCTGCAGCTCCCTTTGTTGAGCCTTCAAAGAAGGAATATGTCTTTGTAATAATGAAAGAAAGCCAAATCAGAAGAGATCAATACTCGACATTGAGAAACACTGCAATTTTAGCAGTGCAACCACCAGTTCCAAGGGCTGTATCCTTGGAAACAAGTTCAGAAAGCATGTCCCACAGGTCAAGTAGGGATAAAAATGCACATTGAGGTTAAGAGAACGAAAAACATGCAATGAACTTTTAGCCTCAACTCTACCAATAAAAGATACAAAGTTCATTAAAATGACAGAGTAAAATACGTTCATAGGACACACAGTGCATTTCAGAAGGTAGCTAAAGGACTCTCCTGGTACAGAACAGATCTCAGCATCCCACCTGCAGCAAAAATTCCCATGATCTAGTGTTTCCTGCCAAGGAACCAGGCATGGGGCCAAGCTACTGGTTCACACACTCTTCTGGGCCCTGAGCAGGCTGTTTGTGGACACTGAAAACCCCTATCTGCCCTCTGCATCTGCACTTGCCACACCAGATCCCTAGGCTATTTTTCACACTTACAAGTGAAAGGTTTCATTGTATTTTGGAGCCCAGTTGTTGCTCTTTGACTTGGTTGTGAACTTCCTCTTCTTGTCACTCTGATGGGGCCCAATCATGGTGATTTCAACAAATGGACGGAACATGCCAGACGTCTGCCACTTCAGGTCGTTGGCTGCCACAACTGGAAAGGAGAGTTATCATCTGTTCCCATTGCTCAGGACACCTTTCCACCCCACCCTGCTTTTAATTTCTTGCTTCAGGGGGCAATGTCACAACATGCATGGGCAGTGTATATATTTTGTACTACAAAGATGTATATGCTTTTTGGATCTAATTTAAAGTCTGTGAAGGGAATTTAATGTTTGGGACATACAGCTTCTGCTGTATGCATTGTCAAAAAATTAGCCCAAGAAAACAGGCATCCCTGCAGCTCTGGGCAGGCTGCCTTGACAGTTCAGTGTTTACATCTACCTTATGGGTGGGATAACAAAAAAAAAGGGGATTTTGGAGGCCAATACTAAGGTCTCTGTGGAAAAGGAAAATGAGACTTCACGTAAGACAAACAAACAACATGAGCTGTGAGTGGTTCCAGAATCCACAATTATTAGCTTTTTAATTCTCTTTCTCTCTCAGGTCACTGCAGGGAACAGACTGAAGCAGAGGAAATAGCTCTGAAAATCAGCTTTTGCACTGCAGTGTAGATTTAGCCAAAAGAGAGGCCTGAAGAACTCTTCATGTAAATCTGTAGAGGAAATTAAAGTATTTAAGTATGCTGTATTCAAGAAAAGGAGACGAAGGAGGAAGAGGAAGCCTGGGATGAATCACTACTTTGTCTATTTTCAGAGTCGCTCTTCAGGGACCAATGTGGCCTTCAGGATGGGGGAGAGGAGCCTCTGAACTCTTACTGGTTCTGTGATCTCTGGCTGTACACTGAACAGTTTCGTAACATCACCCTATCACGCTGCCCCGTTCTCTGCAGCACAGACTAAACTGTGGCGCCTGGTGAGAGCCATCATCTGATTTTTGTTTACTGCTTATATCGTTGCCAATAAACAACAGGGCTGTACATTGCCATGTCACTGGCTGGACAAGCTCATTTGCTGTTTCTCTACATGTTCCTGATGTGAAACAGAGAAAAACAACTGTGGACTCAGATCCCATGAGCTAACACTATCATGGCTGCCAACTGGAGATTTGCCTCGATGCAGTCACAGAGCCTGAGCAGTAACACGTTTTGCCATACCTTTCACCGTGACCTTGTGTTCACCAGTCCCTGGGTGCGTGTACAGGTCGATCTGTATGGACACTTCACCCACAGGATCATCCACACCGGAGCCTGTTGGAAGAAAATGGAGACACCCCCCGTGCACACATGGATTACTGTTTATTGGCACCAGTCTTGGCCTCAGCAAGACAACACGGTGTTTTCACAGTGCACCTTCCATAGCCAGCTTTTCAGTCAACACCAATAATGTCACGTTAATGCAAGATATCATCAGGCTTGCATGCCCCACACGCATGAACGCTAACATTTCTTGCACTCCACCATGAAGATCACATCCTATTGAGAATAACAGTAAGAATTTCAAAAGAATTTAAAAGACCTAATGCTCAACAATGGACCTTCACAGAGAGCAAGGATTTTTCAGAGGTTCCTGCCAAGGTATTGTGTGTACATGCAGGCATTCCAGTGGTGGGCATCGGCATTCCTGTCTGCTCAGGGAAGAAGGGAGGACAAAAACCCCAGCAACAAAAAGAAAAGAGGAAGAGAGGACATCGCACAAGAGAGAAAGTTTAGGGGGAAAAAATACATAGATGCTAGTGATTTGCACAGAGCTATAGTGCAGTCTCACCCTCCAAGAACCTTTTTCCATGCTGTACATCATTTAAAAGTTGTCATCCTGATTGCCCATCTGCTTCCTTTTGGAGGATAATGAGAACCCCTTCTCTGTTGTATACCAAAAATGATGAGAGAGAAGTACTCACAATTTGCATACTTGTTCCCTTTTATCAATTAGTCAGGGACAAAACAAGATGTAGCTTCAGAGAGGAAAAGATAGCATGTTGTAACAGAGACAGAAGATCTCATGAACCTTACCATTCATGTATTATGATTTTTTCATCTTTTTAACTTTTCATCATGATTATTATGGAATATGTGGAAATGACATTTTTCTGGGTAGTAAAATCAAGGTGTCATGTAATTACAGAATAAGACTGCTTAGCAAATGAAAATGAAGTATTTGATAAGATAGTGAGATTGATTTTACTTTTGCTTTGATAAGTGCCTGACCTCAGGTTGAGAATTAGCAATGCTGTTGTAATTGAGATACATACAGGCTAATTGAGTAGCTATGAATAGCAGTGTTACTTTGTCAGTTTTGAGGCTAAGACACATTACTAAGTGAAAAACTGGTCTGTTTGAAATTCTAGATAAGGAATCAAACATTTTGATTAGATCTAACAAATCAACTTACACAAGAATGGTCTGCAGGCAGCAAAACCACTCATTTATAATCTAAGAGGTTGAGAGGTAATCTGTGCAATTCTCTGAAGAGAATTACATGCCATAAAACTGTAGGCAGTGAAAGTCATATTAATATAAAAGTATCTGAGTAACCAAAAGAGAACCTCAAACCTTAGGGTAGATTCTAATGCTTGACCTCAGTACAATAAACAATCTTTAGGCTGTAAAAAACATGATCTTGAATGTACTGTTTCCTCCCCACTTAGAAGGGCAGTGCCACTTTTTTGTATATGAGCACAGAGCTTTAGAATTGGTAGGTTTAATTATTGACCTGACTCATCTGATAGTGTGGGTCTGTCACTTACAGATGTTGGTGTTTTCCATAGGAACAGACAGGATTACCAACAGTATGTAACTGCCAAATCCACAGAAACATCAGCCAACAAACACTCAGGTCTTCATTTTATTGATCTTTAGTGCAATTAATAGGTTATAAAGGAGACACTGATGCTTCAGAAGAATGACAGTGGAATTACTCCATTACCTTTGAGGATGACAAAATTTAGATTATTGTTTTATTCCTACCTTCGTTCTTTCCTTTTCATACAAAAACCGTGTTCTACTAACTGAAATTAACCAAAAAAAAAGTCCACTTTGAAAAATGCCAGCTGAGCACGTACAACTGTGTGCATACACATGTTTGCAGATTTAATTCTTAACATGAAAATCTCATTGGTATTGCAATACTGAAAGGTGAAACTGCAGAACTGAGCTCGTGCAATGGGTTACAGATGTATTTCACATAAGATAATAAAAAGACTTTGGACAGCAAAAAATAGATTGAGAGATGAAACATTACAAGACTTAATTTTTTTAGGGGTCTCCTGAGCACCCAGACCTTTAGCTACCCCCCTTCAAGCCAGGTGGTTCAAGCTTGGCATAACCTTGAGTGCAAATCAGACACTTCCATGTATTACAGTAGCCCTTCTCAGCAAACCATACACATGCAAGTCCAAGACTTGAAATACACAGCCTGTGGCAAAAGGTAGGGGAACAAGTCTGCAGCATCTCCCAAAAAACAATCCATTTTCAAGACAAGGTTCATATCCCATTAGTCAATCTCAAGCTTGGGGACAGGCTCTCAGGCAAGGTACAGACTTCTAAACCGCGCAACCTGTGGCTCTTCTTTGGGACGCAAGCATTCAGTGAAAGTTCACTTCTACAGGGAACTACAGGAAACAGGACTCTGGAAAAGGTTTCTGAGCATGGGCAAGATGACTTCAAAAGCAAGGCAGTTGGGTAATGTTGTTATGGTAACAACATTAATCTTGAACATACCCTTATCAGGAAGAACGTCCTCATTAGCGGTAAACCTTATACCTTTCCCATCATGCACTGAGACATGAATTCAAAAGGCAAGAAGAAAGCAGGATAAAGAGAGAAGAGTATGAATTACAATACAATCAGCAGTGTCACTTAAACACAAGACAAATATTCTAGCTCTTAATAACAGACAAAATATCCTCCTAGGTCTTCTGCCCCAGTCCAGGCTTTGGAGAGCAAGGCTGTCCTTGATTAAGGGATTGTCTGGGTTAAAACAAGAACCGAATTTGTGCTAGCATAACTAAACTGCAAGCCCTGATTCAGATCTGCAGAGCAAATATTTAACAGCATAGTGCTATCGAAGCCTGCTCAGTAAGGAAATGAGAGTGGTAGGTACCTCACAAACTAGAAGAAGCAACCATTGAACAGTGAAGTAAGAGAAGTAAGCAGCATTTAAATAATTCTGCATGAAGCCATGTCCTCCCATGGGCTTGTGGGACACTTAACTTGTGCAAAGGGAAACATGAGTCACAGCTGTGAATAGAGGTGCTGTCCTTTCTGCCCCATCAATGTGTGTGCAGATCTCCAAACCCACCTACCAGCTGTAAGTAGAACTGTAAACAAGTAATATTCTTCTTTAGCCCAAATCCCAGGAGAGAGTCATGCCTTTCTCAGAGATATTCCATCATAGATATTAGGTGGAGGAGCTCAAATATTTTATTCCCCAAACAGGGTCCAAAACTCTCAAGCCCACTAATATACAAGATGCTGATTTGGACCAGCTCAGTGGCCTACCACACCTAGTACCTGTTCTACAAAGTGGCTCAGATAAGTCACAAAAAATGCCCTCAGTCAGCTATGAGATATAACTGATGACCTCGTAACATGTGCATCTTATGTCCTAAAGCTAGAGCTTCATTCTCTCTAAGCTTCTTAAAAAATACATAAATACCCAGGCACACACTTCTGTGGCAACCTTCTATGTTCCTGTTGCTTAGAGATTATGTTCTGTTATCTTTGTGTTTCTGCTAAATATTTGCCCCCAGTGAAATTCTACAGTCAAATCATGCATTGCATAAACCTGCTTTCTCATATCAGCTTTGAATTTGTCACTTTGTGACTTCAGTGGAACAATTTCTTCCTCTAATTTTAAACAGTCCTGACTGTAGCATGGACTGGAGAATGGCATTGCATTGCAGCACACTTCCTTGTATCTTGGGTCATCATGGCAATGTAACAGTATCCACATAAAAAAAATAGCTTCGATTCGTGGTTTGGATATGTAAAGTGAAACATTTGCATAGGGCAGCAAAAACTGAAAGCACTCAAGTGTGTACTCAAGTTTCCTGTTAAAAAGTATTTTGAGTAACTGATGACAACAGCCAAGTTCCTGGAGTCCCTGGTGGATGTAGAAGTCTTTGACCTGTCTGGCCACTGGATGTCATCGTTGCTCTGCTGGGACACAGCTACAGGACCATTCTCTCAGAGGCAGGTACTGACTTTTAGTTAATTTCAATGTTTTAATGCAGTGTGTTTCAACCTAAGCAAGACTAGGCCATGCTTCTAAAGGCAGGGATCACAGAATTACAGAATTGTCATGGTTGGAAGAGACCTCCAAGATCATCTAGTCCAACTGTAAACCCAGCACCACCATAATCACCCTTAAACCATGTCCCCAAGTGCCACATCCACACCTCTTGAACACTTCCCAGAGATTTTGCTAGCTCCCTGGGCACCTTGCTCCAATGTCTAACCACCCTTTCAATGAAAAAAATAAATTCTAATATCTAATCTGAACCTCCCCTGGGACAATTTAAGATCATTTCCTCTTATCCTTTCATTTGAGACATATCACAACCAACTCCCACCTCACTACAACCTCCTTTCAGGTAAGTTTCAGGTCCCCCCTGAGTCTTGTCTTCTGATGATTCAGCACCCCCCAACTACACTCAACCTTTCACTTTAGAAACAAACCTTGCTTTGCTTACAAAATCTCTGTAGTTTCTACTCAGAGAATGCCAGTATCAAGCAGACTCATTTGCACAAATGGGAAAAGTCTGTCAACTAAGGAGTGCTTTCCCCTTGATTTTGGGGCTCGTTGTGATGGTATGCTGGCAGAGTTAGTACCATCTGTGTGGTTGCCAGCTCTTGGAAGGATTAAAGGAGAAGGATCCAAAGCAAAAAGAGGGCAGGAGGACACCCCCATGGAGTTCTACTTTGCTGCTGAGATGAAGTAGCCTAATGACAAGGCTTGTGTTTAAACAGCCTGAGAGCTTAAAAGCATTAGTTTTGGGGTTTGACCTTATCTCTAGTAGCATCTGTCCCCTCTTACTGAGATTATGAGACTCATAGTCAGCTGGTGAAGGTCCTTGACTAGAGACCAAATTATTCTGTAAAACAATCTGGAGATGTTCACATGACAGCAATGAAAGACAGAGACAACTAACTGTTTACCCCTTCAAATTCAATGAAACAGTACCACTAAGCCATAAGGCTTCCCAGAGAGCCACCAAAAACTGTGGTGACCCATCCCAGCAGCTTATTAATATATTGTGGTGATCTGTAAACATCTAGCTCCCACATATCCTGTAGCTCCATGACTCATCATGTTGCTGTCAATCAGCCTTAGTCAGGCCTGCATGGGCTGTGCTGGCAGCTGGCCTGTGACACAGGCACTGACTAGTTTCTGCAGTGGTGTCTCGCTGAAATGGTCCCCCACACCACTGTGTAAGTCTCAGTACAGTAACTTCAAATTTCACTTAAGTCACCCACCCACATTTATTCATGAAACGTGACTGATAGGGATTGCAGAGAAAAAAGACCACAAACACCCCAAGCCTTATGTTCCACACATCTCTGCTCTCTCAAAATGTAGTCATGGAGTGGGAAATAACCCCCTTTTCCTCCTTTCCAGTTTTAAACTGAACTGTCACGTTTCCAGAAACGTTACTGCCAAAAGCACTCTACAAACTGGCAGTACAAGACAGAGAAATTATGAACAGAGCGGAGAGCTCCATTCAACTCTGCCAACAACACAAAAGAGTCTTACCCTGAGCTGTCTGACTCTGGACAAAGGTTTTGATGAGTGTGTCTGTGGTCTGAGTGTAGAGAGAGAGAGCATATCGAAGTGACTGCAGGTCTGGACTCTTCTCCAAGAAGGTTTTCTTCAGGCCATTCCCACCAGCATGGAAATATTGCTAAGAGTAAAAAGAAACAGGAAAAATACTGAGCAAGAACTGCAATCAGCATCCGACATGTATGTGCTATTGCACGTGTGGATAGGAAATAGCTGGAAAAATTCACAAAACAGCTTCTGTACTGGAAATCCAGCTCTTAGAACAACTGATATCAACTGATGAGCACATGGCTTTCCTCTTCCAAAGCACTATAAGTATGCTGACTCCCAGCGTGCCAGTTACCTGAGCCTATTCAGGTTTACACAAACTCCTGCCATTTCCTGAACTGGGACATGCACTGTCCTCCCAAACAGGATTTGGGGATGGAGTAAGGGAATGACAAAGACAGAAATGGAATCACTTACTTTGATTGTATCCAGTGCCAGGTCCAGAACAGCACACTGCTTTGGAGTGAGACTCCTAGTTTCTTCTCTCACCATATGATCCTGCAAACAACCATTATATTTGACACGGGCATGCTATCAGAAGCTAAAGGAAAAGGAGTATCCCCTATCATCACTTTTTCTGGATTCACGCTGTAGTTATGTGGTGACAGCATTAATTCAGCTGTTTAAGGAACAGTTAATGGAATCTCTCAGAGTCATTTATTACAGCTTAACTTGAAAATAAACTCATTTTCTCTTTTTTTTGCAGGCACAGAAGACATAAATAAGGAAAGGAAGTGGACAGAGATAAGTGACAATTTAAAATCACAGTTCGTCTCTCTAGAAAACCCCAAAAAAGTCTGTCTGCTACCACTGTCATTCTAGAGCAGCTACAACAAAACTTTCAAAACACCACCTAAATCAAGGAATTCTGGTAACTATAAGTCAAAGTTGTTATATGCTGTTTCTGGATTTTTTAGTTCTTCCAACTACAAAGGTCACTAATTCATCATGTCATCGGTGTGGAGGAAGAAAAACAAAAACCATGTTCTAGAAAATATGTTTGCTAAAAGAATACATTGTTCCCATTAAGACCCACCATCTCTAATAGCAAACAGCCAGAAATCACTTGAGAAAGAATTCCCTTTCCTGCAGTGGGAGCACACCCCTGTTAGGACTCCTGGCTGACAAGGATGTGCCATCCTTTGGTATTTCACTAAGTTCTTTCTCTCTGATGCTTAGTCTAGGTCTCAGGAGAAGACAGCATATTTTAGGAGCACAGCTTTGCACAAACTCAAATTCTAACTGGAGGGTCAGGCCAGCTGACTGCAGCTTGGGTGCTAAAGCATTCATGAAGAAGATGCAGGCAAATCAGGCAAAGGCTATTTATGCTACTTTAAGCATGTCATAGCCTCCAATAAGAGACACTTCCCAGGATACACATCTGCTAAATTGCCTTTCAGTAAAGCATGCCTAGTGTGTGGCACCATGTGCGTGTTTCACACAGACAGACCTGCTGGCTATCTTGCAGCTTGGTGATCCTTCACGCTGCCTGGTGCTGTTCCTATTCATTATCCACTGCGATCCATCTCCTGCCTGATGGAGACAGGGATCATGGCAGTTCAGGCGCAGTGCGAGGCATTTGCCACGCTTCTCACAGACATCTAGCTGGCAGCTTCACACAGTGCTGCATTAAACTGCACAGAAGATGCCTCTCAAGTTGTCAGTACCTCAGACAAGTTCACACTGTGCTTCCTTGAGTAGTGGAGACATCCCTCCACTTGCCTCTTTCCCCCACACAGGATGCTCCTGGTCTAGGGACCCATGTGCAGTGGCAGAGTACTCTGTAGGCTGCAGAGTATCTTCTGTTGTGACAAGCTGTCCTGAACGGAGCAAATACCTCTCCTCCCTCTTCCTCATGAGCTGGGAGTAATTCAGTTGAAGATGATGTGGCTTCACACTTCAGTAGACAGAAGGTAAAGCATTCTTTTCTCTCTCTGACAGTCAGATAAAGTGCAAAATCAGCCAGAGCCCAAAGCCACATTTGTAGGAGAGGCCAATTTAGTCAGGGCAGCTGTGTTTCCAAGGCAGAGTGACTTTCACATCTGTTAAAATGACTTTTTAGGCCTGCCTGCCAGATTGCCCAGACTGTGACAGAAACCAGGTGGTTTCTCTTTCTCAACATTTTTCTCTTAAACACCTGAAGAGCTCATTCAGCCCTGTTCTGAGCGGTCATTCCCCTGGTGCCCATGCTGTCAATGCACAGCAACATGTCACTGCTTTCTTTGAATTTCCCAGTGTCATTTACTTCAACACATTATATGAAAATAACCCAGTGACTGGACTGGCAATGCTTGCACCTACTCACAGAGGAGCCCACGACTGTCATTCCCCTGTGTACCTGCCCTCTGCAAATCCCACACTGTTCCTATAAAGGACTGTGCAGGGTGCTACCCTGCACTTCCCAGACTGCCAACCAGGAGCAAGACACAAATATTTACATCAAATAATAAAGCAGCTTCAAGCAGAAGAAGTAAAAAGCCAGAACAACCCAACAAACTTGTCAAACTCATCCTTGTATTCTGCACAAGTACTCTCAGGAGAAATTCTGTGGTCAGAGCCTGGCTGTTTAGCCTGAGGGCAACAAAAGGAAGGGGAGGTCACTGCTCCCTGCTCCAGCTGCTGGCTATTAAGCAAACCAAGCAGAAAGAGTTTGATAAAAAGTGAGAGGCAGATATGTGGCACCTAGGTGCCAGGTTTATGGTTGGCTTTCTGAGCATTTTAAAATACACTGTGAAATTGATTTGTCATTGGGATGAGAGCCTGTGCTTGTCAGGTCTGTCAGCCTCAGTTTTCAGCTGAGTTATCTGATTCACTAGTGCTCTGTCCTCCCTGTTCTATTTAAGACCAATAAAGCTTAAAATCCATCCCATAATTTTCCCAGGATTTTAGTGGAACTGGAAAATGCGGAGTAGGGTGGCTCTGAAGAACCATTTACTCATGCCTTCCCTGTTAGCTTGTATGTGCCTGCAAAAACAAAAGGATAAAAAATTGTAATATCCACGATGCTCACAAGGACCCAAACAATCTACACTCTCGCAACACTCCTGTTCTTCTGGAACTTTTTGGACACAATGTTGGTTCACATAAAGGTTTCCAAAATTCAGGTGGTAGAGTGCTTTCCCACTTGAGCACGACTCTCTTGCCACATATAAAATCCTATGTACCTGTGCTGCTGCAGTTCTATATGTGGATATGCAAATAAAGGTTTGAACACACCCCAGGGCTTGCCTGATTTGCATGATTATGTGCATTTCTAAAAGTGTACCCCAGAGTTAACAAAGTTAAGCTTTACTGTAACTGAACTGAAGATAGGCCGCTGCTGAGGGATGGCCTTCATGTGACCAGTGCAAACAGAAACCAGCAAAGCTTCCAACTCATTCCTGGCAAAAGGCACCCTGCATATGTTTGGAAATTCCAGTTCCAGAACATATGGAACAAGTAAAAGACAACACTGAATGTCAGTGGCCATGCTCAAGAATGCAAGCAAGCCACAGGAACTCACAGACCGTCCTTGTGACGTGGGAGAAGGAACAGAGCAAATCTGGAGCTCTGCCTCTCAGACAGCAGGAGGGCATGTAGAAGGCAGGGATGGCTTCTCTTCTGCAAATGCTGCGTTCTTGCTGATGTTTTTGAAGGGGGAAGGGGATACTCACAGGGAACAGGAGTCACATTTGGATGCTGTGGTTCAGCTCCCATTCTCCCAGGTTGGCTACAAAGCTCCTTCCTACCCATTTTTCCCATGGAAGTGACACACAGCATTGCAAGCGCAGGAAGCAGTGAAGGAAATGCAACCCTTAGGAGCCACATCACCAGGGAGGACAGCCTGACCGTGGGAGTGCATGAGGACATCACTCAGCACAAGTGACAGCTATTCCCCCAGAGAGCCACACTTCAAGGTTTATGTTATGTGACTGTTAACTGCTATGTAAAGGCCTCAAAATGCAGCTGGAGAAAAGTGTGCACGTGTAATGACACACCTGCATGTCCAGATCACTTACCAGGATTGCTAATAAGCACCACCTTAAATGAGTTGTGTACTGGCCTGGCTCATAAACATGTATGTAAAATGTGTCTGCTGGACAAGGAAAACAGATAGGTGTATGAAAACAGCTGTATTAAGTGTGCAAGACAAAAAAACATTATAGAAAGGGACAAATAAATTTTTAAATTACTCCTAATCACTTAGGAGAATGTCCTTTGGTCTGGGAATATTTCCCTGATCACGCTCCAAGACAGAGTTCACGTTCAGCTCCCTTTCAGAACAGTTTGTGTACTGTGACGCTTCAGATTTAGACCTCCTCTTGCACAATATGTGTCTTGTAGCACAAGTCCAACCACAGCATAGTGCAATTTGAATGCTGGAAGGCGTCACTATTCTCATACCATTCCTGTCGTGATCAGTGAATTAGTGCTTGATTTGCTTATGATGAGGTGGTGTGCCCTTCATAATGCTCATGTCATGCACTGTCATGTCATGCACTGTCAAAACACATCAACATAGCACTCATGCTAAATGCCAGCTTGCCTGTAAAGAGAGCCCACGCAGAAGGAATTTACAGACACAGGCTCTCTTCCATAACAGTTATTTTTGTAACAGTCCATATAATTCATCCACAGCTAGCACAATCGTCTTTCCAACCAATACCTCATTAGGGACTCCCTTTTACATATGGGGATACAGAGGAACTGGACAGATAATTGAGAAATCTACTTTTTTTCATTTTAAACTGATGTCCAAAACTGACCACTGTTATCTACAGAAGAGAAAAACTACTTTGATGATTAAACTCACAATAAAATTAACTGTTAAACACTACACTAATGTTAGCAGAATGCATTTAAAAGCACACTTAATGCATTTAAAAGCATTTCTCTACAACTACATTCAGTGACAAACCACTGGAAGCACAAGACATGCTATGCACTACTACACCTCCATGCTTACACACAGGGACAATAACAGAAGCCATGCAGGACAATACCTTCAGCTTTGACAAGTGTCCCAGTTCCTTAGCAGCACTGAAAATCAACTGTGTGCCCTATGATGGCGAGAAGTTAGAAAAGAAAGGAGGGGGAAAAAAAGGTTATAAACAAGTTTTGCATATTTTTTCCAAGCAAGTCAAGCCAGTTCACAGCTCAAACTTTACGTAACCTTCCCAAGGCCAGACACAACAACTGGACTCCTTGCCTGTTTATTATGTAGTGTAAAAACTGGCATTTCCATGGATACCACATCAGGACCTATTTCAGAGCACAATATTTTGCTAACTGGTTCTCTTGTTTACAGCAGCCACACATTTATACAGTATGTGGCTTCAAATGGATTGCACAGGCACAGGGTGGAGGCAGTGCACTGGAATCGTATCCATGTGCTCCTTCAGATTTCACATCTAAATACACAAGAAAACAGCATAAGACTGGCCAAAGTAAAAGATCACAAAACTGATGAAAATCTCACTGATGAAAATCTCAATCATCAGGGTGAGGGTAAAGCACACCTCAGATCAGAATCAAAACTGCACCCGAGCTGTTTACAAGTGAGAGATTGCCAAAGTCCAGTGAATACTACAGTATCACCTTTAAATGTCAAAAGCTTGGCCAGTGGCTCTTCTTCCCCCACTGTGCCTTACTGAAGCTGTATAACCAATGGAGAGAAACACAAAGGGAAGATAAATTCCAATGGCAGGAAATCTCACTTCAAGTCACTTACACTCCCATATAATGTATTTTTATATACTTTTTCAGCAATGGTTGCAACTAAGATATTTTTCCTTTTTTTTCCTACACACCATTTCTCTGTTGTGTAATATTCCCTTTGCCTGGGGAGTGAAGCCCAAAATTTAATGAGAAAGCCAAAAGTAACCAAGACAATTCTCCAGTATCATCTCCCAAAGATACTTAATGGAGTGTGCTATAATTTATTTTCTTCCACTTCACTCATCCTTTTCATTCATTTAATTTTGTCTTTTTCTTTAGAAAAGTCACCATTGTCTATTACTCCACTTGGTATGAGACCCCAGCTTACTGTAACTCTCTATGAATTTGCACTCCAGCTCTCTCAGGCTAGTCAGATTTGGGCTTTAGGACCAGGACAAAGCTACAGGTTTCCCTAATTAAACCTCCCCTCAATTATCCTTCTCAGGAAAACCTTCAGTATGTCAGGAGCAATGCCCTCCTAAAGATGATCTCTGGTTGTCCTCACTTGTACTTGGTCACTAGGGACTGGTGTTAAAGTACCTGTCACTGCAGGTATCAGTTGAGAAGTGCCCAGGGATGTCCCAACTGAATGCCTGAAGTAAGATTCCAGAGATGGACACTTCCAGGAATGCACTTTGCAGTAGGGTCTTTTGCTCAGAAAAAACACTTGGGAGATGAATCACAGAATGGCTTGGGTTGAGAGGGACTTTCAAAGGTTATCTAGTTCAATTTCTCTACAATGAGCAGGAACATCTTCAACCAGACCAGGCTGCTCCAAGCCCTGTTCAACCTGACCTTGAACACTTTCAGGGATGGGGCATCTACCACCTTGTCTAAATCTATCCTCTTCTGGTTTAAAATCACACTTGCTACATGATACCTAGGTACCAATTCGTCACTTAGGCACTTGGAAAATAAATAGTAACACATAAAATGTGTTTCAACTAAATCAGGTTGGTCAGAGTCCCACCTAATCTGGCCTTGAACGTTTCCAGGGACAGGACATCCTGTCTCAGGACTGTTGGCTCCACTAGTTAAAGGTCTCCAGTAAACCCCATTCTCCTTTCCACAGCCCTCCTTCCCTCTCCTTTACTACCCTTTCTCATCTCAACAGTCTTTCCCTCTCGCAATTAATCACAACCTCTAATTTCTCTGGCTTTGGAAATTTCTTCAAGCTGAAAGATTCTGTGGCCTGAAATTATAGATCACCTCTTGATTTGCTCTGCTGGTAACCATCACCTAACCCTCACTGTTCCTCAGCCTTTTATGTTTGTTGACTAAAAATCGCACAGAATGAACGTTATTGATTTTGTAGCTAAACAGAAGCTCTTGATAAATTATTAAATTCACAACTTTTGGCAGGGGTGGAGGGGAAACTGCAGGCAAGGACAACACATCCACAAAGGAAAGCTTCTGAACTGAAACTGGGAGCTTGACTTGCTGTCAGTATCCCTTGGACAGTGTTTAAGACTACTACTCTATAATCTAAAAGAGCAGTATTTTCTCTGTATTTCCAGCAAGCAAGGTTGAATGTGACTGCACACCAGGAACAACAGATTCCACTGTGGGCCATGCCAAATAACTCACCAGAGTACAGGGTTTCAGCCAGCAGATGTGCCTGCTGTTCTGTACAATTGGCCACATAGGGGTTTTTTTGACTTATGGGTCTTAAAATTTAAGGTTTTCAAGCCTATTAACCAAGCAGGGGAAAAAAAAAATCAACATTTTTATATTCTGAATTCCGAAAAACTGAGTAGTCTCAAAACACACTAACATCAACATTTCTTAATTCAGTATTTTCAATGTTCACTGGATGCTTCTTTTTAGATACACTCGAACAACAACATTAACCAGCCTTGGCACGTAGTCTCACTGCTGCAGGCTTCTAAGGAGGGCAGGCCAGTAACACTGAGCAATACTCAGTGACTGGATACGCTTCATGGAACAAAGCTGCTCAGATAACTGCTCATTTCTTGCATGCTAAGAAAACCCTCATCAATCAGTGACAATCTCTGTCAATGCGTCTGCAAGGAGAAGTTATTTTACTGTTACACCGAGTTTGTCACCAATGCTGGTAACATCTAATGAAAATCTGGACAGCTCCTTCCCCTGCCAAATGGCATTCTTGTAAACAAGATGCCATACTGCTCAAAAAAGTTATTTATTAATGAAAAACATGCCACAAAGGTCTACAGACAGCATCACAGCACTTATTCCAGGGAATGAAAACAACTAAACTTAAATTATCAGGTAGTTTTGAGAAAAGCTGCCTACAGTGGAATTGATTAAAAAGACAAGGAGAGAAATGAGGAAAAATTAAGTCCTTATTATGAATCATGATTAGCTCTGTGGCAAACATAGCTGGAAAGGGGATAGGCCTTCGTGCTGGTTTTTTTGGCTCTTCCCATAATACTAACTGTATTTTCCTAAACTTTACAGTAACAGAAACACACCTATAGTCCACAACACAGAGATTTTAAATTCCTTGTTAATGGTCTCATGCTTTTTTCTCCCTCAGTGAAAGCATTTAGAGAAGGATCATCAGCTGACTCAAGTCTAATTGTTAGAAGCCAACAGAACTGCACTGATTTATATTCCAAGCAGCTCAAACCCCCAAAGCTTAACTGTCCTACTGCTCAGTTGACAAAGTTGGGAAACAAAAGCCTACTGCAAGTCTTTTGGATTCCAAACCGTTTTTGTAAAACATATTATTAGTGAGGCTTATTTTTCTGAGATATACCAGTGAAAGGAAGTTTCATCTGCTATTGTACATTCCTTTCCCATAATTTTTTCAATTCCTACATTCAACAACAATGAGATCTGATAATTTTTTAACAGCATTTTAAGTTCATTTAAAAAACTCTATCATATCTGGCAATGTTCATTTGCATACATTAAAAGACTTTTTTTTTTTTTGCCACTGTGGTGTATTAATCACTGACAAAATAGGTTTAAAAGTGGGGATGAAAAGGGGAAAATAATTACCTGTCAGTACAGAGATCTAGACACATGTGCAGTTCACAGACCATAATTTTATTCAAGGCTACGAAAGCTTTTTCTCCTCATCACAGAGGCAGCCTTAAACTCTTCTGCTCCTAGCTAGCACAAGGGAGAGGATTGATTTAAACTAACACAGGTTAAGAAAGGTTTCGGAAAACCTCTTAAAGCCAAACTCTCTTCCACCACAAAACAGCTCTGAAGCGGCTCAGGCAGATGAGCCTGAAGAACAGACGGTCTGGAAGTCACAAGTCCTCAGCTTAAAGAAAATTTAGTTCTTATCCTGGACTGTGCTCAGCTTAAAGAAAATTTAGTTCTTATCCTGGACCGTGCTCTCATTTAGTGAGGAGAAGTCTGACAAGTAGAAAAAAGCAGAGCAGGAACAAACATAAATGGAGCCTCTTGTGAATGGCTGCAGTGTAGTGTGTGAAATAAATAAAGGAGAGGCTCCAGAGGAATCATCTGGCTGTAAACTAAGCAACTCTTCGCTGACCTCACTAGTCACTGATTGTATGGTATAGTTTCATCCATTCATTCAAGCAGTAAGAAAGAAATATGTAACTAACCTGTTAATATCCCCAAGTGTTGTGCACTGAACCCTTAAACAAAGACTCCCAAAGTAGATATCCACTCAACCAAGACTGAAGGTGTTTAATTAAAAGCTAATCTTAAAATTAGGGAGGTGTGAATTACTTGGTGAGTTACTGGAGATCATGTTGTTACTAATCTCACCAGCCACAGGTGGCCAATGCTCAGAGAGGCTCCAGCATCTGAAAGTCATGAAGGACCCACAGCTCAGGTTCATTAGAGTGGGAGGCTGGAAAAAGTTGTCCTGTCCCCACTGGATCCTTCACAAGCAGTAGCTGACACTTTCCCCCTTTGGCCCCACCCCTGCACAAAATTTTCCAGGAGCTAATTTAAGTGGAACAATCAGTCTGGAGAATGGCATTTAAGCACTGCACAGTGCCAAGGTCATGCAAGTGACAGGTGAGACAAACTGCAGTGTGATGGGAACTTCCACCTAATGCTTGCCATGATCACCATCAAAACCACTTCTGCACCTCCAGCAATTTTACAGAAAGAAGAGAAAATATTCCATAAAAGAGATTCTTTTCTGCCATGAATATCCCCTACTTCTTAATAGCTTAAGAGGAGTTTAAGGAGGGAAATCCCCATCAGTGGTCCTTCAAACCTGGAGAGGCACCACTGTGGCTTTCTTTTGCTGAGGGTTGGGAGGAAAGTGTGTTGCAGTGCCTGAGGCTATTTGTGTCTGATGTGCTTTCAAAAAAAAAAAAAAAAAAGAAAGTAAAATTAGATAAGAGGTGCTTGTCAGAGAAGTAGAATAGTATGCTTCTGCCCATGCTGACAACCCTGAGTTTTGCTTTGCCTTGCCCTCCAGCCTTCATTGCTGGGAATAATGAAAAGCTGGTGGTGACAGAATAAATTGCTACAACCCAGAGAACAGTGGAAGAAGCTCTTTGTCCTTGTAGCTCATCTAGCCTCACCACAGGTTCCCTGCTCAAGGACTACAGACAAGGCCATTTGAATCACTGCATTGTTCACAACTCTCCTTTTGAAACTGCAACTCTTTTCCAGTTTGGACTAGTTCAGCCTCCTTGCTACCATCCAGTGATGAGCATTTTGCATAACCTCAGACAACTGAGGATACGCTTCAATATGCCTCTCAATTTGAAACTGAAGTGATGGCAACAAGAAACTGTTTGTGAAGAACAGTCTAAATGGCTTACAGCAACATCCCGCAGGTTGGAAGAATTGGCTGATAGCAGTTATTGCCTCCTTCATGATACAAGCACTGAATCACTCTCCTACTCTGCCTTTGAAATCCAAAACTAGCAAGTATAAAGCTCAAGCAGCTCCTCCCTAGTTCTGTCTGAGGCCCTTGATCTCAATGATTCCATTCCAAATGGGTCATGTTAATGCTGCTCTTACATGATGATTTTAGCACCTGTCCCCAAAGACTCGTTATTAAAAGCGATTCAACCAAGAGAAAGAAATTTCATCCTCCTTAATTAATTTTCTTTTTCTTCCTTATGAATTAAAAAGGCAATCAGAAATGATTACTCTGAATATGAGCTCAGAGAAAGCAGTCTTTAGCAAATTACGCCTTAAGCTAATTTTATGGTCATAGGTATGACAGCGCAGTGCATCTCAACAGTTTTAAAGTTGTCGTCATCAAGGCCAGAGACAAGGGCCTTCCCTCTCAGAGCAAGAAACACCTAGTGCAAGAGACAGGTTTGCATCACTTCCCGAGACACTGCAACCCAAGAAGTCCAGTCAAAATACATGAGGGAACTGCTGAATAGTATAAAAACCATTATTGTTCTTCCCACCACTGGGAAAAAACATAAATCTGCATAAATTAGCCACAGACTGGAAGTTTAACAGAGAGATGAAAAGAAGTTCTGGATCATCTGTAAATAATGAGGTTATAGCCCAAACTTCACAATGCCTCCAACTGAGTCATCCCCCAGAGCAGCTGGGCACCTGTGACTGATACTTAATCAGTTTCTGTGGTTTCTCAAAATTGGGGAAGAGTTAATCTATGGTTAAAAGCACAACTACATTCATGATACATATTCATCCAGCAAGTCTGCAGAGCTGAACAATTACACAAAAGACTTCCTTGGAAGGAAAACTATCTGGACAAACTTCCAACTCCCCAACATCACAGACAGAGATATCCTGCCATACTGATGTTAAAGAGTTCTGGGGAGCAAAACAGAGGATGTCTTCATTAATAATCAAGCTCAAATTAACCACATCTGCACAGAGGGACACTCGACTAATAGATGTTTAGGCAAAAGTGCTTACAGGTGTTGACCTAATGCCATGAACACAATACTAATGGCTCGATAATCCCACAGACACACACAGCTCTCCTTAGAGGATTGCAAATCCCTAATCAACGAGAGTTCACACACTGGATAGAAATTCCTTTTGGATCGCGATATTTTAATTGTTTTCTTTTCTAGAGCTTGCTCTGTATCTTGCAACCCTACCATAAAGAGAGCTGCTCTCTTTCTTTACTAGGTTACAGACATGTTTTTCCAACCTCAAGAAGCCAAATTTACCTGGAGAGATGACTCATTAGGTCAGGGAGATGAGTTACACAGGCAATGGCAACACTTTCTGGTATGAGTCAGGGAGAAGAAAATGCTTTACCGTATGGTCTGTAAGAGGAGGCAGCACAATCAGCTTCTCCATGGTATTCATTACCACCCTCCAGAGCTCTTTCAGCACCCGTTTCAACACTGTCTTTTCACACACTGTTGCAAACAGAGTCAGGCTGCAGGGAGAGAGCAGGAACTGAGTAAGTTCAAAGAGTGCAATATGAAATGACAGAGGAGATGTATATGAAAGAACCAGTGCCTTATCCAAAGCAGTTATAATGATTGCTTTAAGGGTCTCCCTTTTTCACAAAGTATAGCCTTTGCTCAACCTTGGAGTTCTAGCACTTGAGACAATGGCCCAAATGGATTATTGATATTTCTGAACTCAATGATTTCTATTTCTTGACCTGGGGATTACAGAAGGTATCACCTGGTGATAGGTGGTTGGGAATAATATATATAATCCAAATAAGAGCAGGTACCATCAAACAGGTTTCCCTTAAAAAGATGTATCAGGTTTATAGAGAATACAGGAAAAAATTATAAATACAGAATAATAAGTTTTAACTTCAAGCTGTTATTACAAGGATATATGTTGAAAGCCTTAAATTAATGCTTCCCAGAGTGTTATGCAGAAATTCCTGGACAGCTTCTGATAGCTGCTCAAATCTCTAAATCTTTAACCTCTACAACTCCCCTGAAGCATTACTTGGACTCCTCCATATTTTTTTATGATTGCATTCAACACCAGTCAACTGCCATATGTTTGTCTGCTCTAACAAAACAAGTTATGCTTTATCTCCCTAGTTTTTCTCCCTTTATTATTGTACAGGCTATCAAAAAGGCCACAAAGCACTAGAATTTCCTTTGCTGGACTTCGGCATTTACTGATCACACTAAGAGAGCTACAGAACAGGAACTCTGTGGCCAGTAGCAGGGCACAGGTGACAGCTGGCTCTTCTACAGTGTGTAACATCTTCTCCCAATTTCCCTTCTTCCCACAGCTGGTTAGACAGTAAATGAACAAAACCAAACAGGGACAAGACTGATGCGGGGGGATGCAGTAAGCATCAAAAAATACTCTCCTTCTGTATAGAAGGAAAGAAAATAATCCAGGGTTGGATTATCATAATCAAAATTACTTGCTCCACAGCTGGATGATAAGCCTGAGGAATAACAAGTTCCCAGTGGCACAAAGGAGTCTGGTTTCTCAGGATTCATGAAGGCATGCATGGAAAATGCTCAAATGAGAAAGCTCCTAGATGTAATGACTGCTGCAGAGAGTCACTTAGCACACAGTGACCCAAAGCAAAGATGGGATAATCAACACTAAGAGCAACCAAACTCTCTATATTTTAAACTTGCAAAGCTTCACATCTCTTGAAGCATTTATTATGAAAACTGATGGCCACTCCTTTCAAAATAAAGAACTACTGTGCATCAGCAAGAGGTTTAACTTCTGCAATGATTAAAAACTATTTCTCTTTGTAGTTCAAGGCTTGGCTGACAAAAATTATGTCCCGTTAGCCACATTCAGCTGTCCCCGCACAGCTGAATCATGCTGCATGGTATTAATGGCAACAGTTAATGAAAGCAATGGCTCAAGTTTATGCAATCAGATAGTTTAGAAGCTTATTTGCTAGTCAGAACAGAACCGGGTATGACCAGAACACACATGCTTAACACAACTGGGATACTGAGTAGTACATGTATCAAGTATGTAAGCACTGTTTTCAATTTGTTTGCTAATTGGCTACAGTACAATTCCTACAGGAAAAAAAAAACATAGCTACAAATTTTAGAATTTCAGACTTTTCCACTACCTGATCAGTAGTGTGTTTTGCTGATTGCTTTAATTGCCAGAGGTAGAAAAAAGAATTGAGAGTGTGCTCTGGCACGGAATGAGGGCTGAAGAGGCTATCCATGGCTTGTGAGAAGCAGATACGGGAAGAAAAGCTATTAATTCTTCTTGAAAATTTGGAGACCAGACACCTCAAGAACAATACAAGAATACAGAGCTATTTTCCTCTCTGCCCCATTCCTGTTCCAATCCAATGAACTGTATGTGTAGCATATGTTTGAACACTCCCTTACTTTCCATCCAGGAAATCCATCAATGGCCTCAGGACATTATCTGCATCTTGTGCAACTGTGTTTCTGGCATTAGCAGCAGAATTTGCTGTCCCTTTCACCTGACAGAGGATATCAGACATTTGCTTGACGCACTCATCAATACGAGTCTGAAAGCTGAACAGATAGGAGAGAGGCAAAAACAAGATTATCAGTGGCAGAGATACAAGGTAATATATTGCAAGTTCATAAACCATGCACTCAGTTACTCTTCCTTTATGAGACTTGCTGCTCTTTTCTTTACTGCATTTATTACCAAGGGGCATGTTCTCCAGTTCCTTATGCCCACCACCCACACACAGCTGATCACCTCTGAATACGAGACACAATCACATTTGAGAAGAGCTTGTTCATTCATCTTGCAGAAAGAAATTACCCTTTCCTGATTTCAAGAAACACTGTCATTCTTAGGTCAAAGCACCCTGCTGTATCCTTGCTTTCTCCATTTTTCTGCAATGACACAATGCATGCACAACTCTGAGCACCCAGGAGTCCTGGTTATGACCCATCATAGGCTAAGTCTTTAAAATAACAGAGACAGCTTGAAGGCAGGCACCAATTTAAACCAGTTCACTGCCATACAGTCCGTGCCAAGTTTCATACTGGGATGTGGGGCTCAGCTGTGCAATGAGCAGTGTCCCTGTAATGAAGTGACACACAAGGCATTAAAGCACAATTACTTTTCCATCTCTTCCTGCTAAGAGGAGGTTCAAAATTAAATAATGCAATGATTAAAAATTATGAATAGATCAGAAGAGCTGACAACAAATCAATTCAGCAAATAAAGGAAAATGCTCTGACATTTAAAAGAACAGTTAGTAACAACAGGCACTACAAGTGACATTTAACTATCCACTAATGGCACAGGGGCTTGAAACCAGGAAGATAAGCCAGTGTTAGGAGCTAGGGTAAAGTTTTAAGAGCAGGGACACTAGTCTGGAAGTCAGCTTTACATCTGCATAAACGACCTGAACTTCTGGTGTGCGAGCCACCCAGGACACCCACAACGTGGGTTGGGTGCTACTGTACAACTACTCTGCCCGGTGGCTCTCACCTTCCTTCTCCACCTGGTCACCTTTCCTGCACTGCCACCTCCAGCCTCTCAGTCCCTTTTGCTCACTTCTAGCCTGCCTCTCACTGGAACAATTCCAGAGCTTTCCTTCCATGAAGCCTCCCGCCTTCCACATTTCTAGCAGAAAGAGGTTTGCAGCAGTCAGTTGTGGCTACACTGTCAGCTTAACCAGAGACTTAAATCACATCAAATGAAAGAGCATAAAAAAACTTCCTGTACTGCTGACAGTTCCTGTTCTGCCACAGGCTAATCCCACCCCACAGTTCTCCCAAATACTGCATCAGCTGCAGGGCCCCACTTCAAGATGCTTTAAACCTCCCATCCCGGGATAAAAAATAACAATGCCTTAAAAGATAAAAAATGAGCTAAAACTGTTACCAATTCTATGAAAAATAATAAATCAGTTACTGTGGCAACAGGTTCACCTGAAAGTGAAGCTTGTGTAGATGTACAGCTTGACAGGAGTCCTTGGCAGCAGCAAGCTAACAAATGACTTCACCTATGCTGTCAGACAGGGCCTCATGCTCCCTAATTCCTGCAGGAATTCCCTTCTTCAATCCTTCAGCCTCCAGGGACAGAACAACAGCTAGCCTTGCATGAATATAAACCCTTCCAAGACTCCTGTTCTCTATGATATCTCTTAAAGCAGAAAGTACTTCTGTGTCCAGGCAAAATCCTCTCTCAGCTCAAAGGTGGTGAGGTTCCCTGGACATGTGCTGCCTTCTCAGCAAATGCAATTATATCATACAGATGAAGAGGAGTTCAGATCTGCAGCATCAGGTGTTCACAGTGTTGTATGAGCAACTGCTTACAGACTCTGCACAGAATATTGCAGATATCTGTCTTATCTTCTAAGTTCACATCCTTTAGAAGATTCTGCTTATACAGTAAAACTGCAGCTCTGCTATTCACTCCCTGCTACTGTTAAGGAATGAACAAAGCATCTGAGCCATCTGACTGGCTAAATCTCTTCCTGGCTCATCTCTCTGAAACACTTCCCAGTAACTATGCTGATACTGGTAATCTCTTTAAATCATATTTGCAAATGTCAAGATTGTACCTTAATTGTTTTGTAGCAGCAACACCATGGAGGCAATACTCAGATTTAAAAAAAAAAATCACCCTCCTAATTATGATTTCTCACTCACCCTCCATCTAGTTATGAACCTTATTGATTCAATTCAGTTACAGTTTGAGTCTCTCCATTTCTTGCCGCAGCATCCATTACTGGCATTGGGAACTCCTCACTTATCTCCCTGCTTAGCTCTCTGTGCTGAAATCCAAACAGTCACTGACAAATCCCACTATGATTTTTTAGTCATAAATACTGCAAATCTGTAGAACCCAGGAGACCAAGTTGGTACAATTTGCTTTGCATTGCCTATATCCAAGCTACACTACGGTTTATGCCTGCATTAATCCTGTTATGGAGCACAATACGAAATGAATGGGGTTTGTAATGAGAAGTGGTTGTTTCTGAAGATCAGTTAGGAGTTCTGCATTTTTAGATTTTCCTTAATTGACATCTTTTATAGTTCATTACAAAATCATTATAAAGCTGAGCACACTTTTATCCTCAGGTAAATGGTAACATGATTTGTAATAAAACTTAATTGCTATCAATTACTCTGGCAATATTTTAGAGAGCTCCTCTCCTTGAAACATTAGAAAACACCATTTGCTGCAGCATTAGAACAAGTCGATCTCAAATTCCAGACCTGTTTCCTTCTTATCCCAATATTCATTTAACAATCAGAAATCAGTCAGCTGTTTCATACATTTAGAGCAGAACGTTTAAACATGAATGTTATTTCATAAACGCTAAGCTGGAAACTGCTTTCTGAGCAGTAAAGGAGCAGGCAATTCTGTTACTGACAAGCACTACTTACTGAAAAAAATAAAATAAAAAAAAAATCACTCTAAGTAAGTCAAATACATTTCACAGTTGAGAGATCTCCATGTTACATTTTCCAAGTGGAGCAATGCAGAAGAGAAAGACTTTAAAAATATTTCTCACTTCTTTAGATGGTCTCACTATTTGAAAGGCAATGAATTTAGGACAAAAAGAAAAACATACTGCAGTTCACAGGAGTTTCTCTTCTCTTCTTAACCTGACTGAATGAGATTAGACAAAAGAAAGGAATGCTTCAAGGACAAGGACCTCGTAATACTCACCTGTTGCCAAACACTGCACTCAGCTCATCCAAAACATTGTTCAGCTTCACCTGGAGCTCTTTGAGATGGTCACTTGCTTCTGCATCCAACTGTAGATGAAAAAGAGCATTTAGTTTGAACCCAGAGGGCAGTCTGCTGTCCTTTGCAGTGCTTCTCTTCACTGTTGAGGCTATACTTAATAAGCAGGTGAACTATCCCCACTGGACTCTGCCAGTTGGGATGCTCTCCTCCACTGCCTGCTGCTGCTACAGAAGCTGTGAAATTATCAACAGATATTTGCCTAAAAAGCAGTAAGTGATTTCCCCAGGCTCCAATACCCTTCAATGCCCTTCCTGAGGTTTGTAAAGTTGAGAAATAAAGTGCATGTGAACTCCCTGTGGCCAAGAGTGTAACTAGGCAGAGAAATCAAGTACTGTGCAGTATGTTCAGCTCATGGGTCATTTCACCCCTCTAAGTTTAGAATGAGACAGGGCTTTTCACACTGGTTTCTATTTACTTGTCTATGATCTTGAAAGAAGCTGTTTCACCTTCCACCCTGCTGCCAAGTATTCCAGCTGAAGACTGACCCAGCCCCTGCTCTCAGAAGGTTGGACCCCAGAGATTTTGAAAATCTGGCCACAGTATAATGGCAGCACCTGTTGTGCACTCATTGCTTTTGGAAAGCACGATCTCAGCTTTAGGTATTGAGCAAATGTATCTCTGCTCTCACATGGAGCCAGACAGCTTTTTGTATGCAAGTGCTCAGAGAAGACTTCAGAAAACAAAAACAAAATGCCCCAAGCACTACGTGAATGCTGTCGACATCTTGGCAGGTTCTGTAAGAAAGTACTTCCTCCATTATTATCAGCACAAAGCCACCTGTTTTTACATGGAACAGTGCCCTGTATTCCAGATGTAGTCATCCCTCCAGCATCAAAAGAACCACTTCTGAGCAACCTACCTGTGTGTACACCTAACAACAAATGATGAATGCTTTGGGATCACTTGCTCTGAAAAAGTAACTTGTAAAACAGATTTGCCTTTGTATGCAGGCAGGCGAGATGTTTGTAAAATAAAAAAGCTCACAGAAATGTTTGTATTTGGCATTCAGAACTTCAGCTCTTACCCCTTAGGCAGAGCATCTATTTACAGATGTAATGAGCCAGGTACCAGTACAGTGGTATAAATCAGTTTAGATTTTTACAGCATATCCATCTATATAGGATTTGCACACAATGGGAGTTCCCATTTCTAAATTCAGTGCCAAAGCCCTTTTCATGTTCCTCAGCATCTGTCAGAGAAAGCCAAGCCTTAGGGGATTTGGAAACTGATCTGTTCACTTTCCTGTTGTAAGCTGGCATGGAAAATTGACTCTATTACGCATTTGAACCTGTGCTAATGAAACTCCTGGATCAGAATTTTAAAAGTAATTAAACTAAGAACCAACGACCAAGCAAATGATGATTACTTAGGCCTTATAATTTTAAGCATTGCTACCTCTGATTATTTTTCCTTTATTAAAGTGATTTGATTTTCCTATTATCTTTCTAACACCCTTGCTCTGTGATGGCAGAAGGAAGCTAATGTCATGCCAATCAGCATTCATTCTAGCCAAGCTTGTAGGTAACAAAACAAAAACAGCATCTGGTGGTGGTGGCTTCTCCTGCTCCTACATAATCCTTCCCTCCCACGGCCCAAAGGCACAATGAGTCACAAGCTGTCTGATTTGCTATCTACAATTAATGGCATAGAACTGTCCCCTGATTTTGGCCATTTCTGACAGACTTGAGGTAGAACCAGTTCAAGACTCATCAAAACATTCCAACTAACTGCTTTTCCAGTTGGAAAAAAAAAAAAGCCAGAAGAATTTGGCACAAGACACCTGTTCTTCACAATTTACTTCTTATAAGCTACCAGATGCACAGTCTAGAGGATGTCTGAGGTGAGGATGAACAGCTTATTGCCCTGGTTCATGATTTATTTTCCTGTGAGGTGGCATGGAGTTACTCTAAGCTTCCCCTTGCTATTGTACTCATTGACTGCAAACTGATCTTCCTCAGAGCAGAAGAACAGCTGATTGCTATCCCAGTACTGTGAGAAGAGACAGCTGGAACAATGCTTTGCCAAGGGGATGAGCTCCATTATCTGTGGTAGGAACTCTCATTCCTCCAAAACATCATCTCACAGCTCTCTGGGTGCATCTGGCAAGACAGTTGCCCAGATTTAACTTAGAGGTGCCCAGCCTCACCCTTAGAAAGCCAAACCCTGGTGGGTAAGCATTCTGGTTCAGTATCCACCAAGTCCTCTGCCATCCTAGAAAAGATGTTGTCCTCTGAGCAACTGCTACTGTGGAGAAGGAGTCCACATAATACACATTACATAAATACTTAGGCTGTGGAATGCTTTGGCTTTAGGAAGGAAATTTCAGGGAATTACCTGAGGGTGATTTAAGTCCATTAGGAAGGGGCTGGTAGGTATGTACTACTGTTTCCTACACATAAATTACATGTTAGCTACAAAGTAGTGTAGCATGTGGTATAACTGCAAACTATTCTTTGCCAATGTGGTGAAGCACTGATAACAGTGCTCAAATGAACCAGCATTGGTATTGCTGCTGCTGCTCAGCAATGAATTCTAAGCATATCAGCTATCATTGATAGCAAGAATTGCTACTTGGACTGCATGATAAATCTGGCTGGTAAAGCAGAAAGCAGTGTTAGGCAGCTGGGTCACTGCCTCATGTCACATCCACACCATTTTTGTGGGAAGCTGGAGCTGAGCAGGCCTATGATCTCCTTTCTGTGGGTGTATCAGAGATAATTCAGAGGAAGAATGAAAAGTTCCCTGTGAAAAAAAAGGGACAGTACCCACAGTGAGGTGGCTTTTGATCTCTGAGCCAGTGTTTCAATTCCAGTCAAATCTGTGTATTTGAGACTAAATGTATGACACTGAAAACTGAGGTTCAAAGAAAGAAAAGCTAACCCTGTACTTAAATTTCAGAGAGGAAATCAGGGCTCTGTTAATCTTCTGCGAAGACTTGGGACTTGGTACTTCAGAGAACCTGGGCCCCAAAGTCTCATCCAAGCCCATTTAGGGCTGAAACCTCAAGTTCTCTGCTAATCTGAGTGGTGGCATTTACAGCACGGGGTTATCAACTTGAATTTAGGTTGATCTCCTGCTTCTCTCATGCATGAAACAGAAGCCTTGAGTCTAAGAATTTGCTGTGATGGACTTCCAAGTTTTCCAAGAGATGCCATTAGTTCTTCTTTGGTTTCTACACTCACTGGTGAAGTGCAAGTGACCAGAACTGAAAGGCTTCTCAGTAGCTGGTGTATGTGGACAGACACGGCTCTTGCCTTCTCAAAGGCTGAAGATGTTAATATTTTCACTTCTAAAAGGCAGAGACACTGAAATCATCACGTCTGATCTGACCTGTCAGCAGGTAAAGAATTATGCTCTGCTAACTTATTTTAGCTTTATGCAAGTTATGGAGTACATCTGACTCTGGTTTGAAGCTGCTGATTTTTGCTCTGCCTCCCTCCACCAGCCCCTGGGAGGTCCGCTCTGCAGAGGTAACGGTGAGGCAGGGAGCTCACCAGGTCCAACCCCTTTTTAGGGACCTGCACTGAATCCAAACAACAGCTGCCAACTTCCCAAATACTAGGGTGGCCTTAGCTATGGCATGTGGGAAGCTAAAGAGGAGCAAAGAGTGGATACCGCAAATCCTCTGAGAACACTGTTATTAAATCTTGGCTGTTTCTAAGCTGTCCTGCAATTTGTTATTCAGGTGGCTAACTCAGGATTTAAAATGTGGGCTAACTCTGGCTAAGCATTAAGAGGAGAGTTTCCTGAAGCTTTAATTGTGCAGATTAGCTTGAAACGGAAGGCATGAAAATTGTGTGATGACAATAGGTGGCTACTCAGCAGCTAATTCCTTGGGTTCCCCAGGCAGTGCTTGTCTCTGATACTCACCTCACATGCTTAACTTTGGGGAAAAAAGGTGTAGAAATGTTTTAAACTAGTTTTTCACAGTACATCTAGACTCCAGCAGTATGCAATGCAGTACCACACCTTTTAATTTCAGTGGCATGAGTTCATTACTCATGAAAAGCTAAGCAAAATAATGGACTGCAGGCTGAACTCTGCTGGAAAACTGCAGAGGTGGGTTGAAAATGCAGGACACATTAGCTTTTATTAGATAATGTATGAATAATTAAATAAATGGGCCAAGTTCAGGCAAACAGTAGCACTGAATGTATGTAGCCCACTTTAGCACAGAGCTAAATTATTATCTCCATTCTGTGGGTGTATTGGAGATGATTCAGATGAATCAAAGGTTTCAAAAGATGTTCATGCATCCAGTTTTTGTCCAGGACTCACTCCCCAATTCCACTGTTCATTATGCTTTTAATGCTATCTGCCACTCCATAAATACTGCCTTTCCAAAACATGCTTAGGGATGTCTGAGAATGCTCCTGAGTCATGGTGACACTGTTTTGATCCCATGAGATCAACACAGTGCAAAAGGGAAATGCAAGTATTAATTATAATTCCCCAAAATAATTTAAGATACTTTTCTCTCTGTATGCACATATGTATGTGTGTGCATAAATATATTTGCTTTGAGTTCTCAGGCACAGACCCAAGAGAATCCCTCCACACAGAGCTCTCTAACGCTTTGCTGTTGTCCTTATTGTTTCTGACTACTAATGTTCACAGATCACATGATGTCAACACATTAAACCAGAGATGTTGGGCAATTTTCCCCCTGTTTTGTACCCTCTGAGCACTACAGTTGAAAAAAGAATAAGAGAAGTGAAGGGAAAAGGTACCATAACCATTGGGGGGCAGGGGGTGGAGGCACTGTATCACAATTTCAGTAAACAGTACTGGGCACTTCTGTTCCATGTTATGCCACTACATTGCAGGGTGAGTATGAATGAGCCCTGTCCCTTCATTTCCCTTGCTGCAAAAAGGAGTAAGTTATATGGATTTCTGTTAGTGTGGGTTGTGGACCCACTGGAAAAAAGCACTGGGTAGCAGCAATATTTCAAAGCTTTCCAGAGTTGTGCAGTGCTACAGCTGTAGCTGGAGATGAATCTGTGAACTGGAAGCAGATGAAGCCACACATAAACTGAAACCAGTCCCCCAGGTCTAGCTGCACACATTATACACCTGGCATATCTGCCAGAGCAACAATGGAATATTTGGTACCTAGCTCTCAAAAACACTTTTGAGAACACAGAAAGTTGAACAGTTCAAGACCAGGACATACAACTATGCTACTTTCTTACTCCCCCAGGAAAGCAGATCCTTTTCAGGTAGAGTAGTCAGGATAATGCTTAGTTTTGTGCAAGCTACTGTGTGATGTATAGATGAATATAAAAGAGATCTGCCACAGCAAGTAAAAACTGTCCTTTCTGAAGGAGGATAAAACCCACAGATACATTTTCCATAAAGTTCTGTTTTCAAAGCTGTTGTCTCACCAATTGCTACCCAGTAGTTAGGTTCAATCTGCATCAGAAAGACCATGAACTAGGACAAGACCTTGTTTACTCTAGCAAAACAGAGAACCTGCAGGTTTCAAGTCAAGAAGCAAATGTTCTACATAGTCACCAAGCGGGAAACCCCTGGGGACAGCAAATATTGCAGGCACCTAACACAACACGATTTATTTCTGGTGATCAGCAGGAGCCCCATGAAGGGCAATAAGTGCCATCTGAGAAGAAAAGAAAAAATCACTTTCAAAAACCAGCTTCCTAGCATGTTTGTCACATTTCTTCCTGTGTATTTTATTGCTCATTGTCTGGATTTCTCTCCCCTTTTTTTTCTTTCGGTTCCACAGCACAGGGGAAACAGTGGATTCATTACCTCTGTTTTACTTTACTTACATCTCCTGAGGAAGGTTTTAAAGGGCAGAATGCAGAGAAGAGGTCTAGGAAAAGTAGCCAACAGTTTCAAGAAACAAATGTTATTCTCCACTTATTTAATACAGTATCAGGGAATGAACTATAGGAAAACCCTACTTAATGGCTACCACTACAGAAAATAGCAGCTAATTGCTTCCTTAAGGGAAATTAAATGCACAGGCATTAAAATTTTATAAGCCACTTCACAAACATTTCATCACAAGTTTATTTTTTTCCCAAAAATGAGCATTTAGCTACTGCTGCTATTACAGCTGGGACCATATAATGCCAGTTCTTGATGTAGGGCTCAGAAATTAGTATTGTTGAGGTGACATGTGAAAGAATGACAGCAGTTTTCCTTGCCTCATGGGGCAAATCTATTTGTCGAGATTTTTGCCACTTCATAGAATTCTGCTGCTGAGCACAAGAAAGATTTGGAAAAGCAATACAGGCAAAAACTAAGCTGTCCATCAGCAAAGCTGACTCTCCTCTTGGCATACAGGTCATAGCACAGGCTCTATCACAACACAACCAAAGTAAATGCACTTGAAGATAATTTTTTCCTAACATCAGCATCAGCAGGCTTTTCTTCATCTTCCTGAATCTTGAAAAGCAGTGAAAAAAGAAGAGAAAAAAAAGATACATAGATTATATGAGAACAGAAATAGTGATCTGGGCGAATAAAACATTATTTCTGTAAAAGTGAACATCTCATAAAAAATAGACATATCTGAGTATCCCTCAAAACATGAGTACAGAACTCTTGTTTGCATGTCTCTAATGTACTAGATTTTGAACATCTCATGCTAAAGGTACTGTGCCACAATTGTATGCCATATAAAATGATTCAACTGTCAACAGTTCTCAGACTTCTCTGTCTTCAGAGTTGAGAAACCACTAGCCATGTCCACATCCAGCTCACATGAGCATGACATGCAACCTTCTCTTTCCTTCTCCATGCTATTCCATGCTTCAAAATATTTGCTCCTGCTTTTTATCACAGATATAGTTGAAAAGTCTTCAGCTACTGCTGTCTCCTCATACTTACAGTGCCAGTTGTCACAAGGCTATTCTCATGACTGCAAGCCTCAAGAACCATTATGATGCACGTACCCTAGTAACAACAGTGTAGCAGGAATAAGCAACACTCAGTCTCTGAGCTCTCTTACCTCTTTACCACCCATAGCTTCAAACATCTTCTCTAGCTGCACCCGCAGTTGTTGGATATTATTCATCAGGATACAGGGCTGCAGGGACAAAAGCAGGTGCCTGTTACTGCTCAGGATGCCAACACATTGTCACCAGTGCGAGACCTTGTGCCTCAATACCCTTCTCCAAGTACCACCAGATCAGAGAGTCAAACAGGAGGTAGGGCATGCACAGATTTCAGCACTCAAACATTAAAAAAAAAAACCAAGTCATTTTTTCTTCAGCTTGAAATGGGATGGTCAGTTCCAGAACACCCAGATAGGAGATCTCTGCAAAGTACCAGATCTACAGAGCAATCTGTGCCCACTTGTTTTTTCAATCACCTCTGTAACACACAACTCAGGCAATGTGGAAGTTAATTTCAAGGCGACCTGACAGCCTCCAAGCCCTGCAGATCATCTTCAGGACCTGTTTTTATTCCAGGGCCAAGCCACAGTTCAATCTGCAAAAGCATATGAATGATGATAACAATCCTGAAAATATTTACAGCATCACTACGGCCAGGTGCAATGTGAGATTGGTTTCATCAGGACAATTATGTGATTCTCCAGAGCAAAGGAGAAGCTCAGCATAACTTACCAGTTTCTCCTTGGAACAGTAGGACTCAAAGCTCTTGGACAGTATGTCAGCATACTGCATCAGCACTTTCCCAATAGTCTGTGAAGACAAGATGTGAGCACTGTTACTTGTCCCCTAACACTGCTGAAGAACTCCAGGAAATAAAACAAAAAAACCATTACATTGTTTTACATCCCACTAAGGCAAGATTAACATCTGGACGTTGAGGGTATTACCTTAGCAAACCTCCTATTATAATGAGCAACAATGACAGGGTCTGGGCACTCCAACTTCTTAATGATCTCAAAGCTCTGATTGAGCTGGGTGAAGACGTCCACCACTGAGCAAGAGAACAGAGCATGCTCGGACGTTTGCTGGAACTAAAACAGAAGTACAAAGAGTCACTGTCAAGCAGAAAGATCTGAAACACATTCATTTCATGGGTGTTTCCATCATCTGTGGCATTGAAGGCAGGACAAATTTATCAAAACCTACATCTTCCTCTGAATTAGTCAAAAAAACTCTCCAAAAGGCCTAGAGATGCTAAATAGCCAATTCAGTTGGGTTGTAAGTTTACTGTCCTTTACCAGTGATGACATGACAAGCACCAGGGAAGTGCTGCATGATGCTGAGACCCTTGATGAAATGCATGGTCTGTCAGTTAATGAGGAAGGAAGGAGAGAGTAAAGAGCTCTTTTTAATTTTATTTTTTTTTTTAAAATTTAGATATTGAACAGAATGTTTCCATTAGTATCACAAACTACAGTCCCTGAATAAACAAGAAAGCTCTTCTCTCCATAGGGAATACTCAGCAAATTAAGAATAAGATTGGTCTGTCAGTGGATTAAGGTCACATTCTCACTGCATGACTAAGTACATGCAAAGTGCCTCAATTTTCAATTTCAATTACCTCTTCCAAACAGAGAGAGCACCAAGCCACTGGCTGACAGATTAACAGCAGCAGAACAGACATAAATGAATGATATGTACCTTGCTATTAAAAAGCTCTCTGTGACCTGTAAAGTCCTAAAATAAATGAGTTTCCCAGTTGTCTGGCAAGCAGAAAGGGCCACATCCTCCATTTGTACGATAGCTGAATTTACAGTGTTTTATTTGGTTCTGTGCACTGAATGATGTAGGACCAAGTGTTTCACTCAGCGTGACCTACATACCCCATCTTTTTTATCTCTCTCCAGAGCACCATGCAGGAATTCTAAGGAAACATCTTCATTTTCATCCAGCCACTGCATCACAAATTGCTCAAACCACCTGTGGGAGGGTCAGGAAAGACAGCAAGTTACAGCAGGAAATGGAGCACTCCAACTAGACTCTGACAGTTCAAGCAAGCCTTGTGAAAGCTTGCCACTATTAGATGTCTGAACACTGCTGTCTGTGCATGCAGTCCAAGTTCCCAAACATATTTGTACCTGCTCTGAAGCACCAGTGAACAGGGCCTGTACCATGACTTGGGCTGGACCAGCAGGACACAGCCCAGTTCAGCCTCTGCAGACTACTGGTCCTGAGTTGTTTTTGTCCTTCTCCCTATGTTTTCTCTTTTTAGTACCTTCCCTTTTTTCCCCTTTGAGAACCACATTTAATTTTGCACCACCTCAAAGCACTTTGTTGTTTCTTTCCCTTTCATTCAAGCGCCAGATAGCACAAGGGAGACCTCCACACCCACTATCTCTGCATGCCAAAGGGCACCTGTCCTGCTGCCCACTTGGATGTACCAGCTTTTATGTGAGAGCTGCAAACAAGTATAAAGGGAGGAAAAGAAGCACCTGTTTCCCAGGGCCCTTAAGTCACTTCATCTGAAGATACAGATATCTTCCTGGAAGACCAGAAAGAGGAATCAAGGCTGGAAGTTTTCTCTACTTTAATCCTGCTCTCCGTTTCCCTGAGGCTCCCTTACAATACTCTCCCATTTCCAAGGGCTGCTGATCTCACTGTGAAGATGCCTGAATAAGATCAACCCCTGGTGACATCTGCTAGGGTTTGCCAGCCTGTCAGCAGCTCATCATTGTTTTCTTATGAAGAAGCACAAACTTAGTTCATATTGAGTACTCGACCAACCGCGTTGGTGCAAGACCCCCAAAATAGCGAGTTCCAAGAACAAGGACAGCAAAGTTTGTCTCTGTTGTTCCCCTTCACTTTGGAGGATAAGCTAAGTGGTAGAGCAGAATTTAAGAAGCTGCTGAAACAGCCATTGCTGAATCTGACACATGAGAGGTGTCTCGCATGAGCTGGTGTCTGAGATTACCTCCTGCACTGAAAGGCTTCTACATGATCCCACCTTGTCCAAATAGGCAAGGTGAGAGGCAGCTTCAGTGATGGGATCTTACAGCTGTTCTCTGTACCTCTGTTCTCTGTTCTGTGGGACATATTCACACAGTATAAAAGGGGGTGGGTGTGTTTTTGTTGTCTGTGTTTAAGCAATAACATAGCACTTACAGCCTTATTTAAACGTCTGTCTAGAATTTGTTGCATGCAAGTGCCAACTTAGCACAGCTGAAGCAAATCTTAGTTTCAAATATTACTAAACAGCATTCACGAATAAAAGAAAAAAGTGCCCATGTGTGATTTAGTCCATACAAAAGATTATTATATGAGCTTCAGAGAGTACAGCCTCCTCTAAACAGGCAGCTGCGTTCATAGAGATTGTGCTAATTATGGGCTGAGTTTGCAAAGAACATGAAAGCATGTGCCAGACATGAGAGGGAGATCAAGAGCAAATTCACAGGCAGAGCACACTAGATAGCCTTAAATACTCTCTAAACTTTGAAATATAAAGCACATCAATGCTAATATTGGAAATTGTAACTGACACAGTGTTAAAATGCCAACAGAAACCTGTCTATGCAGCCCTATTTATTACAGACAGCAACAGTGGAATACTGTCACAGACATATGGACTTCCTGTATTCTGGAAAAATTCCTTTTGAATGGCACTTCAGGCTCCTAAAAGTCAGCATATGTTGAAGTCTGCTGCAAGTTTCTCATGCTTTCAACGTTTTCTTTTAAACTGCAATAGTGTATTTTAAACAACTAGAGCCTTAGAAGGGAACTCAGGCATTTTACAAGGAAGTATAACTATACATCTTCCACCTGTTTTACAGTTCCCAGGCTGTGAGTTGCTGACTGCTTCACATGTCACAGGTCAATGTGCAGGGAGGATTACTTGTTGGTGCCAGAAGCCACAGTTTTCACTTTGAGAAGCAGAGCAACTTCCTGATTAACATTCACCCTTAGTTACTGCACCACATTCACAAGAAAGAGCCATTTGCTGTTGAGAACAGTCACTGCCCATTTTTATGGCTACCATATGTTGATGTACAAAATCAAGTGCATAGGTATTTTACTGTCTTGCCAAATTGTCTAAACAAAGGTGGCAACAAAAAAGGTACTGTTGGGTGGGTGGGGATGGTACATTTGCTTCCCCCTCATTAAAAAAAAGCATTGCCTTCAGGAAAAGGTTTAGTATGAATGTTAAATGAATCACTTAGGGTCAGGTCAGGACATTCTGTAGGTACATTTGCAAAGCCAGCCTCAACTTTGCCCTTTATTGGCTGGCAGGAAAACACATGAGATGCAAATAATTCATAAATACTTCCAGTCCATATGCATATTCAGGACCAAAACATACTTTGAACTGTAACACAAACCTAGAGCTATCTTAGGCCAAGTACCCCATACAGTGCTCTACTATCAGGTCTTGGGCTGCTGAGCAAGTGAGGGGGGACTGCAAAGGCAACATATCCAGAACCATATTCAAAATTATCTAGCACAAAACCGAATAAAAATAATCTGATTTCATGCAGAAATAACTTCAAAATTTATATGGCAAATATCTTCTCCCTCGTCTGCTTCAATTATTGATCTAGATGCAAACGCTGTAATGACTCACGCACCAGCACACAAAGCAGTAGCTCACAGTGCTACTTCACAGACATTCTGTGCTCACTGGGGTCAGCACTGACTCCAGACAGCACAGCCAAGCCCTCTAAACAAGGTATGTATGGAATATGCTTCAGTCCTGCCTGCTGGGAAAGGGAGCAGCACTTTGGAACTAAATGGAAGTTTACCTCTGCTGGCTGCACAACAGAGAGGTAACACAAAACACTACCATTTCAGCTTGGCCATGAGCATGGCTCCTGCTGTGTCACACTTTACAGGTGAATTCATCTTGTTCATTTGCTGTGGGTATCCAGTGAACAACCTCTGGGCCTTGGCAAGTGCTGAGGCAAGAAGGCAGGCAGGGTTCCAAAGAGTAGAAGAATAAATACTGGGTTTGATGAAGAGAGCTGGGATAAGTCAATAGAATCTCAAGGAAGGAATACTTTCCCTCACCAGAGAGAAGGCAGCTACAACGCTAGCTGCATGCTAACATCGGTATTAAACCAAAACACAGAACACTTATTTTACACATCTAAAAAGCTAGGTTAGCTTGCAGCTAAAAGCTGAAGAGAGGAAGTTTTGAAGATTCACTCCCAGATACATAGCTATTTCCGTTTCAGAAACTGCTGCTGAATTTCAGAAAATAAAGGCAGTATAAAAACTTCAGCTTCAATTCTTTGGAGCCTTCACTTTGTTCAATTATATCTCAAGGCTATCAGAAACATGGTTTCTCACAGTTTCAACATGAAAAGTGAGTTTGTGGATAACCTCTTGTCTGACAAGAAGTCAGACAACCCAACTGTTGTCTGGACAGCAGCAATTTAGTTTCACCTAAAGAGTTTACTGATGTGCAAACCTGATGTGTAGACTCCTTTGTTTAAGGAAGTTTCAAGACTGAAAGTACTAGTGATGAAGCAAATCAAAGGACAAGAGCACGTAGCTGTAATTGATATCAAGGGGATATTTTGTGACAGGTGAAGGTTATGGTTGAAATAAACATCACCTATGTGTGACAATGTGCCTATTGTACTAAAATAAAAGAGTGGAGTAACAAAGCCATTGGCTGCAAATGCACACGAGCACTGAAGCTCTACCACAAAGGGCAGCAGAGCAGAACAGACTGCAGAAGTCTGCAGAACAAAACTGAGCATCATTATCCTGATTACACAGGAGAAAAAGAGAGATTAAGAATGTCTGATGGCTTGCCTGAGATTGCCCAGACTCAGAGGCACAGCAAAGAGAACAAGGCTTCTGAGACTGCCATTCCAGCACCCTGTTCACTGGGTTTATGCCTCCTGCTGACCCGATTTGTTAATCAAGGCCCACAGCCCAGGACGAGCAATTATGCCAATTGCCTCACGTCTTATTAGTATGCAGCTGGCACCAGGCTTGAGGGACCGCATGCACAACAGGATGGGAGGAGAATTCAAAGTGCCAAACTGGAAACAGAGTCCAGGCATGATGTGTTTTTCAAGGGGGACAAGTGCAAAGTGCTGCATTTGGACAGAAGTGAACAGTCATGTACAGGATGTGAACAGCAGCATGGTAGGACACAATGCTGAGGGTGCCTGTGGGCTGGCCTGTGGCCCACTGGAAGCACCACGAGTCAACAATAATTCTGAATAAAAGAAAAAAGAAAGGGTTGCTGTCAACCCAGAGAGCAGCAGCACTGTCTGCAAGGCAATGCAAGGCAAGGTCTAGATGAAACATCGATATTTAAGGTTGGGTATTGTATGTTCAGACACAGACCAGCTGGAAAGAGGTGAGTAAACCTCCCTTACAAGGAAAGCTGGAAAGAAACAAGAACCAGCACAAGACTGGGAAGAGACATGAGCAGAGCATTTTAGTCTTATAAAGCAGGAACAATTTATTCTCCATTCCCAGCCTATAACAAGCTCAAATCAAAACAAGAAAGATTTGGAGGGAGAAAAAGGAAAGTGTGTTAAACCCCTCAAAACCAATGGAGGGGTAACAGTGAAGCACAGGAAAAAAGGTGATGTGGTGCAAACCATCACTGAAAGCCTCTGAGACCCAGTTAAAACACTGGTCAGACCCAGGATACCTGCTCTTGCCTTAGGCAAGGAACTCTAGCTACAGCATTATCTCTGGGTTGCTCCCTTTTGGGCTCATACACCTTCTCCAGGACTGAAATCTACTGTTGCTCGTTTAAAGTTAAATAAAAGTTACAAACAACTGCTTCGAGCTCAAGAGGAACAGCTTATCTGATGTTTCCAGGTAAACCACACAGTCTTTCTAAAAAAGAGAAAATATTATCTTACAAATCCTGTAGTGTGCACATATGACATCCGTAAATGCAGACATACAGTATAAACACATAAACCTGTACCTACAAACACAAGCCTACATCTGCTGTTCAAGAACTGACCAAAGCCCACACTGCAGGCACAGACTGACTTAAGAGACTGTCCATGCCATTGCTAAAGCTTTAGAAATGTTGGGAGATATTGTACAATAAGGGACTGAGTTGGGTTGGGGCAGTGGCACAGAACACCACAGGGGACAAACATGCACATAAAAAAAACACAGAACATCAGGAGTGAAGAAATGCTGTTATCATGAAGGCAGCCACAGGAGAACCAAATGATCCCCCTACCCTCAAGGTAACACAAGGAGACATATAGTGGGGGTTTACTAAAGGACACATAATACACTCACGCTGGATATTCAGGCACTTTTCCCTGGAAGGCAGGCAGATCACGAACATATTCATTGTACAGCCACTTCACTTTGAAGTGTAAATTCATATAGTCCGCACTTTTACACAGTCTGTGTTTCTCATGCTCTGTAAGGAAGGAAAAATAAGCAGTTAAGTCTGAATTTACCACTGTCATTGCCATTAGGCATAAGAAGGTTTTATAAAGCGCATCTGCACTATGCAATGTTTTGAGTATGAAGCATCTATAGAGCCATAAAATCTTCACAACACAGAATTTTGGCAGCAAGCAGGGGTTCTTGGAAGTTGACCATTGGGGCTCTGGAGTTTATTTCTGTAGCTCTAATTAATACTTCCTTTTGTTGAAGATTATTTGGTTGTCAAAGCAATAAAACCAGAGGAATTTCTTATGGCCTTTTCATTTAACATATCACAGTCGAGGTTCCATCTTTGCAGAGGTAAAATCAAGGCAAGTGAATCTGTTCATTCTTGGATAGAAACAAAAGCAATACCAACATGTTACACTACATCCTGTAGTACACAAGAGCAGAAAGCACCAAGAGTTTGACAATATGAGTCACAAGCAAGTCCAAACGAGCTACACAGGAGGTGGAGCCTTCCCTGATCCCCAGTTTGGAGAAATTAATGGTACTTCTTTTCCAGAAGGCAGTGTCTACCGTTGAGCCTCTTCCTCCCTCCAGGTTTCCATATGTTTTTGTACCCAGACAATGTTGGGACAATGCAGTTCTTCCCTGTGTAATGCACATACCTCCAAAACATGACCCTTCCCACACACCTACACTGCTGAAGCACTGGCCATACTCAGACCTACATTTTAACTCCCTAGATCACAGCTTCCCTTACTTAACATGAGGAATGTATTCACCATGTCTTCACTCTCAAGGCCCTTTACAGCCTACATCCACACTACCATCTTTCAGCAATTGACTCCCACCCCTGATCAGCCCACAATCCCTGTTTTTAAACTACTTGTTAAGTTCTCCCAAACGCTTTCTCCCAAGCCACCCCTCATGTGCTTACACAGGCAGCTCCTTCTACTGCGCTGCTTTTCTTCAAAATCTCCCTTGAAAAGATTAAAATTAATTCCTTTTTCATGACGCTATGAGGACTCAGCAGCTGGCTTTTGTCTGTACTGTGACCCTGCGTTATCAGGTGATCAATTCTCCACCTTTGCTCCCCAGTGCTGCCTGTCCATATCCATCTCTTTAGTTTGCCAGGCCTCACAGCAGGAATACACTTTGTGCCAAGCTTCTTTGTTCACTCTAGCACCACAGCAAGCTGCTAGTCCATGTCTACAGTGTAAGATATTATACTAAGACACACATGATTTTAGCTCAGGCTCAGGTTTATATCCTTAGAACTTGAGTTTAGACTCTTCTTTCTATTTTACATGTGGGTACCTCCTTACTGATGTAACTTTCCAAGGGCATCACTGCTGACATGCAGACAGGATTCAGCTATGTTGAAAAGAGGAAGTCTTTTTCTTAACTTTGAATAGCTTTAATCTAGGACTTCAGTACAGCTATCCAGTAACTGGGTAGATTTGTGCACATGTGAGCAATACATGCTACAGATACTCATAAGTGGAAGATACATCTTCGTGATGCAAAATGGCTGTAGTTTTTCTAATCAGTTACCTGACAGACCTTATCTTACATCATTATCATCATCTATTTTCATGTAAATGTGAATTCTTGCAACTAATTCAAAACACTGAGAAACTTCTGTATCTCTCTTGAAGCTTCATCAACCTGCACAAGAAGGTGGTCCACATCAAGTATGAATTATACAACTGAAAACACAAAATCCAGAGAAATTTTAATTCAGAATTTTTCCATAAGCCTTGGCAACTGCCAAGCAGTGGAATGCCCAGTATCTGAGAGACACAGTTCCCAGGAGTGATGGTTCAATGGACAAATTACATATACTATGGTCCATTTCCCTCCAAAGTGAATTTGCTTGTACTGGAGCAGTGGAAAGTCCATTCCTGTTTTATATGAATAATCTTGTATCTTTCTTCATCACTTAGGAGTATACTCAGTGTCTGAACTGCTGACATCCCTCAAGCAACTGCAGAAGAAAATACAAACTCTCTCCACAGATCTGGAAGCAAACAGAGCAATAACTGTGCCCACTTCGCTCCCTGTGACTGAGGAAACCAACGGACAATTACAACTCCATTAACTTGGACAGGTGCTGCCTCCAGCTGCTGTTTCTGCATGGGAAAAGTGCTGTTCCTGTAGAGGAGAGGTCTGACTTGGACACAAAAAGGACTTAAATCAGACTTAGTTCCTCAAAATTAAGCAATGCACTAAAAGCAAGCAATTCAAGCCTTTTTCTGTTTTTTAGAACGTTTAAAACACTTCTAAGTTGCAGAAGACAAAGATGCAAAGCAGCCACAGAAGCTAAGCCCAAGGACTGCTACTAGGACTACCTGGCTATCTAAGTGCTAAAGGAGACACTTGACACTAAGGGCATAAACTACAGAAAAGTAAAAGAAAGAAGGAGAGGTCTTACCACCATAAAAGAGAACTTTACGTATGCGAAAGAGAGGTGGGGCTTGTGACAGAGAAAAGACAAAAGTGAACTATAACAGCTCAAACATTCTGGAGGACAAAGCCAACAAAGACCCAAAATCCCCTCATTCCCAACAGCTCACACCATCTGCCTTCCCTCCTTCAGTGGACCCTGCACAGTTTTGATAAGCTGTTTCCTTTATAAGGTGAAATGTTTAAGACTACCTGAAAGTGACATGGAAACACATCAGTCAGAGGCATACATTGAAAGCCCATTTTAGAAAAGGTAAAGTGAAGGTCCTGGGAACCATCAGTCTTAGAACATTTCTGTGCTGCTTTATAACCTGCTGGCTTTTAAAGAGCTTAGCGGCAGCAGCAGCAGAACAGCACAGAGATATTGTGCAGCAACTACTGTGTTTTATCCTGAAAAGACCACAGAGTTCTGTAAGTCTCACACATTTCCTCACCAGATTTCATCTGCAAACAGCCTCCAATGGAGAAAAGCTTTTAGGGTCACCAAGGCCATATTATTAAGGCATTAATAGGGAACTGCTCCCTAGCAGCACACTTTCTAGCGTCACATCCAGTTCTATTTTTTCAGGCAGAGAACAGTGCTTCCACCACATCCTTTAATCCACAGATTATGTTTCCTGATTGTTAGTCTACTTTTCATGGGTTAATTTCCAGCAAATAATGCCAAATTTCTGCAAAGAAACTCTAATAGGTACCAAGGCTGTTGAAGCATCAACACTTTAGACAGATGGCATCTGTGTGTGCCTCCGATCCCCTTCTCCTTATTAGAAGTGAGAAAGTGGCAGAATGATTTATTTCAATCCTGCCTGCCAAGTCTGCTCAGTCTCTCTTCCTATCAAAGACGCTTCCAATTTGCAACTCTCCTAATGCTGATGTGTCCAAACGAAGATAAAATGGTGCTGTCAAGGATGACGTTGATTTTCTATTACTGTCTTTTAAGGTCTTTCTGATAAAGGAAGAGCACAAGCCTCTTTGCTCGAAGTGTTTGTGCTTTCTGGGCCACAGAGGTTTCACAGAGGACAGTGAGAAAACTATTAACTCCAATTAACCAGTCAGAGTCCCAGAGGTGGTGCCAACTGTATGACTTGGAAAATCATCCTCTACGCTACAGTGACTCCAGGGGACCATGATCCTGCCAGCCAAGTCTGGGACACACGATGATCTGATCTGTTTTACTGTTGGGTTGATGGGGGAACACAGGACACTTCTCAAAGACTTGTCCTGTACTGGCTTTGCCAGTAAACAGGCAAGTGCCAGCTCTGCTGTGAATGGTGCTTTGAATTGTCATTGCTTTGGGGGAAGAAAAAAAAGAAGCAGGGTAGATCCTGGAGCTTCTGCTGTGTCTCAGATGCTGAGTCTCCTTAGGAGAGCTGAAGGCATAAGATCTGTATGCAGTGCACTTGCCTTTCAGCAGTCAAACACTGCTGCCTGATGACTGCTACCGGTTCCTGAACACATTTTAAATAGAGAATAGGTGTTTAATTTTTATGACTTGAACATTTCTCACATCAGCAGTCTAACCCTACAGAAGGTGTCCGAAGGACATGTGGTTGCAGCATCCACAGGCTGGTATGAACTTTGCATCTGAAGCCCTTAAGCCCTGTATTCTAGGTATAAATTAGAGTTTATACATTGTCCTGCACAGGCTGCGTGGGTGCACATGGGGCTAAACTCCAGCTGGGAAAGGCATGATGGGGAAAAAGGAAAGCAACTCACACAGTCAGGCACTACTCTCCAGCTCAAAGAAACCATCTCCCACTTGAGCCTCCCAACTCTCCTCCACACTGCATCCTGGAGAGCAATGTGGAAGTAGGAGGCTGGAAGGAGGCAGGGGGCAGTTTCATGCAGCCAGGCCTGCACTCTTTCTACTCCAAACCCTTCACATTGCAGAGTGGAAGGGCCAGAGATCCTCAAGCATCACCTGGGCCAGGAGGAAAGGAACAGAGTCACACATGAACTGGAGCTCTGACCTCAGCAGCTAGTCTTCAAGAGACATTATCTACATCTTAATGCCTGGGACCCAGCAAAGGGGCTATTTCCCAGAACTGCCCAGTGCATCAGGTACTGTCAAAAAACTGGAGTGACTGATCAGAACAGGAGTCTCCCTACAGCACACACCCTCCATTTCTACAGCTGCAGTATGGTCTTTCAAGTCTTCTTTGCAGATCTGTTTTAATGCTGGCATTAGACTACAGAACACTAAAGCTAGTGTGACAAACTACATCCAGAGTGCTAAAACTATGGGTAACAGATTAAACTCTCTGTCTACTCACACCTACAAGCTCCACAAGGAGCATGAACTTACCACTTGGTGAGGTGAATGAGCTCATGTGATCCAGAACTTAGGAACAGAACATAAGGGAAAACACCATGAAGAAAGTTAGGAGCAAGTGATATAGTCTGGGTTCATGTGCACATATCTCCACAAAGTAGATTAGCTTTTCTTGAAGAGAGCTCCTGATGCATACAGATCTTGGAGCGCACCAGAAATGTACCCAGGGATTATGCCACAAACTGGCAAAAGGAATATGAAACTCTTAGTGCAGTTAAACTGGTAGAACAATCAGTGACTGAACCTGAGAAATGACAGAGCCAAGAGCTAAGGACAGCAAATCTAATCATCATCCCTCACATCATTCAATCAATTTCCTTTAATCCCTTTTTTCCCCTAGTTTAAAAAAAAATGCACTTAGCTAATCCAATCATCTGTATTTAAAATATATCTAGTAAGGCCTATAATTGAATTATTGTGGAGCTTGTTCTAAAGGTTATCTTCACAAGTTTCTGGAGAGCAAAGCAGTGAGGAATCACACTTGCCTCAAATAGAATTCTGCACCCTGAGGATTTCTTGAATATATATTTGGCAGAGACACACCCCAACGCTGACTCTACTGCTGTCCAACCCTCCTGCATAACTTGCACAACTGGAGTACAAATATATTATCATGCAGTTTTTCAACTTCTGCTCAAAATGCAAATCCTCCCCTGTCCATCAGCCACATTTGTGTCAATTTTCGTCACCAATAAATATTTTGAAGAGGTCTTTCAGTGAGAATTTGCTATGCACTGAGGAACTAAGGGATGGAAACATGATACCAATCCTTGTCTTAAGAAGCTCAAAAGTGACCAGAAGCATGTCAGGAAAAGGTAAAATAAGCCCAGATTGATGAGTGGGAACAGAGTCAAAGGGGACATGGTATGAGATCTTAACAGAGAAAACCTGGGAGGCCAAGCGAACATGGCAATCAAATAAAGTCATTAAAAAGACAAAAAAACCCCAGTCAAAGTCATGTCCCCTTTGACAGTCAAATTCACACGTAACCTTTTTACAGTTGCATTTTGGATGCAACAGGGAAAGGGAATCTTAGGAAAGTAAGCAACCAGATCTGGAGAGATCTCATGGCTGCACATAAAGGAGGAAGATAGTACACTTCCAACAGTTAGAAGAGTAAATTGCATTATAAATTCTTGAAGGCAAGCACGCAGGAGTAAATAGAACTATGGATTGGCTTGGGTTGGAAGGGACCATAATGGTCATCTCATTCCACCCCCCGTGCCATGGGCAGGGACACCTTACACTAGAACAGGTTGCTCAAAGCCCTGTCAAACCTGGCCTTGAACACTGACAGGGATGTGGCACTCACAGCTTCTCTGGGCAACGTGTTCCAGGGCCTCACCCCCCTCTCCCAGGGAAAAATTTTTTCCTAATATCCAACCTAAACATATTCTCTTTCAGTTTGAAGCCGTTCCCTCTTGTCCTGTCACTCTATGCTCTTGTAAAAAGTCTCTCTCCATCTTTCTTGTAGGCTCCCTTCAGGTACTGGAAGGCTGTAATTAGGTCACCTGGAAGCCTTCTCTTTTCCAGGCTGAACAATCCCAATTCTCTCAGACTTTCTTCATAGGAGAGGTGCTCCATTCCTTCTATATAAGTAAGAAAAAAACTGAAAGGGGACCTAAAATGGTTTGCAGGAGCAAACAGTTTCTAGGGAAAGATAACATGAAATTATCACCATTGCCTCCTCTCTAACATATGAGCAAGTAGTGACAATCCCTATAAAAGGGATTCTTCAACACAGTAGGTCTTAGTCCTTCTTCCCCAGTGTCTGTTCTTATATCAGCATGACCTCACAAGACAATGGCACTGTGGGGTACAGGCATATATAAAAAGTTCCTAACACAGAATTGAGAACACTTCATCCAGCCCTGCAGCCTGCTGAATTCAAGCCTACAGCTGGCAAAGAGACTTGGGTTTGGAATATGAATACAGACACTAGCATGCCACAGACAGCACCAGCCCTTCTCTTTTATCACAACAGCACCTTACAGGTGATCATAAAGCTGAATCCTACAAAATACTGAGAAAGCAACTGCTACCACAGCTGCAGAGCTAGCAGGAGCTGGATGCTCTCTGAACCTTGTAAAAAGATGATTAGATTGTGCAAATCAATGTATAGAACTAAAATCAAGTTCAGAAACTGTAATCAACCACCTGAAGAGTACTGCAAGTAGCAGAATTCCTTTCTGGAAGTTTGCTGGGCTTTGCATGCCTAACTCATTTTCAGAAACAGTAAAATTTCTTCCCTACTAGGAGGTGGAACTATGCAAAGACTAATTCAAAATGTCTGCAGCAGGAATTGTTTTAACAGCATCTTTCTGCCAATGGCTTAGACCATCTATGCTGTACTATCCAGGGAACTAGAGCCATGGTAAAACCCAGAGTCTGCCTACATTTTCAACCCTTTCTACCACAGTACACTGCAGAATGAAGCAGCTGCTGGCTGCTAATCTAAGCCAACGTAACCTCAGGTCAAAGAGAACTTCTGATTTCAAACCAGCTGGGATAACAATAAACAGCTTGCAACACAGCCTGACTCAGAGGCCTGGAGCTCATGCAGATCTCGGCCTCAATTCTCACCCATAAGGCAGCTGTGCACAAACAAACCACTGGGAATCTCTACTCCAAAAAGTGCTGCTACTCCTGTGCTTAGGCCTCATTTTCACCAAATGGATGGAGAACAAGAGTTCAGCAACAAGTCAGTTAGCAGCAGTGAGACATTCTCTTACCTTCCATGGCGTATTTCATATCCTGGGCAAAAAGACTCCACATCACCTCTGCGCTGATCTTCCCAACTGCAAGCTCCTGAGGAAATCTGAGGGGACATTCGGAAAAACTTTGGCATGTGGCAGAGCAAAAGGCTCTTCTTTATTCAGCTCTGAGCTACACTATGTGATGAAAAGCTCAACATTACAGAACTTCCTTCACCCTAGATAAAGGTCCAGGTGAAAACTGGAGACCGTGAACCGGACTCTGTGGCATAGATTAAGTAATCTGAAAACTACACTGGTTTTAACTCAAAAAGCCAGGCCCTGGATGTCATTCCGGGTAGAGATGCATAAAATAATTCTGGGAATGTGATCTCAATGCCCTTGTACCTTTTTCCCTTTCCTTGTCTATTTTTTTCATTCTCCTTTTCAAGGGTTACTAGGCTGACAGATGAATGATTATTATGTTAAATCAATGATCATTAGGGCATAATCCAGCTGTTCGTGTATAATACCTTGTCAGATCTCTCTCTCTCTCTCCTGCCCTGTGGGACTGTTGGAGTGGTGTCACTGGTTAAACAGACCTGTTTCAGGTTCCTTTCCAATGCTGTGCCAACTCCACCCAATGCAATCTCCCAGTGCTGCAATGAACACCATGTTCCTAAATCACAGTGTAAGGCACCATGGCACCACTGTGTGCATTAACGTGCACCCCAGAACTGCTCAACATCAGAAAAAACCAAAAGAACTCTCACCCCATTTTCAGGTGCCTCCCTGAGTTCAGGATTGTAATAATCAGGGTGTTTGTGCTCGAACGCCAGCGTAACTGAACCTTTTGAAACTCTTCCATCCCAATCAAAAAGAGTTATTTATAAAGACAGAGACAGATAAGACAGAAAGACAGACAGACAAGATAAGTACTTCTATAAATGCACAAGTGACAGAAGAGATAGAAAGCAGCTCAACAAATAAAGCAGAGCACACACAGACTAGTGTTAGCCACACAGGACATGGAAGTTTCTTACTGATTCAGGACTGGGGTATAGGAATTCTTGTCCTCTTCTATGATGGAAACTATCAAAGTGATGAGCTTGGGCCAGAAATCAAGGTTCCTGATGCTGGGGCCCTGTTCCTCAGGAGGAAGGTCCTGACTTTTGTTCTGGGAAGGAAGCCATTGGAAAAACAGCATAAACTTTAAGTGGACAGAAAAAGCTGGCAAATGTAGATCACCATTGTGGGCCCTTTCTCTGAAGAGCTTAAAACTCATAATGACTGCTGGCAATTTGCCTGATCTAATGCAAAACATAGTAACATGCCAAACCATGTTGCTTACTGGTGGCCTCAAACCCAACTAATCACTGTTTTGTCATTTACCATGCCAAGAGCAGTCCAGGCTCCAGAAGACCTGCTGAGACATTATTTTCCCTAAGCTTATTCCAAATACTTGCTTTCTAGGCACCTGCTTGATGACTATATCCACACTGACACATTGTGTGTGCATTACTACACAGTGGTCGGAGGAGCTTTTATGGATTTGAAAACAGCTTGTGTCTAGAGGCACCTCCTAAACCCAGGGCAGGATACTGGCTGCTAGAAAACAAGGTAAAATTTCACTGCTCGGGGTTTATATGTGCTGAAGTTTCCTGGATCAGTCTACATCTGCTCTAATTGGCTTTTGCTCATTCAAAGCTACATCAAACCTTCCCTTCACAAGTAACTGCTGAGGCTGGCAAAATGCATCATAATTAGTGTAAAACAATTATCATCCTCCACTTACTAATTAGACCTCATTATTTGATTACAAGTTTCGTGCATTCAGAAGATAACAAGTCACGTAATTTTGTTTGTGTTGGCTTTTTGTATCAATTAGTATTCTCGTTATTATCTTAAGAAAATCAGAAACTTGGACTTCAGCCTTCTTATCAGCTACTCACAGGATCTGTCTGGTACTCGCGACTGTACAGCTCATGACAGTTGTTGAAAATGTACTCGTAGGTGGAGTTGAGACAAGCTTTTACACAGTCCTTCACTACCTGGCTGGCTCGGGGTGGGCTCTGCAGCTCTTGGACCTGACAAGGAGACAACAAAGAGAGTCAAACAAAGAATTGCTCATAAATCAAACAGGGAAGGAACACACCACCGGTTTGGGAACCACCCAGGGCTTGGTGGGATCTGCTTTCAGCGACCTGTGCTATCGGTGACCTGAAGCCACAAGTGGGTCACTCTCCCCAGGCATCAAAGAGCACTGATGACACTTATCTCCCCAATGGACCATTTGCAGAATAAAAACAGATTTTGAAAGGCCAAGGAAGATTTCTCAAAATAGACAGATCATGTGGTTTGATATGTGTATAACCTGAGCCAAACATGCAATTTCTGCTGAATTTATAGGATTTTGTTATGAAGCCAGCGAGTAATCTTTCCCAACATTGGAAGAATGTGTAACAGACCAGCAGAGCAGATAACATCTGATCTGGAAAGTCTTGCTGAAGACCACTCATATGCCTCTAAATACAAAAACTTGCATTAAGGACATCTTTCATCACAAGCTTTATTGAATTTTAAAGCACACCAGAATCCCTAGAGTCATGCCAACTGATACACCTTCTCCTCTTGGAACAGCAGCTGTTTTCATTATTTCATTGTTATATTGCTTTAGAAAAATGCTGCAGGAGCACTTTAAACTAAACAGATAGGCAGGCATCACCCTGTAAATACAACAATAACCCAGCAATTTTGATACTGTCAGTATCTCACAACTTCTCCAAGTATTTCTATAAAGCAAACTTTCGATACAGACAGATTGCCTGAATGAACACTCTTAAAATAAAGTTCCAAAACATCATTTACCTTAAGGGTTAGGAGTAAAATTTTAAGAACTTCCTGAAACAGTTCAAATTAAACACTTGTTTTTTGATAAGAATTTCTATGTGACATGTACAAACAGATGACAGTAGGTCGTAAACTTTTAAAAAAAGTTTAAAAACCAATAATCAGGAAACAAAAATAATCTCATTACACACTGCTAGAACAATAAACTTAACTATGGAACCCGCACATTAGCATTCATAAGAACTCTCCTGGACCTCTACTGAGAGATATTATCTTGTTGCAGTATTTTACCCTCCATGAGATAAATTATAAAATATTTACTAGATAAAAGATAGTGAATAGATAGTAGTGGCTGATGTTACAGTTAGTTTTGTAGGAAAAGCTTCCTAATGATGTTAACAGAAGCAAATTATCTTCCTAAAACTAGCCAATTTTCTTTATTCCTTCTCCTTTCTTTTTTTTTTATGCCATATTTATGACTGCAGAACCCTAGGCAAAAAACAATTTACATCTTCTCAGTGCAAAACACAGTGAAGTAAAGACAAAATGTGGATGTTTATACATATTCACAGATGATTTCCATCTTCCTTAAGTGTCTAAAGCACAACAATGTTAAACAATGCTTTGAAAATGGGAAATCAACTCCTAGGGGAAAAACTAAAGAGATGCCATTCCCATCACCACCCATATCACTACCTTCATCCTGAAAAAGGTGATGCTGGTCAGCAAATCCACTGTAGACTTCAGGTCCTGCAGGCGTTCACGGCTGCTGGCTGGGAAGTTATTCTGTTGACAGAAAAGGGAAATCCTGTTGGAAAGCACAGCCAGATCCATGCAAGGCTTCAAGCATGTGCTAAATAAGGAAACTGTCTTGGAAACATTTCCTGCTCAAGAAGCTTGTACCAGTCAAAACAATGCTCAGTAAATAAGGCCTTTTTGCTGCAGGAGCTTATCTGTTTCCTTAATTAAATAGATTCTCATAAGAACGCAAAGTCCATGGATGCCAGGAGACTGACAGCCCTCGGCAGCAGGAAATCTCTCCTTGGCTGTTGAAGAAGCAGGCTGGGAACAGCCTCACCCCTGGCAGCCCTGGCCTCTTGCCTGAGGTTGCCTGTGTGGGCCCTTTCCTTTTTGCACTCACTGCTTGGTGTTTTGGCTTCCCTTCTGAGATGCTGAGAGATGTGGTGTATTAAAAAGCTCTCCAGAGAAACAAACTGGACTGAGAAGGAAAAATGAACACCCTTCCCTCTAAGAAGATATTGTAACCACTCAGCCACCTGTAAGACCCCATCTGCCAAGATAACTTATGCATCCTTCAGTGCCTCCTTCCCTCTAATGCATTTATTTTACACACCCTTCCCATCACCCTGCTGTCCACAGCCATATACACGCCTTCCTCTTCCACTCTCTGGCTCCCACTGAAATTAGAAGTCTTGTCCCTTCCATATATGACACATATTTGTGTATGTGCACATATGTATATATATATGTGTGTAGATACATATACTGAATGCAGAAAGCTTCGCTTCTTGCATGAGATCCTCCCTTTCTGACCTCAGGCACTGCACCCTTTCCTACACTCCCACTCTGTCCAACCTGTGTCCTTTAACTCCATTCATGTTCCTCAGCAGGGTCTTACATTAAAGCTGATGTGATTTTTGGTTTTGCTGCAAGTACAATAGCAAAGGCAAGCTTCACTTGGGTAGTCTCTTCTTGTTTGCAAGTTCAAAACTTATTAGATACAAAGGTAAAAAAGGGCAGAGGAGAACAAGTGTTCACTTTTTATCGAGGACTTGCAGAAAAATACACAGTCTCTTGACAGTAGTAATTGAGTATTGCTGCAGTTCAGCTAACCACTGCAAAAAATTTAATTTGCAGTTATTTGTAGATGCTCATTCCTAGATAACTCTCCTTTTAAGGTTAACTTGTCTACACATGGGCTCTCTGGAACTCAGGGTATTTATCAAAATCAAAGCCTTTGAAGGGTCAAGATCTAAGTACAAACCACTGGATGAATGTGAAATGCTATCTCCTGTCTTGAAAGCTGCAAACTAACACCTTTTCTTCCATACCTTAACCTGCCCTTCAGGGGTCTTAAAATAATTACTAAATGGTCTCAAATTGCTTCAGACGTTTCTCTAAATATAATGGCAATTGGATAACACCTGAAATATTTAAACTACACAAATCTTTCCCGGTCCTTTATGTAAGACCTTGCTCGTCTGTGCACAGGTCAGTTGCATTAGCCACTGAAAAGCAGCTTTTAATGAAGACCAAGCAAACAAAAAAGGCATCACTGCTACAGATTCCTATTGCCATGTGTTGATAATTTGCCTTCTGCTACTTGGTGGCTCTGTTTAGACCTTCTCTTACTAGTACTGTAGCTTTAGAATATCTCTTCATACAATATTCCTTTTATCTTCTTTTGCACCCTGACCCTTTTCCTTTTTGTTTTCTCTTCCTACCGCACTTCTCTTAATCCGCTCATGTTTTTCTCTTACATATGTTTTTCTGCATTTCAGATGAATGCACTAATCAGAAGAGGATCTAGTTTAAAATAAATAAATAAAATCAAAGCTCACATTTGCCACCATTTTTACAATTTTCAGTTAATTAATCAACAATTGAAATATGGCAAGGAAATTAAGAAAAAAGCCAAGTCACGTGATAAGACTAAACTGACTCTGCAGTAGCAGAGGAAGAAAGCAGAGGGTTTATGAAGCCTGTTAGACTAATGCCAACATTTAAAACTCATCTCTTCACAAAATGTTGAAGAGGACAGAATCTCAAACCCGACAATACATCTTGTAGATCCAAAGTTAGGGACAGTGATTCGAGTTTGCCAAACCTCAAATAAGTGACAACATGGCTGTGGGTCCTCTGAAATATTTCTGTCATACTAGGGGAGAACAACTCTATTTTCCATTTTTAGATGATACCTGAAGGAGCTGATAAGAGTAATTAAAATAATTTAATCCAACCCAACTTGCATTTCTGGGAGAGTGTCAGAGATGAGCACAGTTCACAATCCTCAAATTATTTCAGAAGGCTTGAGGAAGTTATAATGGAAGAAAAAAACATGATCCATGAGGAAAACTAAATGGTATATTTAAGTAACAAGTTTGTCATGACAATTCCTTAAGACACAAACTACACAAAAAGTTAGAGACATATGAGAAATCCAAATGGTGTGTTTCCCCTCTGCCCACCAGAATGCCTGAAAGGACTATATTTATTCTCACTCACCCTGTACATTGAGAGATCAATCCGAAGTGAATTATGAAGTTGGTCCAGAAGCTTCACAAATCGTTCTTTCTGTTGAGAACACCAATAAACATCGCTTATCATCACTGTCCAATCGATGTTCAGAGTAAGCAGCAGGCTATCACGTAATTAGTGTCAGATCTCATGAGAGCAGGAGGAAGCAGTATGGATACATGGCGTTGTGTAAACAGTGTTTTCTTTCGATTCTTGGATTTACTTTTAAACTGTAATTATTTCTGAAGTCTGTGTAATGTTAGAATTGTCAGAAAAAACACTCCATTATTACTCTGAAGTAGAGGCAGAAGAGAAACCCCTCTGATTTCTAGTCTGCAATTTACACCAAACTTGTATTTAAGAGAAAATATTTATTCAGAGATGGATAAAGTACAGCAGAAAAGAGTCTAATTCAGAGCAATAAAACAGCTGCAAGATCTTATCTATTAGTTCAGTGACAAGTATTATAGGTTTCTTGTGACATATCTTCTTGAGGTCAGATTTCTCCACTGGATTCTAATTTGGCATTGTGAACACCTCCTCAATCTATTCATGAATTCTCAATCTAATGAGAAGCATAAGCCTTTCCAAATACTTTGCCAGTATACTCAGCTCCACCACCAGTTATGTAAAAAATATTTTAACCATTAGAGGGATAGACATTTCTTGTGGCTTCGAGTTTGTTTTTTCTTCCTTAAAGCAGTTGCTATTTTTAAAAATAAAGTTCTGAAATTACTAGATCACATGGTATATTTCAGCAACAGCATCAACAGTCAGAGTTTAGTACTGTTTGCTCATTCCATACCATCTGTGCTCTATTGTAATGTGAACATAAAGAATAAACATCACAATGCATTAGACTGATTGGTAACAAAAATGCGTGATGATGATGACAATAAACCCATGCTCTTTGTACAGTCTGAAAGAGTTTTATTGCTTCCAACTCCTCACAGATTTAATGTTCCTTAAACAGAAGTTATTTATTGGAAGGCGGAAGCACCGTAGGGAAATTACAGAAGTCCAGCTGTAACATCACCAAACACGCAAACATACCCCAAAATTGGAGGCTGCAAAGCGGTCCGAAGCAGACACGTTTGTGGAGGCAGTGGTGTGTGCATAATAAGCATTGATATTGGCAAGTAAGGTGCTCATCACAGCTGGCACGCCTGGGCACATGTATTTAGAAGAGAGACATGCAAAATGCCTGCAAAAGAACAGTTCTGTAAGTCATTCTGGTCTCCCTTGTGTAGCAGTACTTGACTTTATCCCTTTAATAGACCCTGTGTTCTGGTGGGCACTGATGAACAGATGCAAGTTATGTTTCATCCCTTTATGCAGCTTTCCAGCATCTCAGAGCCTTTTTTCAGAATGATGCCATCTAGACAACAGCTCAAAATGAGAAATCCCTTCACTACAGCCCTTTCTAGATCATAAACCAACTGTTTGCTGCCAACAGCTTGTGACTCCAGTCATACCCTGGGTCTTCATGCCAATTCCTAGAACCAAGTCTGACACAAGGTAATCTATATAATTTGCTGCTGCTCGAGGCAGGCACGGGTTCTGAGGTGACATGAAGCAGCAGTAACTGCCTCAGAGAGGCAAAGAGAGAGCACACACGCTGGTATTTCTGTGCTGCACTGATATGTGATTCCTTACTGCTGACCCTTCCAGCCTGCAGGAAGCATGCACGTTCATTTACATTTCCCCATTCTCTCATAAAATGCAAGGAACCCTCCTTCACAAAATCTCAACATTATGCCAGGAGCACCCAGGCTTGTGAAATGATTAAATAATCAAAGAAAATCCGTTAGACATATGAGGGGAAAAAATAATCAGAACTTAAGAGGTCTTGTATTATGGGACATGGCAAGTAAAGTTCATTCCAACAGGCAGGAGAGTTGAGCTGTTTTTAAGCAGGAATCCTCAGAGCTCCCAAACGAAATCTGGAAGCTACTTTCCAAATGTAGCTTTCTCCTTAAGGGACTCACAGAATCATAGAATAGTTTGGGATGGGAGGGACCTTTAAAGGTCCACTCCTACAGTGAACAGGGACATCTTCAACAGACTAGACTGCTCAAAATCCTCGACCTTGAACATTTCTAGGGATAGGACATCTACCACCTCTGGGCAACCTGTCCATCCAGGGTTTAGCACCCTCATTGTAAAAAATTTCTTCCTTTTATCTAGCCAAAATTTACCCTCTTAAAAGTTTAAAATCATGCTTGCTACATGATACTTATGTACCAACTGGTCATCTAGGCACTTGGTAAATAAATATAACCACATAAAATGGCTTTGTTTAGCTTTAAGAAGAAAAGGTGTGAGGAGTGGGGATCTAATCAGTGTCTTAACTACTTAGCAGAGAGGGGAAGGTTATAATCATAGAATCAATCATTAAGGTTGGACGAGACCTCTGAGATCATGGATTCCAACCATTAACGTAGCACTGCCATGTTCACCACTAAATCAGGGCCCTAAGTGCCACAGCCACACGTTTTTGAACACTTCCAGGGATGGCAATTCCACCATTTCTCTGGGCAGCCACTCAGTGAGAAGACTGAGCCAGGCCAAAATCCTTTTAGAGGGAGGACTAAAAGATAGGCAGCAATATGCTGCAGCTACAGCATAAGCAATTCAAAGTACGATTTTCCAGTCTGGATTTTAACCAGGGATTTCTTTCACAGAGTACTACAGCCTGAAGACAGGAGCCAAGAGAGGTAGCACACCTTCCTCCTTTGAAATTTTCCACTTACTGAAAGAGCCCCGAGCAGTCTGGTCCAACTTCCAAGTTAGTCCTGCTATAAGTAGTGACTAGACCTTCAGAGAAACCTTCCAATTCCTTTCCATTTTGGCTTTAACCAATAGGCAGAAAAGCTGCTTGCAAGGTGACGTAAGAACAGTTCATAACTCATCCAAGGACCCATAACCCAAAACTTTCAGTTTCTAATGTGAAAAAGTTCACTTTTGTCTTCTACATATTTACATTTGAAATAAGAAATGAGCTAGGCACAGCACTACTAGTCTTTAAGAAGAATGACTAATCCCAAATCCAAGTAGAAGTATAGTGACAAGGAAAAGGTTCTTTGAAGATGAAGAACTGCATTAGTCTAGCTCCAAAGAAGACAAATCAGTTGCTCCACTACTCAAACTTTCTATAAATGCCTTCAGCAGCACCTGGGAAATCAGTCACTTCATAGGACTGTAACAATTGCTGCAACAGTTGTGTAGGACAAATACTTTCACAAAACCTCATCCCTTCTCACATCATCAGAAATATTCTGTGGGAACCCTGAGTAAAATCTTTTTAACAGAAGAGTTCTCAAATAGGGATTTTTGAGAGTCTTAAAACAGGAATGTCTCAGCCACCAATAATAAAATATGGTCATTTACGCTAGTGAAGTTGGTGTAATTCCTTAGAATTAGTTTTAAAGGTGTTCACATGAAGTGTTGAGATAAAAGCTTAATTCCAGCACTTTGTCTGACATTAATTTCTAGACTTTGAGGAAACTGGTGATTCAGAGACAGGCTCACAGCAAGCCCCATAAGGAGCAGCTGTCACTGCCAAGCCTTCCATCACCAGCACACTTCATCATCTAAATAGTAAAAGTCACATCAATTAGTTACACCAATTATGTGCACTAAAGACCACACAAAACGCGTCTTACGTCATGGCCTGGTATATTGATTCAATGCCGTAACGCATTGCAAACTCATCCACGATCTCTTGCGCTGTCTCGTCAAAATACACCTTCCAGGCATCATCTCCTTTGGCATCAGGGATCTTCACCACCCCATTCCCTTGCACATCTGTGAGATGGTGAAAGAGGTTCTGAAAGACAAAGCAGGAACAGGTTTGTGTGTGAGGCTGCTGAGGCCTTTAAGCAAGATTCACAAAGATCTTGGAACTGCTGAGGTGGTGGCACTAACACAAATTCCCTTGTTCTCCTCCCCTTTCTTCCCCCCTACCCATTCTGTGTTTTCTGCTTTTGCCTTCTTTTCTTCTTGAGTGCTCATAGCCGAATTTTTTGCATGTGGACCTACAACTTTACCCAGCAGACATTGTGAACAATGCAGAACAGTGCTTCAGTGCTCTGAAACCACACACTAATTAGTTTCCTGAAACCTACACATTTCTGTCCTCGGAAAGAAATGTCTTGGACAACCTATTTAAACTAGCTGACATTACAGCTCTGTATCAGCATTGTAATTATTATCATACAGCAGAACAGTCCAAGGAGTGGTTTTTCTTCTGAGAAGGATACCCTTAAGATCACCCCTAGCAACTAGACACTTGCATTATTATTCATCATAACCTTTCACTTTATCTAACACTACAAAAGTTTTCAGCTATCATTGCTGTGCAGAAATTGCACAATCAGCTCAGTGGGTTTCTCAGTTATCCTCAAATTCAAGACACTTGCAGATTCATCAGCCTTTCAGACAGCTGGCTCCCTGCAGTAAGGGGTGCAAAAGTCTAATGATCTCATTAGTAGTTAGAGGACTGTGCTTTACACTACTATTTTTCCTGATTAAATTATCCTTGCTGTAAATCATCTTCATTTTAGAACACACAAACGAAAGAAGGGGATACTTAAAATGAGACCTATTTGCAAAAAACCAGCAGCAAGTGATCATGGATGTTCAAAGGAAAAAGAAAAAAGAAACAGCTTATCAAACAGAAGCCATCACTGAATTAGAAAACAAATATGTATTGAAGGAGACAACGCAGCCTACTAAAAGAAGCCTACTAATGTTTTTTCTAAGCTCCATATCTGTCCCATAGACAGCTCCTTGGTAAGGCTGGAAGACACCACAGCACTCATCCAGCCCAGTGTCTGGATAAATATGTTGTTCCTGTTGATGAATGATCTACTCTGTGATGCAACTGCCCTTCTTGTCTAAGACAAATTTACTTAAACCTCCCTGGACTTTATGATATTCTTGTATAGAGGGCTCTGACTACTCTTCCTTATTCAGGCACTCAGAGTCTCACCCTGCCACCCGATTCTCTTTGACATATTTACACTGGGCACCATGCATCTCTCCAAGACAGGGTTATTCCTTTAGTCCTTTTCCTAAGTCATCTTTGGGTTTCTTCCAACTTCTGCAGCATTGCCTCCCCAGCTCAGCCCATCCTGAGACAGGTCGGTACCCAGTAACCTCAGCTGATCTTCTGTTCCCCAAAAGCACAGTTCTGTTCCCCCAAGCTGTTGTACAAAACTACACACCAGTGCAGCAGAACAAAAGAACTTATACCACCAATATACGCATCACTCAACAGCCAGAAACAAAGCCCTCCACAGTCATAATTTACCTACAAAGCATTTTAGTATGCTTCCTCTAAAGAAAGGCATAGATACAGTACACATTGAAAACATCACTCAAGGAATTTCAAAGTTTCTCCACATTAAACTCATCTTTAATTGGTTCTGAGTGGATCCAATGCCTCACCTCAGCCTAACAATAGCACAGCTGTGACATGGGATGGACTGAGCCAGCCAGCCCCCAGCATGAGGGACACAGCCTAAAGCTGCCTTTGCCTTTCTGACAAATGCAGGTCTGATGATTCACTGCTTTACCAGGCCTGCATAGCAGGGAAAGCAAAGCTCACCTAGGGTAAAGTGGCACATTCCAGGGAAATGAATGTCAGAAAATTGCTTTTTCGGTAGTCAGAAGGAACATGGTGATGTTCCCGTCTCTTACCTCGTGAAGGCAAGTGTACTGAATATGATATGGAGCCACCTTCTCCTCGCCTTTGATCTCCACACTGATCTGCAGACGAATAGCCCCGGACACTGCAGACTTATCTGTTCTTTTCTCTAGAAGGAAAAAACATCAGCAACTATACGCATTGTTCATGTTCAGAGCACAGACATCTTGGGGTGACAACACTGGCAAAGAAACTGCTGGAAACTCAGGCTGAGTCATCTCAGAGAAAACTTTCTCTTTTCTTTCAAAACATTGAATACTAAGTAGACATCAGCAAAACAACTGCCATGATACACCCTCAATATGACACATCTAGCTAGAACTATGTACATTTTTAGACATAAGACAGCCTTTCCATCAGCAAATGTGCTACAGTGTCTTGGATTCAGTCAGCTGAACTAGAACCACCAAGGACAGATTCCTTTCTGAGAACAGGGCTGAATGATGTGGAATTCTTCCCTAAATTCACCACAGCCCTGAACTCCTGGGAATTGCTGGCTGTCCCTATCAAGAAGATTTTGGATCTCCTACGACTATTACTGTGCCTGTCAACTCAGCACCATCTGGTTACTTGCTAGTACTTTCCTCAGTAGTCACTGGGAAAGGTCTCAACAACCTGCCAGCCCAGTGCAGTGCACTTGATGGTTTTATAGTCAGGTAAAACTTTTGTGTTAAAACAAAAAAAAGGATGTATGTAAAAGGGCAGTATGCCTCCAGCACAGGTGGAATACAGTCCTGCCCCAAGCATTTCACCCATTGTACTTTTCAATGCCTGACAGACAAAACCCAACAACCCTCTGACATGTTACACTCCATTTATCTGGGATCAGCTTTGCAGCTGCTCTGCAGTGGCATCATGTACCCTTTGAAACCATGTAAGCTTTTTTTTATTTCCTTTCTTGCAAGTTGTCCATATGCATCCAAGTGCTACAAACATTCCCAAACTAACACGTAACATTTTCAGTCCCAAAGCCCTGCTCACCAAGGTTGTACCACACATCCATTTCTCCGCTCAGAGTACGAACTTCAATGATTGTCTGCCCCAGGAAATCATCTGACTCGCGTTTGAGTCTCTGCTTGACACGAGACTTGATGTCATCATCTTCATCCCACACTCGCACCTTGATCCGGTCAGAGGAATTATGGCACTCACTGCAAACAAGAGAAGTGTAATTTATTTAAGAGTGCATAATGCAGCCAACATTTATATGCGGCACGATTTGCGTTCCTCTTGACCTGTTCATTCAACATTAGAGGGATGTATTAGCAAAATCTATTAGCAAAATGTAAACAATGCCTGTTATTTAAAAGTGGAGCATCTGGTATGAACTACTCAACAACCTCTTGGTGCGCTCTAAATGCTCCTGTGACATGGCAGATACTGCACTCCAGACGCAAGCTGAAGGACTGCCCTGCCCTGACCTCGACCACCAACTTCACACTTACTAAGTGGTTGTGACTCTCCTGCTTGTCCTTACTGTCAGCAGCAGCTCCCCAAACTTGGGAATTCTCTTCACAGCTGACTGTGAAGCCCACAGAAACCTGGGGATAGCTAAACTGGTAAATGCTTTCATATACCCCCCAAAAATGACGATGAGCATCTCACTGGTTTCAGTAGCTCACTCCATCAATGACCCTCTGTTCAGCTGTAGCTGCTAAGGGCTACCTGTATTTATGCAGTATCTAGGACAGCACAGTCAAGGTCTGTGACACACACCCTTCACGCTGGTTTCTAAGAAAAGGATAAATAGCTCAGGTGGAGGTAGATGTCTTACTTCAAAACAGTCACAAAGCAGTAATGTATGAATGCACAATACATTACAACCAAATGATGCACATATTGCCTGAGGGGAAAGGGTGGGGTACAGTAATTACAGCATTGGTATTTTATTACTAGAATTGATTCTGCCCATTATTCACAGCTTAGACTGATACTTTGTGCTCTGAGCAGATCAATAATGACATTTTCATTAACAGAAGTAGTTTACTGTTTGATGAATTGGCACCCTTCAGTGTAATGCACAGGAAGAATTTGCAGACTCTCCCTCTTTTTTAGGTGTTCTACCTTTTGTAGATCCAAAAAAGCTCTTGGATGACAGAAGTGGGTAGAAGAACTGTATTATAAGAGCTCTGCTCATTTACAGGGCATGCAATAAAGCAATTTGAATGTTCATATGAGACCATGACAAGGGTGATTACTCACCATAACCACTACAAATGTCTACCCTCAAGCAAATAGAACCTATGAAAACAGGCAACTGCTGCTGAAGGCCTGTTTTCCAGCCTTTTTAACATTAACATGCTGCATCTGTTGCTAAGCAACAGGGAGAAAGAAGAAATGGGTCAGAAGAGATCTGCTAAGCCTGGTCAATAGGATATGGCAGTGACTGGTATGAGCATGCTCTCTCCCAAGAAACCATTTGGGCTCTTACTGCCACCACTGTGATTTAGGACAACATTTAACAGATGTCCATGCAGCTCCTACTGATTTTTCCAGTAGAGAGGGATAGCTGGGAATTATATGGACAAAGTTAGAGGTGATTCCATGCAGTTCTGATCACAGACAGAGCACATCACTGCTCCCTGTCTTTGTTGTGCAATCTATGCTGTATTTAGAGTTCAGAAGAGAAGAGGTTCTATGTTTGTCTCCTGGCTTTATTCTCCTCTCCCTCCTTTTTTGCTGCAAGAACATCTTCCTTAACAAAATCATGCAGCCAAGTGTTCACAAGCAGGGAATTCCTGGACTTGCTGTTCCTTGTAGCTCTCAAATTTATCTGAGTACATTGCCATATTTACCAGCAACACAGTGTAACCATGCAAAAGAAATCCTCTCTTCCTGACATGGTGTGCTAATGTACAGCCTGGCAGTTTTGTAGAGGCTCAGTGTTGAGAAATGCATGGGTGCCTAAAAACACAGACTAGCACACAGTGCCATTTATAAAGCATCAGCAAGTTAAGTCCTGACTTCTTTAGACCTCACCTTCTGTCGTGACAGCTCTTTGTTAGGAGTGTTTTGATCTTGTTTATTTGCTACCAATGGTCTTTCCTTAAAGAAAACATTCACTGTTCAGACCTAAAGCTAACTTAGGCAGTCCCACATGCATCATCCCACGCTTCTGAGGTGGCTGGCTATCATCCTTCACTCGACTACAGCAGCATAACTCACTGCTAAGTGTTACAGGAAACTTTCCAGTACCACTTACTGAGCTACTGAAGCTTCTATTTTACCACACCTTTCTCTGCTGTTTTTAAGAGACTGCTCAATTTGTATTCTTTATACTGGTCCCATGCCAGAGAGTGAGTTTTATCACTTGCTCACAGCATCTGAAAGCCCTGAGCTGGTGGCTCACCATAAAACATCTAGGTCTGTAAGAACCACAGTCCTTGCTTTCGGTGAAGTAAAACAAGTGTGTCAAATCCAGTTTACCTTCCAGAGAGCACCCCAAAACAGAACGATGAATACTGGGAGACTTGGGCTTGCTGATTGGTAGCAGTTTTCTAATTAATTAGTTAGTTAGTCATTAGTTAGTTTTCTAACTAATGACATAGCTTCCAAATTGTGACAGCATCACAACTCTGTAAGACTGTGGCTAACAAGCTCTGCTGCTAGAAGCTTTCCCCTTCATTAGTACAGGAGCTGGTACATTTCTCAAGATGCCTGCCCCACTTTTTGCTATGTTTTCATGAAGCTTGATTTCACTGTGTGCACACATACGTCTGTCCATCCTCCCACAGCCGAGCTCCAACAGTTTTCCCAAGAGGATTCAGAGAAGGAAAGTGACCCCTCTGAAAGTAAGAAATTACCAAATGCTTTCAGGTTCTCTTCAGAGTGTGAGAGACTGGAAACCATGTTTGCTATGTACACGGCTCAAAAACTGTCTCTTTTTTTTCATCCATATCATCTTTATGTTTACAGTGGTGCCACTTTTACACTTAAAGATACCAAACAAAGTAATATTTTCCAGAAACAGCACATCAAAATTTTAAGAAAAATTAAAATCAAATACATGGTGATTTTATTTTTTTTCCCCATTAACTTTTTCTGCCTGAAGCCAGTGGCTGCTGCAGAGGAAGCAGTTGAGCCTGGTTCTGCTGACTTGCTTTTTATCCCACTCTCTACCTCCATTCTCTTCTACCGCTTCTGTCTTACCCAGCAGCAAAGCCCCAGTACCCACACACATCCCCTGCACTGTCAATATTTGGGTCTCTTCCCATGCCCAGCTAGCAACTGGGCTGAGGGGAAGCACGCGAGCACACGAAGTTGTAGTTAATTCTGTTCTGCGCACACAGTGACATGCCCACACACACGGCAATTAGTATATTGGTGGCTAAACAGAACAAGTAACTGTTGAATTTACACTATAGTTCCTCCCACAATGAAGTTAGTAATTTGCATCCTTCTAATCCAGCTCTAACTTACCAAAAAAAAAAAAAAAAAAAAAAAAGAAAAAAAAATTGTAGAAAGTGATTCTTAGTTGTGAGATCTCTGCCCAACATGGGCCAAATTGGCTCAGATGATGTCAGGGGTCTGGGACAGAGTATTTAATGTGCCTTGTCTCCTCTAACAACATTTGTGCTGAATTTGCTAATTTTGCTTTGTAGAGCTGACAGGCTAATAAAGACAAAACAGAACAAGTAGATTTAAGCAAGAACACACAATGAAAATGAAGGACCAAAGGAAGCAACAATATTTTGCAGATTTAAAGCTAGGTTGAAGCCCAGAATTAAGTAATTTTATTGTATTTTGATATTAAAAAATATTTATGGTTCAAAGAGTCTAGTGAATGTCTATATGTTCATATTCTGTGAGCAGTTTCCTTTCAGTGTCATGGCTGATGCAGCTCTCAAAAAGGGCCTGTAAAGTTTCACAGTCCAGTGCAGTGGACATTTCAGACAATGACAGAGAAAAAGAAAGAAAGAAAGTGCAGAGCTGCTTGCAGAAATAATGGATCAGAGAGCAGAAGCGAATACTTTAGGACCTGTGATCATTTTAGGAGGACAGTTTTGCTCCTGAGGAGCATGGCTCAAAAAAAAAGCAGAAGTGATTTTTTTTGGAAAATGAGAAAGGAAAATGAGAAAGTTTAGTCACCAGTATGAGAAGGTCCAGTAAAAATTTATAACAACATACAGAGAGAGCAGGAAAAAAAGTTGTTTGGGGAAATAGTGTGGCTGAAAAAGCCAGAAGATTTGAATATGGTTCAAATGAAGTGTCATGACACGGCAGCTTTGTTGTGGTCAACCTCAGTGGGAATGGAAGGCAGAAAACTTCTTAGAACATGTTCACTTTTAAACAATGATAAGACTACTCTACTGGGGAGAAGAAAGGACAGGGGAGAAAACACCACAGGCAAAATTGGAGTGGTAAGAGAATGGAGGAAAAATCCTTAGTACCTTAGAAGTTAAGCACGACAGCACAATAATATGCCCTGAGAGCCAGTTGCTGCTAAGAACAAAGAAATGAGTTTTCTGTTCTTACTGTCATGAAGCTCTTTTCTTAGGGGAACAAGTCTAATCATTTGCTGTTACCCAATGCTACAACACCAACTGACAAATTAATGGTGCAGTTCTAACTACAGAGAGCAGATAAAGTGATTCTGAGCATTACACCCTTAGTTACATTAATTCAGCTTTCCAACAGGTGCTTGCTGCAAGACCTCAACTCTGCGATCAAATTTAAGTCTCACATTGGTAACTGAGCAGGGAAACAAGTGGTATTTTATCAGAGTGCCAGTTTCAGTATCTGTGGTACCTGGAGAAAAAAGAAAGCAAGGAAAACTGGATGGCCCCTGCAACACAGTGAAGGGAGGCTGAGGGGCAGAGTTGCAGTGACATTTATAAATACAGTGGTCTCAGAAGGGGAAGTCTAAAATACAGCTCTGGAACAGTCACATATAACCACAGACATAACTGAAAGATGCTGAGCTTGACAAGAGGCTCAGCAGTTGAAAGGAAAATTGGGGAACGAAATAGAAGCTTTCGTGTGACAAACCAGTGGTTAGCTGAGCAATAGCGCCATTCCCAAAGGATTAACAGCAACATGCATCATGTGGGCTCCGCATGTCCTAGTAAAATACTGATTATCTGCTTGCACGAGGCACTGCATTTGTTTTAACTCAGTTATCCTTCTGCAGTGAGAAAGAATAAAACATGCCTCTTGCAAACTGTTCAGTGACAATGTAATCTGTTCCAGGCAATGATTTCACACCAACCATTCAAAGCTTCAGACACAGTTGTACTCAGACCATCCAACTTCAAGGGGGTATTACTGTAAAATGAGCGAGTTTTGCACCCAGGCCAAGAAAAATGGCAACATCCTGTTTGAATCCAGTAACCTGTAGTGTTCATAGTCATTAAAGACTACGATGTTCCCTGAATAGCAGGTATAGACCAGCAACCTCCAAACAAGCCCAGAGCTCTCCCTTTAAAGCAGAAACTCTGTCCTGTGGTCAAGTTTATCCTCCTAAACGCTGTCTGCTATTGTAAACCATGCAAATGGATGCTCAGCTTCAGCCTTTATAAAAAAAAAAAAAAGATGCCAGGAACCCTGCAATTTCCACTGACAGTCCAAAACACAACTAAATGGGGAATTACTGTCTTGTTCTAATTGCACTGAATATGGCAAAAATAGCTTCCCTCTAATATTACTGGACTGTTTCCTGAGGAAATGAGAGTTACACAGACTTGTTATGAAAGCTTCTAAATTCCAACAACTTTTGTGAAAAAATAACAGCTAGATGGAGAAGAGAAACCCATACCAGCTGCTGTCCCTGGAAAGCCTGCAGCCAGCTGGCTCCCATGGACCAATCCATACAGACAACTCAGAATCCAACTGTGGGAAGGACACTTGCTGCCTTCTGTCCAGCCAGGGTTCAAGGCAAGGGAAGACAGCTGAGGGCACAGGAGAGAAGACACCTGGCAAATGAAGGAAATCACCTACAAGTTTGCTCATCATAACTAGAGGAAAGAAATTGGGGTTTACTGCAGAAGCGAAAGGGATGTAAAGCCAAGGGAAGCAGGGTGTGTGCTCACAGAACAACACGTTTGTATTGCAGGAATGGCTGAAGCTTTCCCCATCAAGCTTCCTGCTGCCAGGCACCATATGTGCAGAGACCCTGCATCAAGCCAGCAACAATTTGAACTTGGCAGAAAAATCAACACCTTATATTTTCAAAGGTCTTCAAACTCCAGTGAAATATACAAAAAATCTCTCCATAACAACACATTTCCTAAAGCTACAGATGTAAACACACAAAGAGATAATTTTCAGAAAGAAACAGGACCTGGAAATCACTTGCTCAGGCAAAAGAAATACACTGTGAGAACTGGTCATTAATCTAAGCAGATGTCTACAGTTACACAGGCTAGTAATGACCTAAATAGCACTTATAATGGAAACCCAAAGTGCTTTCAACCTTGTCTTTTCTAAAATACGGTTCTAAATCTGGACTCCTAAATTGGGTCAAGCCTTCCACAACATTTTTTTTTCCTGAGAATATATGGAAAAGGAACAAAGCCATTTTTAGGAAGAGGTATTTAAGTTAATATACTTTTCCATCCATCACTGTGCATAAGCACAAAAAAAACCCAATTTGAAATAGGCTACTGCTGCCTTAAAAATTTAAAACTTGTTTAAGCTGCTTTTAATAAACTTCACTGAGTCTGTAGAAAGAACTCTATCACTCAGCTGTACATAGTCTGCCTTAATTCATGCCATGGATTACAATAACAATGCTATAATTATAATGACTGATGCACAGAGATTTCTGGCTCTATATCCAACCTTTGAAAAGACACTGGAATTGTGTTCATATAAAAGGCACTGTGCCTAATGAACACCAGCTACAAACAAGTCCACCAAGCCAAACAGAAAAGGAATAGCAATAGCTGACATGCATATTAGTAACTGACCTGACCTCTCTTGCTCCTGTTGAAACGTTAAACCATTTTGAACACCAAACTTTTCATATGTTTTCTGCAAGGCTTTCAATAACCACCAGTACACCTTTCTCTCACTATAAGAAATTAACTTCTTTCTAAGAATGAAAGATAGCCCCCTGCCAAAGCCTTTAAATTTGACAATCTCTTGATTGTCCTGACAATCTCTTATAAAAAAGCTTGGTATGTAGTGGGTATTTTTGGCTTGCATATGTTGATTTAAATTTCCATTTCATTATGGGGTAGAAAATTTTAGAATTTTCTACAGAGTTGTAAGCTGCAAAAAGATCCATAATTTCAAAATAGAAAGATGGGTGTGTAGAAGATCAGTGCTGCACACACTTCTAAATGACTCTCTCCTCACCCAGAAGAAGATGAGCTTTGACACCTACTCACGAAATGACACACTGAATCCAGAATTGAATGCTCTCCTGCCATCAGTCTGGACGCTGTGCTCCTTCCCTGCATGTCCCCCTGGGATTCCAAGGAAATTAAGAAAAAGCCTATACCATAGGCAAGACAGAAAGTAGCACCAACTCTAAAGCCCAACAGCATGTTATCTGCTGAATCACAGACATGGCGATGAAGTCTAAACAGCGGCACCGTTAAAACTGTGACATTTATCACGTTGTGCTATCTATCTTTAAACAGAGTATTTGTTGAAACTCCTAAAATTAGAAGGGAACACACTGCAAATACCATGGTAACTACTTGGTATGGTAAATCAAGGTCCTTAATGCTCCCACACAGACTTACTGCTATTGTGACTAGAGTTATTCAAATGGCACCTAAGCATACTTACTACTTACCAAGCAGCAATGTTACCTTGGATTAAACTAAGAATAAAGTCAAGGGCTTACTAGCCCAAAATAGCACTAAGATTTTTCTGACGTTAATGAGTAGTTCAAAACTGCTTAAAAATAATTTTGTTTGTACTGTACACTGCAAAGACAAAGCTGCGCTGATATAACCCTGATTTTAAAACACAAACAAATTGCATTTTGCAGAGAGATCAACCGCCAAGCAGTTTAGGGAAGAACAGGGAAACAAAAGGAAGGTAGGAGATGGCAAGAAGGAAGAGCTTACGCCTTAAAGGAAATAAAGATCTTTGAGATCAAATGAAATCATCCAGATTCTTCAGAAAACGCTTGCTGGATTTCATGTCTCCATTTTGTTTTATAACACGTTCAATGACAAATTGAGGGTACTGTTTACTTATTCAATAAAAGCAGGATGGAACAATGTATTCTGAGTGTAGCTCATATCTAAAGAATTGTGTCTCCACTCTTTGCTTTCGATTCAGACATCAATACCTTGGTCATCTTGAAAGCTCCCTCAAGAAACAATTACTCCCTCAAGTTATTGTTAAATTGATTTTCCAAAACTGAAAGAAGAGACTGCTGGTGTGACAGACTACTGACAACTAATTACCTTTAAATTTTGTTGCCAAACACCAGTAGCAGGTCACAACAACACGTCACGGGAAGTTTGCTTAGTCTTTTACATGAATTTTACTCTCATATTACAAAGAATTTTGTTAGCCAGGAACAATAGTTGCCAACTTAAATATTTTCCTTTCTCTCTAGCATTCTCTAGAAACATCAATATAAAAGTGTTCAGAAGGCAGACAATTTGTATATACAAAAGGAAGATGGGATAAATAGGTGTGCACTACATACATTGTTAAAGATGTCAACCCTCCACACAAACATACACACACAGAGCAAAAACAGAACCATCCCAGATTACAGGTGATGTGGGAATGCATTCTGACAGAGAAGACATAGCTGTCAAAGCATAGACTGTACAAACAGGTAAAATGGGAGTGAGAGTCAAGAGCACTCACAAGTAAAACTTCTCTTCCCATACAGGGTTCAGATTCCCAAAAATCGTTTTTGTCCTCTTCTTTGTTTTACCCACTTGAACGGTTACATACGGATCACTGGACCCAGTCTTGTCTTTGGCCTGCAGACCCTGAGCACACACCACTGAAAGGAAAAGAGAAGGGTTACCACCACCATGCAACAAGACAATGTGGCTGAACACCATGTGAAGCAGCAGCTCATAATGGCCAGAGAAACAGGAATATCACTCATGAGAGCATTTCTGATGAGCCTCAGCTTATGGCGCACTACAGTGCCTGCAGTAGCAACATCTCCATGTGCTACCTGTTATGCACACTGAGCAGAAGGAGACACAGGTCAGAGAAGCCCTTCCTCTCTGTTCTCCCTACCTTCACACCAACTGTCTCTAACTTCAGGCTCCCGAGTGAGACCAAGAGAACCCGTGACTCCCTCACTTACCGGTGATCGTGATCTTTGCTGACCATTTTGAGGTGCCATCGAGCACACTCTGCTTCACTGTCTTCATCTGCTGCGCATGTGTCATTTTGCTCTCACAAAACACGTCTCTGATCAAGTCAAAGATCTCTGGCTTGTTCCGCTCCCGGATTTTCATGCGATCCTTCATTGCCATGATGAAATTCTGGGTTCGGTCTTCAGCTCCGTGCTTCGAGCTCTTCTCCGCTGCTCCTGTGCACCAGGAAACATGCAACGCTCATCAGAAACAAACAAGCACAAGATCGTGTTTCACTGTCTGGACAGCAGGATCAAAGCTATGAGTTACCCTCCACATCATGGCTCTTGCTATTTTACACTCATTCCCCCCAGTTTCAACATACGCACAGAGAATCGGGACCATTTAGAGTTGGGAAGGGATGGTTCCTCTGTAACCCGGGATCAGATTGCTCTCCTGACAACAGGCTGATTTAATACCCTTACAGCAGAGGAAGACTCAGAAATGAGGTTCTTACATTAACAGCAAATATCAGTATGCCCCCTGCTCTCCTTGTTTTGAATAAATAAATCCCTGCTTGGGCAAGTGATAAGAAGAGGACATAGGGCCCCCATTACGAATAGTATCTATGAGTTTATCTCAAAGCTGCACTTCAGCACCACTGAAGAGAAGTTCAACACTGTTGGCACTTCCTACCCACGTGCGCCACACGACTCCCTGTTCAGCACAGAGTCACTGCAAATCTCTGTTTCATTTTGCCTGGAACCACCCTGTTTGGATCAGGCATCAAGCTGCAGACACACAAAGTGCCTCTCTGGATGCCACTCTATTTTATCAATTTGTATGGAGACAACTCAAATCATCCATTTCTAGAATTACACAGGTATATTAACTATCACAAATACCTTTAAGGTAGCAAATTCAATAGTTAAAACCTTGAGCCATCATAGGCATGGGGCACTAGTACAGCATCCAGCAGCTGGAAACACAAGAGCCAGGTACAGAGTCTGTAACTGCATAGGTATTCAACTGGATCTGGAAAAAAGAACCCTTGGATGCTTGCATACTGCTTACAAAATTTAGAAGTTTGTAACATTATGAGATAAGACTACTCCCACAACTGACTGCTTCCTACTCAATTTTGACAGTCATTTTTACTGTCAAAATTTAAAGACTGACTATTGTGTCAGATGTGAGACATGCATTAATGAAAGCACTGACATGAGCTAACAGAGGAGATAACTCAGGTGTGAAATGAAAAACAGGAACACAAGATTGCACACTGCCTCTCTACCCACTGTCTGCAGCAATTTCAAGTTATGATCTTAAATCAGATTAAGTTAGAATGCTACAAAAGTCTCGTGAACACACTCAATCATAATCCTTCTCTTTAATGTACTTTGCTTTTGCTTGTTTTTCTTCTCTAGGATAGGTTAATTAAAGCAAGCTTAGTCCTAGAAAAATTATTTTCATTCAGATGTTCACCAAAATTAAATTACCTTAAAAAATATGTATTAAAGCAGGTATAGGAGTGTGCAAAGGGAGACACCAATCACAAAGATATATAAAACTGTTTTCTTCCAGAAGAAGTGGACAAATATGATATCTGGAGCACCTTCAATATAAGGTATTACAGTTTTGCATACGAAACTGTTTCAGCAGGTAGAGACTAAATATGAACAAAATATATATTTACACTCACACAGGACCCCCAGCAGGACAACATAACAGGCAACCTTGTCAGCAGGTTGTTGTCAACAGGGTGCCCAGTGACTAGTGCTGCCTGAAGACACCCACGTCTAGGGCCCTCACTCTAACACCTTTCACCATGACTCAATTCACTTAAATAAAGAAACAAAACTCTATTATAATTTCCACCATCCACACCAAAGAGAACAAAAACACAGTTTGGAAAAAACCTGTGGCCGCTGAAGTGTCAGAAGTTCATTCAGGACACTGCATAACAAGGCATGCTATTAAGGACCTGGGTGTAAAATAAGCCATAATTTTACATTACCTGAGTATTTTTTAATTTCTCTTGCTAGAGGCTTGATGTTCAGTATTTAATTTAGTACAATAAAATGTACATGCCCCAGAGTTTCCTGTTGTTGGCTTAAGATGAAATGAAATCAAACACTGGAATTAATTACGCAGTCCCTGCTGTTTCTACTCACCGGTGATGAACCTAACATTTATTAAAGGAATATGAAACCAAAATTATACCAGGGGCTATACTTTGAACTTCAGATAAGAAGTGCTATTCAGTTTTAACAGAACTAAGTCTTCTGGGGATGGAGGTAGACTCTATACTGTATATGCAGAGCTACAGAAAATTACTGGGAAATCAGGAAAGGTCAAACTGAACAATTTGCCTTTCCCGGCTGGAATTCTGAAATCTGCTGTGATCCAAAGAAACCAGCTGTGCCCTGACCTTTCTGAGTTTAAGGAAATTAAGAACCTAATTCAAACATTAAGAGTTTCTGTTATGCATGAGAGGAATGTTCCATTTCTGAATAATTGTTTAAATAAATTACTAGCCAGGCAGCTTGTGAATATAAATCTTTCCCTGTCCATCAGTGAGTTGGGACAAGAACTACCATAGTTCTGGGGTGGCATGATCTGCATCACTGCCTTAATGCAAACACCCCAGAAGCATCAAATAGTGCTTTAGAATGCAAACTTGGACAAATGGAGCAATTCAAGTTAAAAACAAGCTTAACATCCCCACAACCTGCAGAGACCTTGCACAGTGGATTTATCTGCAAGCCTAGCAGCAGTCCAGGGCACCCTGGGTTGCAGGACGTGTAAGCCATGTCATAGAGACCCCTAGAGCCCTTTCTTTAGTCACCTCCAAGGCTTGGCTCTGCCTTCAGAGGACATGCTGCTTCCCCACTCTGCCTAAATAATTTGCCCAGATATGGCAGCTCCATTATTCCTTCCCTGATCGATCTCTCCCTGAGCTGCAGACACCTTATTTAACAATTCAGACTAATAAAGAACAGAGAATGTCTGTTCTGCTGTCTCAACAACACACTTTTAACTTTAACATCTGCTTCTTGGTACAAAACCAAGAGAATTTCCAAAACAACCACTGCGGGACTAATTAACTATGATGTATGTGTTTTAAACCCAAAACATGTCATTACACTGAATGGCAGAGGATGCTTTTCCTGGTGTTGGACTGGGATTGTGTTTCTTCAAACTGCAAAGAGGGTTTTGGCCAGTGGATCAGCTTTTCAAGTCCTGTGAATAGCAACTGACAGGCATCTGAATATACAAGAAATGTGTACAGTACTACAGAAATGGTTCTGGGTTTTCTTTCTCCCTTTCTAGGACTGAAGGATGAGTGAATTTATGACTGGAAACAGAAAGCAAATATGTCTATATTGGGAATTGTATTGATACAGCTATTAGTAAACCACCAGTGCTGTTATTCTATGCTTTAACAAGAAAAAGTCAAGAAAGCAACACTGGCAGGATTGAAGGCAGCTGTTCAGTAGGCGGATAATGCTTAGAAATTATATATTCCTGAAACTTAAAATAGATATTCAAGTTTCAAATAAAGGTATCCCTCCCTCCCTCTGTGCAAATATTTTCCAACATAGAACTTTGGGAGCAAACAAATGTTCCTCGCCATGGTGTCTAATCACCATTCAACCCAGAAGCCAAGATGATTATCACAGAGTGACTTAATCAGTCTCACTAACAGTCCACTCACTGACCTGGTCTCAGGACTGCAGCCTCTGAATTCACAGTGCAATACATACAAGTTTCTCACCCAAAAAGCAACAAACACACCTGCCTTCCAGTCACGAGTCAAAAGCACTAAACATGTCCAGAGGTGAACCCAGAAGTCAAAACAGTTCAAAAGCAGGGTATTTGGTAATGTAGTCCTGACGGCTTGTGTGAACTTCTCCAAAGCTTAGCTAACTACAGATTTCATGTTCAAGAGTAGTTTGAAGCTTGAGATCTCATTTCCTCACTTTCAAGACCTCCAGAGGACCAGATTCTGTTATCCCAGGACATTTTCTTTTCTCAGGTTTAACTGTAATCTGCTGAGGACTAGATTAGAATAACTACAAAAAACACCCAAGACACAATTATAGACACGGATTACTATGGTTTTTCAAAAGCTAGCCCTGAACTGTACAGGCCTCTTTTACTGGGATCTTGCTAGCATAATGTCCTTCCCTTCCACCCACTTCACAACTACTTCTATGCATTTGTTCCTTGGTATCCTACACATCCATCCCCAAATTTACTCTTCCTTTGATACCAACGTTGCCCAACCCACTCTGATTTAGTTAGTACTACACCAATGCTCAAGGCAAGAGATAAAATTCCTTTTCCAAAACCTTTGCATGCTATGGGGATGTTAAAGATCATCCTTCTATCCTTTTTCAGCCAAGCAAGAAAAGAAATTATCCATATAGCAGAGATTTCCACCACTTTCAAGAATAGCAGATGGCTAAAAAGAGAGTACCATCCCTTGAGTAAGTATTTATGAGCTTATGATAAAAAGGTAAGAGCCCTATCATCAGAATAATAACTTCTCAGTGCCTACAATACTGTAAACCAGGTGGCTGGTTCCAGTTTACTGCACTTCAGACATCATCAGTTCATGGAACAGCCCTGCTGAACCAGTCTGCAAATGGGTTCTGATTCAAATTGCAACAAAGCATTGCTGAATTTCAGTATTTCATCAGTGCAGCCCTACATGTTTGTTGAATGTATCAAATACTCAGTTTCTTAAAAATATGGAGAGCAAAAAAAGCACCCTCAGAAGAAATAATAAAACTTAATTCTAACAGACTTGGGGAAAGAGATATTTTATTTCCCCCAGAAAGATATGAAGGAAAGAAGATGAATAAACAGCACATTTTGATTCTAAGGAATGAAACTCCAGGTGTCTATCAAAATTTTAAGCTATAGACAACAGAAATATATTTGTAACCAGCCAGAAAATTCATTTTACTCCAATGTAGCATTTTCTGGAAGACTTACAAAGATTGAAGTGAAGATGTATCCCGAGGCATCAAGGTATAATCAACAGAATTGTATTTGTTACCGGTCTGAAAATTCATTTTACTCCGTTGCAACATATTCTGGAAGCCTTAAATAGACCTAAGTGAAGATACGTCCTCAGAATGTTTGGGGTTTTTTGCCAACAGCAACAATAAAGCTTCTGTTAGGAAAAAAAATCTCTCCTGAGTTCAGTAAACAAGAAAGTTCAGTCTTGAATTTATTGGATCTCTAAACTGCTGTTTGTCCACCAGAACCGCTATTTCTCATTCCTCAAGCACAGACTATGTTCTTCAAACACATATTAAAAAAAAATTAATTTATCCGGTTTCTTCTGGTTTGTTGGGTTCCAGTTAGAAGGATTTTAGCATGAACATGCCAAAGCAAAGAACAGAGTTGCCTGCAAATGTCTTTTAATAGATTTCTAGTACTGATAACAATTGTTTTCCCATTTCAGAAGCACACTCACATGGACTCCACAATTTTCTTCATCTCCCAGCACCATCCTCTACCTTGTCTTTTAATTACACAATTACCATCTTCAGTTTGCTTTACATCTCTGTCCCAGCTAATTATACACTCTACACCCGCAGTGGGTAATCCTGCAGACCTCAGTTCACAGTTTCTCTATCTTCCTTGTTATGATGCTGGACAGATTACAAATAACTTCGTAAGTAAAATTTTTGCTTGGTTGGGTTTTACTTTTCTACATGATTCACATGTTTTAAGCCCAACGTATTCTCAGTTGTTTCCTCTCTGTTTCTACAACTCTGCACGATGAAGTATCTTGAGTTTACATTTAGAAAGAAAATGTGAAAACATCTGCAACCCTCTGAATAAAATAACAAGTTCTTAATGCTTTGCCAAATATGAAAAGTAGAGTAATTTCCAGTTGTTTCTTCTATTTCATGGAAAAACACAGACTTATCGCCATCATCACATCCCACAGTCCATTGCATAAGCTTATGTAATTACAACTGGAGATTCAAAATCCTTCCCCCATGGTTATTCTTCAGAGACTGTTTCAGAGACTCCCTGTTTTCAGGGCGTCTGAATCACTGAAGTTGTCTTCTACCTTTAATTTTCTTACAGCAAATGTAGCCAGTGTCCATTTGTTGGGGTTTTTTTTGTAAACAGGAAGCCTAAACAGACCATCTTTTTCCCCGCTGCTTATGTCCCTCTTGCCTGACATGCTGCAAGCACCATCAAGGATTAAACCAATCCACACTGCTGGCTATGAAACAACATCTACTGCTCAGAAAGCCTTTAGGCCATAGACATCTGTAAGGTGTAAGAGCAAGCCAGCATCATAGCAGGTGCCCTACGTGCACGTCTTACACTTCTGCCATAGGCTCCATAATATCCCCTCAGAAACATTCTATCAGGACAGACCTCATATGCCTATTTTTACTTTTTTGAAAGAGCATGATTTCTGTCCTCCTGTCCCACACCACCAAGCCTCTCTTTTGAAAGATTAACAAATTCATACCATCCTCTCTAAAGACATTCTCATATTTTCCTCATTACCACTGAACTCCCTCCAGTACCCATCCCAGCCTGAAGTCTCCCTTCTTGAACACGGATAGCCACAGCTTTTCTCTGGAGGAACATATTTCCTCTCACTTATTGGCTATTTCTTAAATCAGGGGGGGACAGGGGGTTTCCTAGTGTTTTCAACTTTATGATCACTGCTCTGTTCAAAAGCTTTTTGCCTGTTTCCTCACCCTGCTGGTGAAAATCTAATTTTCCTCTGTTCTCCGTAGCATTTTCCCCATACTGAGATATCACAAATCCCTTGCAACATGACAAAATCCTGGGTATGCAACAGATTCTGTTAGAAAACTAATATATGACTGGATTACATTCTCCTGGACCAAATGCAACACCACAGCTCTTTGCTTGGTCACAAAAAGGTCGCAACAAGCCAAAGTGCCAATGATGCAACAGTTCTAATGCTCTAAATTGACCTTGCAGCCCTTCGAAGACAAATCCAGAAACACTAAGCAACTGAGGGACAGAGAAGTTCTGCCAGTGTCTGTCAGATGTGTCTTACAAATAAGCCATTGTAAACAGCCCTAGTCCTAACTATGACAAATTTAAGACTCAGCACACATCAAAAATACAAGTACAAACAACATCCTTTTGGGGTGTTAAGAAAAGCCATAAGGAAAAAAAAAGTGATCTATGATCCACTGGTATCCCTTGCTGGATCATCCACACTGGCTTTCCCAAACAACTACAACCTGAGGCAGATACAAGATTCGACTTTTATATTCCTATAACTCCTAAATGCTCACAGGCATTTGCAATAAGTCTGTTTACACTTTAGAAACTTTCCCGATTTCTTAGATTTAGTCCATCAAGTTGCAATGACAAGAAAAGCAGGAGTGAACAGAAACAGCCCCACCTTCCTACTCAAGATTTAACACATATGGCACATATTCCATTTAGACCAAGATATTTTGCTCTCAAGCAGGAATATAAATTTGAGACCAAATTAAGAACAGTTTTACAAGCAAACAAAAATAACGGGACCAAGGCAGACGTCTAATTGAATACTTTTCTCTCTCTCTCTTTTTTTTTCTCTTTAACCGAATTTCTTTTAAAGTTCTACCTTGTTTCTGTAAGGTGTCATTTATTCCGCAAAGTTACAAAGCTCCTTGAAGAGATGGCTTAGTTTTTTACACCACAGAAATAAAAAAAACCCAACAAAATACACAGAAATGCTAGTAGGAAGATGAAATACTGCCCATAGACCCAAACACCACCTCTGTATCTGACCCACCACTTCTGCTGACTCAGGCCCAGGTTCTCAAAGTAATTGAGCCAGGAAGACCTACTGTTAAAAAGACAAAACACTTGCCCGATCTGCCCTTTAGACAGAGAATCCAAGCTTAGTCATGGACTCTATCCCCTAAGCAGGAACTCAGTGCTGCTCTGAAGAGCTTAAAACAGTGGCAGAGGCTGATGGCTGGAACAAGTAATGATGACTGGGATACCAGGGCAAGGGGGACAGAACAAATGTCAGAATATTCACCCTCACACCCCCAGCCCACTGCCTCTCTTCCATGCAGGATATGTTAGCAGACACACCACCTGACCTGACAAAAAGAGAGTAAACAAAACAAACAAACAAAAAGTCAGCCAAACCCAACAATCAGAGATGAAAGAGTCAAGAATTAAACCTTCTTTTAAAGCACATCAAGTATAATTCTGCAAAGTTCTTCTGCATCACTGGCATCTATGTCCACAGGGCGATGGAGGTAGGCTCAGCCCAAGGGCACCTTTCCAGAAAATACCATCACTTTAATAATTGCAGCTTCACTGATCCCTGAGATATCACCAGTACATTTAGGAAAGCTCTGGCAGCACTTCTGGGCAGCCACACTCCACTGGTCACTACTCACTCTGTAAGCAGTCAGCGTTGAGCAAGTCTTGGCACTTCTCATGGCACTTGACTCCACATTCCCCACAGCGCATTCCCTGCCGTGCAATACCCCACAGCAGCCCCTCACATTCGTAGCAGTATGTAGGAGTTGTGGCTGTCCACACCTCAAAGTTGTGTGGGGTTGTACAAGAGATGGGGTAAATTAAGGCTTGCAAGGTCTTCTTATAGACATGAGATTTCTGAAAGGCAAGAGCACACGTAAACCCACATCCAGGAAGGTGACTGAGCCTATTTTTGCTGGTTAATACATGAATTTTAAAGAAAATTGCATGAGAGGTGCAATAAATCTAAAAGGTAGACAAATTTATCAAACGTATACAAGAGGTATCAGAGGAAATCCTTGCTCTTCCAAAACCATCTCTCCAGGCATTTAAAAAAGTGGAAGAGGTTGAAAGACAAGAATTAAGGTTTGCAGATGAGGAATATCTTGCATGAATCAAGTTTCACACACTGTCCCCCATGGCAGATAGCACAGGGAAAAATGGTGAGATTACTGAGTTCAAGAAGTGTTTGGACAACGCTCTCAGACACATGGTGTGACTCTTGGGGTGTCCTGTGCGGGGTCAGGAGTTGGACTCGATGATCCTTCCAACTCAGCATGTTATGCGATTTTATGGTTCTACATTTTTTGGCATTATATTGATACATTTAATGTTATTTTTTGCATGTTTAGTTTCATTATACAAATGATACAGGAAGCCTTGCATCTATATTTCTAGATATCTGTGAAACTGGCTCTGCAACCCAGAGAGTCAAATCCCCATAATTTGCTTACTTAATGTTAACAGAAGCCAAACAACCCTCCCAACTTACCAGCTCTTCATCTTTGAGAGATGTTCTAGTGGCCATTGCTGAGGTAATTCCGGCTTTCCGGGATTGAACCAGTGACTAAGGACGAAGAAAGTTTGTTATTCACTACCAATTTTTAGGAATGCAATGGCACTACGTGCCCAGAGATGTGAGCAAGGGGACTCTCTCATGCCAGAGATATCAAGCCAGCAGTCTACTGCATTCAAGTTGATATCTCAAAATGACAGCTCACATATCAGAAGAGTCAAATGTTTATTCTGAAAGGTCTTCAAACTTGTTTTCATCTGCCCAAAACCAGTCTCAATCTAGTAAATTTTTATGTGTTTCTCTGGTAAGAACTGTCAATTAAATCTGGGTTCCCACCTTCACTTCTATGTTCTGGTAGCAATAATAACTCTTCTATTGCCTAAGGTCACCATGGAGACTCACTTTTCTATATCTAACTTCATTCATATCCAAAAGGACATTATTTTGTCAGTTTTACAACATACACAAAACCCCAAAATATTGCAGTAAAAGAGTTACAAATAACTAGGATAAAAAAAGGGGAGTGGGTTGGGGGCAGAGGTTTGAATGTGCTGGTGTATCACATTCATTGGCCATCACTGAACACAATGAACCACATTTTCCCCTCAAAGAACTGCCTTTCACATCCCCCCTAATGCTGTTTTGCAGCTGCGGACAGCACAGGACAGTGTCTTTGCAGGACTTCACAGTGGCATACACGGGATTTCTGCAGCAAGCCACTCCGGTTAGATGAAGGCAGAGGAGGAAATTAAAGGTAGCAGCATTTGCTTTGAAATCATCAAACTGTGTCAAAAGCCTCCATTTATGCTCTGCTTTATGCTGTTCGAAGACAGACTGAAAAAGTTCATTCCCTCAGTGATGGAGCGGGACAGAATGCTGGATACACATGCACTGCAATACTGCAGGTTCAAATAGAAAAGAAGTGAAAGGGAAATAAGGTAAAATAATTTGATGGGGGTTTTTTTGGTGAAGACTTAATGGATAGTCTTTAGCTTCACTTACCATGGCCTGTGAAGAGAGAGAATGAAAGCGTTCAAGGGAAGTAACACAAGTTAATGCCATTATTGCAGAGATTTAAGATACAAGCAGTTAGTAGACACATACTAAGCTTCCCATGCATAAGCTGGCAGAGAAAATTGCATGCATCTTCTCACATGAATTACAGGATATGGAAACTTTGGTCTTTCAGCTGTTACAGCATTTCTCTCAAGTATGAAATTGCTACGTGTACTGAATACGGCCAACAGAAAACCATTTGTCCTGCAGAAGCCTTATTTCACCATATCATACAGCATATGAAACTTGTCCTCATTACTCGCTTGGTTCTTGTGCTTCCTCAGTGCAGAAGCCTACTGGCAATATTGCAAATGGCTTTTAAAATCCAAGCACATATGCTTGTTTATCTATCCTCTGAAATTTCAACCCTCTGGTGAGTCGCCAAACCTCACAGGGACATTATAACTTTCCCTAAGGTATGTGATTTTTAGGAAAATGCTTAAAAATAATGCAGGCCTGAAAATAATAAAATATTTTTTGTAGAATAACAAGGAAAAAGAACATGAAAAATACCTTCATTCTGTCAAATGAAACTACCTACACAACTGTAGCTCATTCTCACTGAGATTTTTTCAAGCACAACTCCTAACCTTTTAGCATAAGAATTAGTTTAACAAAATGGGAAAGCTTCAGCTTCTTGGAAGTGACAGAAACTGTTACCATGCACTGAAAAAGTAAAACCAGTTGCACTAATGGCTATGTGGCAGAAGAGAAACAAACAAATCTCTTACCAGATCACTGACAAGTGGAATTGGCTTTTTTTTGCGTAGATCGGGCATGCTGTCAATGCCATAGAGACCACCTGCAGGCCTGGAAATTCAGAAGGGGACAAAAAAAAAAAGATTTATTAATTTAGGGTTGAGAAGGGTGAAGAGGGGGATGTTTTACTGGAGGAATAAAAATCAGCCAGAAGATTATACTTAAGAAAGTGTAAAGTTAATGCTAAAAACGATTAAGTGTTTATCTTCTTCACGCACAACAATCCAGACATTCCTGCCTGGTGTTGGTAGTTAGGAGGGAGCATGTCAAAGAGGATCAGCCCAGGGGCAGGATGCTGCTACCCATCTTCTGATTCGAGGCGAGAACATAGTTAATCCTGGCCCTTGAGGTCCATATAATTATTAGGAAAAACCTGACATCTGAGGATAAAGGAGATTATTTTTATTTCTATAAAAGAGACCATTTGTGGTGCTCAGCATTTCAAGCCATCCAGACCTGTACACCCAAGAGCTGCCATTTGCTGATGGAAGTGGCAATGGAGCAAAAGAGCCATTATCCCAGCAACAGTCAGAGCCTGATGAAATAAAACACTATAATCTGCTTCCCACCTGATGATGCCAGATTGGATAAGTATACTTGGAACCTGCCGTTCACTGGTAACACAACATGGATGTAACCCTGTACTTGAAGCAGATCTATTAATTCAGCTTAAAGGCCCCCAGCAAATACATCCATCTGCAATGAATTTAGACACTGCTTTTTGCTAAGGCTGGAAACAGAGCACACACTTCCCTGCTGTGACTCCATGCAACGAACACTCAGCCCACCAGGCAAAGCCCCTCTCACTGTCCCTCTCACCTTTCCCAGCTCCACGCTGGTCTCACACCTTGGTAACATTAGGAATATGGTTCCTGAGGCCTTTTATTTGACTACAGAGACTGTAAGGAACCCTCTGTCTCTCCATTCTTACTCATTCATTTTCACCCCATACCACACTGGCTTACAGCTTTTGGCATTTGTATGATAAACTGGATAGCCCTTTTAACCTGTTTGTTTTGCTGATTTGGCACATCTGACCCAGCCAAAATGCTTTAGGACACCACAGTTACAGGAAAAAAGGAATATGGGACAAACTGTTCTTATTGCAATAAAAACCACACATAGGAAATCAAACTGCCACTACAAATTTGCATATGCTATGAAAATTGGGAGGCTGGTTAGTGACAAGAGGCAACCCTCAGAAAGCAGGACCTACTCGTTAAATACAGCCAAAAGTAAAAAAACAAGAAAAAAAAAAAAGAAATTCAGGATGACCAAACCTACATAACAGTAGGCCATGCTTGAGGACAGATGAGGGTGTCACGACACAGGCCAGCACAAGGCTGTGCCAGAGAGGAAAACAGTCTATTATTACAGAAATGTGAGACAGAATTGCAAAAACACAATTGACTTTTTCGATGGGGCATGAGAGGGTGACATGTCCAGGCCAGGGCTGAGCTGACAGCTCCTGCTGGCTGAACAAGCTTGGTGGGAAGGTGAGCAGTCACGTGTAACTGCGCAAACTGTGCTGGCTCCACACGCAGGATGAGTCACATTTGCACGGCAACACAGCCCCTCTGTGCTCCTGACACACCACCTGCAGTCGCTGGGAAAGGAGGCAAACTCAGACACGAGAAAGGTGGAGGTTTACAGCAGTTAAACGAACCTACTGAAATATTTGGCCAAGAATGAGAACAGTTTTCCCAACACTGGAAATCCTTACAGCGAGGCAACACCGTGTTTTTACTAGAGGCTGTCCTCGTTTCCAATAGAGAATTCAAGAAAAACTTTTTGCCCAGGTTACACTGCCATGATCCCTTCTGACATATGATAGAGAAATCTCACCTACATCAAGAAATAAGAGATATCTGCACAGTGTTTATATTGCCAGAAATATTACTGTCAGACTTACTGGGATTAAATATGGAATTTTGTCTGCTGCCCTAATGTTACAAATCCTTTCTGATACTTTTTTGGGGTAAAATAGGTGTCATGGAAGACTACTCAGATAATGCCACAAATCTCAGCATTACTTAAGCCACAACACAGCTTATTGATAAGTTGGGGTCAAAGATTTGTGTCAAATCACTTAAATTATGAAAGCATATACAAAATAGAAAGGGAAAGTCTATAAGCTGAAAAGATGCAACAAAATGATCACAAGTAATAATCCAGAGTCAGTGCTCCTGCTAGAAGTCAATTGCAGAGTTGAGAAATCACACTTCTTTTCTACACGATTTCCAAAGTTTTTTTTTTTTCTAATTCAATTGAAAGGAAACTGTGATACTCTGACATTTCCCAGGAAAGAAAAAAACATTAAAATTGCATGTTTTATAAGTTCAAGGTGAGCCTATACAAATTATTGTTCTCAAGAAACATGTCCAGTTACAACTTGGTTTCTTGCAAAAATATTTTTGCTTGATTGAGGTGTATGAGAGAACCAGTGGTAGGCCAGGATGACAAACATATTTGAAAGGTGCTTGCGCTTGTCACTGAAGGAACAGACAGTTTCTTAGAACACAGACAGTTATGCACTCAGATGACATGCTTTTAGCTTGTTAATATACATAAACAAACAAATAAATAAATGAATAGCAACAACTCTTAATTTTCAAAAGTGTTGTGCTTTCAGCTATCTCAGTCCCTTTATTCAAGCACAATTGCTACCTTGTTTAATAAAATTAGTGTTTGCACAGACAGAGGAACTGACAGTGCTTCAAATATGTAGCTTTATATGTAGTAGGGTAACTCTCCTCTGCAGTGACTGTATTATTTATAGTATTATTATGGAGAGCTCTATTGAGGAGTGAATAGCATTTCTGCATGAGAAGAAGATATGCACTAATAAATAAATTATATAGATATGAGATATTACACCCAGAGACTGATTCATAATACCAGTTGTGCCTTTTTTTGAAGTGATCTCTCCAAACCCAGTGATTACAGACAGGGAGCTACTGTTGCATTATTCTAAAAGTGAAAGTACCTTAAAGCATGTATTCATCTTTTAATACAAGTTTTATCACACAGAAGCTTCCATTAAATCTTGAAAATTTAAGCAAGCAAAGGTGGTTTGCAATGATAGAAGATGACTACTTCCTTCAAAGGACACCACTACTCTAATCTTCATATTGAAAGAACAAACAAAAATGCTTAAATATACTTTGAGGCTAATAAGCCACAACGTGGCTAAGGGTGGAATTAAAAGGTTTACCACCCACAACCACCTTCTCCAGAAATCCCTTGCAGGGAGAATACAGTGAATATGACAAACTTTTGTCAAAAGCAAATTAGCCAGACTGTTTTGTTACATCTTCCATAGAAAGGAAAAAATTACAGACCAGAGCAAACACTGGCTTGAATAGACAAAACACATTTTTGAGTATCTCAGGACTGTAGGTGTATTCATCTTTCAGGCTGGGGAGTCATTTTGTGTGCACGAACCAATAAACTCAGTACACTGTGTCCATGTTAAAGCGGGAGAAGGTGCTGCTTATAGTTACTATAAATCACTGTCTTCTGCTCCAGCAAATTGCCAGTTCTCTACCAGTGTGCTCACCCAAGTCCTGGGAAAGCACAGGGTTGCTAGGCAGCTCCAGGCATCTGCAGGTGACGCTTTGTGGGAATACCAACACTGAAGAACAATAACTCCAAAAGCAGAAAGCCGTATAATGAAGCCTCTAATTTAACTTCACGTTTTATTAGGGAAGCTTCCTTCAGTAGTATCAGAATTAAGTGTGTAGCAAGACAACCTCTTGCTGAGATTTCAGGACAAATCTGCTGCTACTGACTGTCAGCTCCTAATGAGTGCCCCACCACCAAACCGAATCACCCTTGTTGTGTACCAGGCACATAACCTAGCAGCCTGTAAAACGTGTCATTGTCTTTTTTTTTTTTTTCCCCGGGAGGATTCTAGGGAAGCTACCATGCTGGCACCTATTATGCAGAGTGTCATGCTGAAATTACAATCAGGATCTGTCTGCTTCATTTGCTGCCATTGTGGAGAGAATTCACGGCCCCTCATTCTCATCTGTACAAATCAGGCATGATAATCACTGCTTTAAAAAAATACGAATTGCAGTGATTTCTAGAGTTAATGCAGTTTTCACTACTATAATGACCACAGAAAACATTGCAAAGACAGAACCCTTCCCCAAACCTACCTTTTCCTTCTAAGAGCAAAAGACACAGTAGTATTTAAGAGCTACTCTTTCAAGCTCCTGGTGCCACGAGTGACTGATTTAGGAAAAAGAATTTCAACCAGACCACTCTGAGGTGCTCAGTAACAATTATTTAATACTACTGCCATAAGCACCTGTCACCAATACATTACAGATTATACATTGCAAGTATAACCTTGATTTTAACCACAGTTCTCAAAGAGCAGCACAGCCACCTCCAGCTCCTTAAGAGCAGACTGAAACACAGCAGCAGCCTAGCCCTAAGTGAGGTTTAGCCACTTAATTACTTCATTTAAAACACTAGAAATGCTGTTTTAACTTATAGTGAACTGCAGACCTCACTGTAATTATAAATAAAGGGAAATAAGGTCTCAAACCACTACTTACCCTCCTTTGAGCCAGGGTGGTTTTGATGGATCAGCCACATCTTGGCCCTTAAAGAGAGGAAGGGAAAAGAGCAACATGAAATTAGTTTCCAAAACCACCAGAAAATACCAGAAAAAAGTATTTGGATTGTATTCTGAGGAAAGGGTACCGGACATCACTGCATGCTGGCAAATGCATACATAAACTCATTAAAGCACCTCCAGTGACCAAGATGGCAGGATAAGTCATACAGACACAGACGGGCTATGCAATTTCACTGAACGCCTAGGACTGGAACCTGAAGAGCCTGTTCAGTGCACCTCCTCATTCAAAAGGTATTCTCAAAGACCAACTTTTCGGTTTTTTTCCAACCCAAACCAACATGAGTTATTGGAGAGCTCCTATTACTACGAGTCACCACTCAATCTGAATGTGGTCATAATGAGGATGTTATAAATTAAAAGTACTTGTATGAAATGCACAAATGACAGACCAGACCAACATGAACCTTGGTACAAACACTTGTGAGCTCTGCTCATGCTCAAATGTGAAGACTCTTTAGTGCCCTAAGCAGAGAGGTCCCCATTGCAGCTCCAGCCATTCATATCAAAGTATTTAATTTCTAACAGGTGTGAAACAAGAGCCAGTACTTGCAAATGACTGCAGGTGAACTGGGATCTCACAGTCTGATGGAAAACACCACAGACTGCCAGTATGAAGACTCATATTTATGAAGTTCTCACGTTCATATCAGGATTGTATTTATAGACCGATATTCTGTTTCTTTGAAAATCTTCAGCTGACACATTAAATGTGATAAGTACTTAAACACCTGCAATGTACCTAGAGGAAACAAAAGGTTCTGCATAAGGAGAAAATGGTTACCTGAAAATGAAAACCTCTTTGTTCCAGCTACAGGTCATACATTCTCCTGCCCTCCCTGAAAGAAATGCTGGTTTCAAACAGGACTAAGACACACTGCTAATAGCTAACACTCCAAACTCAGATAATTACATCTGCCAAGAGCATAAGGAGGCTACAACTTGACACAGTGGAAAATAAAAGTACTTCCAGCCATGGGACTCACAACCTGAGAATCAACAAAGTAAAGGAGTATAAGTCAGGAAAAAAGATCCAATTTTATGAAACATAAAAGCACTTTCTTCTAGGGATGTGTTCTTTTTTTGGTTTTTTTGTCCTGTGCTTTTGGGTAAGCTGTGCATCTCCAGACTGTTCACAGGTGACAGACAAGGTCTCCCAAGAAGAGCAGAAGTAACCAAGGACAACAAGTTTCTATCTGAGGTCTCGGTTTGAACAGAAGCATAAGGCCAAACTTTGTATCTGTGAGTCCAACAACTCCACGGACAGGTAGATTTAAAGACTACCTAATTTTTATTATTTTATGTTTAAACAGACTGAACAAGATGACATTATCCATAATGGAATGGACACTCCATTGTATAAACAATGGAACAGACATTTCTACAATGGAACAGGCATTTCTAGGCCTGCTCTGCAGGCAGGCCTGCAGAGCAGGCCTAGACCCACAGTCCAGCACAGTGCATGTTTCCCCACAACCGGAGCAACACGTCAGGCTCCAGGGTCCCGAGGGACAGATTGTGCTCTACGTGTCACTGCTCCAAGCTGTGCTTCCAAAACCCCTCAGCCTGAAACCTGTATTTTCTCTGGAGGGATCTAAACCAACTCCTGATCAAGAGAGATTTCATGAAGCAAATGCAACCACATCCTTCTGAGCACACAGGGGAAGACATCTCTACCTTTGCTTTCGAACACTTGGAAGAGCTGTGGCTAGGAAGCAACATTAAAATGGACAAAGGTTTTATAACGGACTGAGTTTGACATCAGATGGTTCAGCCGAGATGAATGACAGAGAATGACAAACAAAGGTGGCAACACTTACTGGCAAAAGGAATTAGTTTAACAAACAAGTTTTCGATCATTTTACCTGAGAAACTCTAAATAAAAGTGAGTGATATTTGAGACATTAAAAGACCACAAAACAGCTTATTCACTGCAGCCTGTAGACCAGAGGAAAAAAGATCCAGGGAAAGCTGTTAACTTGCTGAGCAATAACCATTTCCTACAGCCAATCATGAGTCTACAGATAACACCCAGGAATATGGATGCAGGGAGGGTAGAAAGTGCAATTAGGAAACAAACCTCCATCGTTTCCCAGATTTGAGACATGCCAAGTAAAAACTGCCAAGAGTTCCAGATAAATTATACTTTTGCTCATGTATTTTAATTACTTTTACTAAGCCTTTTAGTCACGCAAATAACAAGAAAACAAGAGAAAGAGCATCTCTTGGGTCAAGATTCAAAGTCATCTGGGTACAACAGCACAAAACAAAAGAGCTTCCAGCAAGTGACAATATTGATGCAGGGCCAAGGCAGGTGATGGATGCATAGAGAAACAGGAGTTATCACCTACTGAAAGCAATGTAAAGAGGTAATTCGCTCCAGGCAGTCCTCTCCCTGAGAAAATGCCAAGAGAATCAGCCCCTGACATCCATCAAACAGGGACTGATGCCTTGAGACTGCAGAAGAGGCAATGCAGTATCCACAGTTAAGGTGTGTGTGGGGAGGAAGGGTGCGTGATGCGGATTAATGTAGGATCATTATTGGCTTCAACAGCTTGAAAGGCTTCTGAGCAAACATGAAGAAAAGAATTAACATGGAGGTAAGTGAAAAACAGAAAAAAATGTAACAGAGGTGCACCAATTTTGAAAACATTTTGGTTTTGTTTCACAAACCAACTATTTTTTCTTTATACTGTAAAATGAATGATAAGCTGAATTTTGATTTCAATAAAAAACTTTTGATGCAATGCCATGTGACATTAATAAGGCCAGATAAGCTGAGGAGGAGGAAGGAGCTTTAAGGTGGATAAACAACTAACTGTAACTGAGCCAGCCATGGACAACGCAATAAGGAAGCTAGTGGGAGTAAGCAGGATCTGCTGATAAAATCTGGAAATGACAAACACGGGGGAATTATTGATACTGAACACATATGTCCAGTGGAAAGAACTGATGGCAGTAAAGACTGCAACAATGGAGGATTAAGCATGGAACAAACGGCAAGGTCAAAGTCCCAAAGCCTGCTGTGAACTTAACTGCATACAGGGTGTTCCTCAGTGGAGAAAAATACGTGACAATGGACTTGAGTCCTAGTCATCACATTGACCAAAAGCCTCTGTGATATGGCAATGTAAGCAGAGAACACCATCCACAGAGTATGTTCAGTGAAATGTCTCCACAGAACTAAAATCATAAATACCTTTGTACTGGCAAGACTCCTTTAGCAAAGGCATAGGAAACCTTTTTACTCTATATCAAAATGAAAAGAATTCACAAAGAAAAATGGCAAAAGCAGTTTGAGGATGTAAATACAATACTTTTGAAGGAGAACAAAACATCTTGCTTACTCTAGATGTGTTTGTTCAATAGGCAGGAGAATGGGAGCAGAACTGCAGCTAATCATAAACAGAGGATGAAAATTCAAAGGTGCCTCACCATGACAGTTCTGTAGCAGCCTTTTAAAAGCAGAAGCAGACACCAAACCTAATGAGTTCTAAAGAAGAAAATCAGGAGGTTTATATAAGATGTAATGGCCCAATATCACAGTGGCAGAGTACTGGCAGTCACCAAGAAGTCCTCTGCAGCCTCTTCTTGCACTGACATATGCAGTCAAAGAACCAGAAGCTTCACTAGCTGCAAGTGCTCGCTCAAGGATCCAGACACCTCCATTAGTGTCAGTTAAACAAAGTAATCTGTTGTTTGCACCACTGGTGTGGGTAGGAACTCTTCATATATTCCCTTCCATTTAAAGAAGGCAAATGGCAATGCTGATTAGATGGATTTGCTGCAGAGGAGGAGTTTCCCACCCTCCAAAGGCAGCACTCGGACCAGGGAACAGCAGGGCTCCAGCAGCTGCTCTAGGAGTTGCACAGCTATGGACCTGCTCGAGTTCAGCCCACAGCAGCAGCCTGACTCACTCACAGCCTGGGCAAGCAGCGGAAGCGACAGGCAGGTGAGAAGAACACTGTAACAACTGCGAGAGCTTTTAGCACTGTCCTTCCCAAAGCAAATGGGAGAGGCAAAGGGAAAATAGACACATTTAACACCCAGTCATCCACATGCTGCATGCCACAGAAAGTGTTTTGCTGGCTTATGCATCTTCTCTGCACATCTCTGTCACTTGATCTTTCCTTGAAAGCAGACACATCAGTCTGAATCTGAAATATTTTATTTTTTTAAATCTCCAGTAAGCACGTGAAGGAGCACTGAAATGCTGGAGAAGCAAACATGTAAACAAAACAGCCCATCATATCTTTATTTGAATTTTTTTATTATTATTTCTGATGCTGCTGGATGACATTTTTACACCTACTGTCCAGCAAATACCTTCAGCTGGGGAAGTGCTTGTCACCCCTAGTACCACGGCATATTCACTCACAGTAAAGCATGCTGCAATCAGTTGCTGAAAGGTCTTCTCCAAGCAATTAAAGTTTCTTATCTACCAAAAACCAGTTAGCGAAACAATGCCAGTGACAGAGCAGCATAAATTTAAGGCCCTGGATTAAACAAGGTAACAGACATGATCATCTAAAGCACAGTATTCAGTCATAGGGAAGGTAATGTTTGGTGAAGCCTAAATACAAAACTAATAGGAGTTTTGTTTCCTTAAGAAAAGCACCAACTAGGCTTACAAGTAATGTGAGAAGTTATTTAACAAAGCTGCAATTTTTAAATTTGCAAATTCTCTCATACACAAGATGATGCTTTAATAGCCAGAACAATTATGTACTCCCGTAGAGGCAAAAATCCATAAAATGGATGAAGAGGCATAAAAAAAATTAAAAATAAAAAATCACCAAGTCTGGAGCACCATAAGAAAACATAATAATATCCCTAGATCTGTTAGCCCTCCATACAAATCTCTCTCTCCACATAAAAGACTTCCTAACAATGCAACTTTCCATCACATTTAAGTACTGTGCGTAACACATTATCCTCTCAAGATAAAAACAGATGTAAAACATGGAAAGCTGCTTTATGATGCTTTATTTAAAAAGATTAAAAAAACAATAATGACTTTTATTTGTTTTGAAAATCATCCTAACTTGCTTTCAAATACCATGCTTTATTATTAAATCTCAAAACCCTCAGTTTAGATATAGGTTAATCTGAATCAGGCTAAAACAAGGAGCAACTGTTTCACTGTCTAAATTAAACTTCTGGTCATGCCTAATTAGAGCGTTTCTTCAGAGGCATTAGCAGAGTCAAACTGAACTAAATTTTCTGAATTAAATGAGTCAGTCTTGTGGTTCAATGTCTTCATTGAACTCAAATATGCTGCATTTTACATGGAATCCAAAGCTGCAACAAGTCAAGGGATTATTTTACATTCATTCTCTATTCTGCAACAGCATCAATTTAACTGAGGACTGAAGAGCCCCAAAGGAAACTCATTCCACTTGATGTATCATCCAGTACCACTTTTCTAATTGCCAGATGAGCAGTTTAAAGGAGGTTGCAGTGGTTTGCACTGAAGCCAGAGGAAGATGGAATTTAACACAAGTATTTGACACCGCTTATCCCAGAGGTGAAAAATTCCTGAAAAAGTATTAATGGACAGATATTTACCAGTAAGAATGAAACAAAACTGCTGATACGTGAACCAATAAAGTTCAGAAATGCAAATTAATCAAACTCAATGGATGAGATCTGCACGGAGGCCCAAAAGCCCTGGAACGTTCAGCCTACTCCAGGAAACCGATTTAGCCTCACTCATAAATCAAAGGGAGAGGGAGAAGCACAGCAGGCACTGAATCCAAGCAGCACGGATTCAAGAAAATAAAACAGCTGAGGATCCAAAAGACAGTAATTTCTCTGTATGAGGTACAGTTACAAACATAACTGTTGACAAAACACACAGCAGTCAATAAAACAATTCTGCAGATCCCATTAGGAGGAAAGAGTCACCTGTTGCCCACAGAGTAATAAGCAGAGAGGTAACCAGTCCATGAGTAGAGAAGTAATAACTGTAGGTATAAAAATCCTGCTCTTCCCATGTGGCACAGAGCCCTGCTCAAAGCAAAGTGAAGCCTGTAGCTACCTAAAAAGACCTGGGATCTGCAGTGAACACCTTTCAGCATCCAGTCTTGCTTAATCTCAGTATTGTAGCCCATAGATGTACTTTTGACTGTAATTGATGTTAAGTGTATGAACCAGAGAGACATGAAATGAAATAATATAACTGAAGAAAAACAAATATATACTTGCTTTAAACAAGATTCATAAAAAGGAAGACTGGAAAGGACAAGATAACTTGTACTCTGCTAGCACGGTGCCTGTGAACATCACACACACCCCACAGAGCACCAAAGGGAGGAGATCACTCCAAGCATTCATGTTCTCCTCTTTGTCCAAGATAATACGCACTGAACAGACTCTTAACTCATACACAGTGTTAAACAAAGCCTCTGACAACCATGACATGCTAAACTGAACCTCAGCGCCTCAGCAGGAGCAATTGGCTACATGGAGACGAGTCATGCACACACAGGGGTTTCAGAAAGAGATGCTGGTTACAAGGGACAACATGTACAACCTGGAGCTCTCCTCTACCTCCTTCTGCAAAGAAAAGAAAAAGAGAAGAAGAAGAGGAACAAAAGTTAATAGACCAGATTTCTGTCATGAGATCTGTAAAATGATTTCAGAAACTGGGGTAAAGTTTTGCCACAAGCTGATAAAACATTTGTGCAGCAAACAGTTTTCCCATGCACTTCTTGGGACATACACCAGTCAACTAATCTCTTTCAATCAATCTCGGTTAAACCAGTCAGATTTCATCCATACCTGCACATGCACATATACTTTTGAGAGCTCTTTTTCGAGTTATAGTTCTTGTTTTATTAACTGAAGAATTTTAAATAATCTTAATACAGAATTGGAACAGCTTATCATACAGGAAAGAAAACCTGTACTTATAGAGAGAAACAAAATTGATTCCTCCTTTCCCCCAGACTGCATCCACTGCCTGCATCTGAAGCATCCCTGCTGCTTCCCTCCTCACCCCCTGTACATTTTGCCCAGTATGAGGAAACCGGCAGCTCCCACGGAACACATTTTGCTTTTGCAAATACCGTAATGCAGAGAGATATTTTCTGGGTTTATACATCTAGGCAATTTTCCTCTGAGAAAAAAAAAATCCAGAAGCCTCCTACACTAAATCTCATGTTTATGGATAGGTAATTTCAGGGCTAGTAAAGTTACATGAGAGTCATACTCAAAACTTCCGGTACAGACATGATATTTTTTAAGTCCGCCAATCAGATAATTCTCTCCCTGCACAGAAGAATCATATTACTCATTTGCATATGAAAGATGGAGGGTAAGGAACATCTTCATGGCAACAGGAGACACTCAAACTGGTTTAAAAGCAAAAATAGTTTTTGAAGTTACTGTCTACATGGGTATAATTACAGACATGCAATCACTAAGACAGGAAAATAGAGAAGCTATTTTAATTCAATTGCTAAGGAGAAGTCAAATTACTTTAGCAAATGAAGTGCTGGATTGTAGCTAAAATAAAACCCCTACTTTCCACCTTAAGACATGCCTGCATGGGTGCTCATTAGGGAAGAAAGCCTCCGGACCACCCTGCAGGCTTCTCCTTTGGAGCTCACAGAGGAGAAATCCCAAGCAGCAGGATGCTGCTGTCTTCTACCCAACAGCCAGTGTGGCAGAAGTCCTGTGTTGTGACAGTCAGCTCGGCACAGACCTGGAGAAGCTGAGGAAATTTGGGGTCCACCCCAGACTCAGGTGGGCATATGTTTCGCTAGGTATGGACACTTCTGACTATTTTCCTCTGAAGTAATTTTATATTTTATATATAACATAATCTTCCTGTCTGTCCTGTTCTGTTAGGGAAAACCGTCTCACCTAGACAGACACACTCCAAGTCCTCTGGTTTTGTCCTTCCTTTTGCACAGTTACCCCAAGCCCTTCCAACTCAAGCCAAATTCTCTCCTGACTTGGTCCGTGCGGTTGTTTCAGTGTGTTTCAGAGCCAGATATTCCTCATTCCTGGGTTTTTAACTCCTTTGTATTTGAACAATTAGATCTTCCTGATGTCTCTCATGGAGTCTCAGAGGGCAGAGGATGCAGAAGACCTGGACCTGTGTCCCCTCTCAGGTTTGCCTTGGCTCTCAGTCATGTCGAGCAGGGAAACCCTGCTTTTAGCCCCCAGCTGGAAATCACTGAGGACAGATGGAGTCTCTGGCAGTGCAACAGCTCAACAGTACCAAGCTACCAGTGAGCATATGCAAGCTACACATTTTTCAAGAGCATGTTCACTTCGCTCATTTGGGGTTGATTTTCCACAGAAAATTCCTTGACGCAGACTAGTACTGCCAAATTTTAAGACCTCAGGGCACTAGTGCATCTCCAATATAGGTCAAACTTATTTTTATACAAACACAAAGCAATAAATCCTACATTAGACTTATTTTTTAATTAAAAAAAAAACCACAAACAAACACAACAAAACATTTTAGCTTAAATTCCACACATATCCTTGATTTCTGAGCCCCATCAATTTAAGGTGGTTAGGGACAGTTTCAGGCCAAATACAAAATTTGACAAAGCTCTGAGTAACTGCAGACAAAGATCTAAAATCTTGTGTCTCAGTACAGCATGTGCACTTCATCAGTGGTCACTAACTTGGTTAAACGCCTATCACAGAACTCTTTCACTATTCCACTTTTGAGCAGTCACCTTACATCTACAAAAATCTCTATTTCAGGACTTTTCATTAAAAAAAAATCAAACTATCTTCATCTTCACTTTCACTTTTTTTTTCTTTTTTCTCAGATTCAAATTTTAAAAGCTTCCATAGATTTTCAGAGGATATTTTATTTTTTTTTCTTTTGACTTCCAGTTAAACACAACAATTATGCATCTGCCAAGTTCCAAATTCTTCCGGTAATTTGCATCTGTGTACAACTATAAATAAGTTAAACCTTTATGCCAGTGCATCATCTCTGATTCACCAAAACATGTAGATTTACCAACACCTTCAAAGTTATCATCCATTCCTCTGCTGCAGGCTGCTGCCAAACATATTTATTTAAATACCCTGAACTGAACTTTTGAGCAGACATGAATTGGGTTTTCAGTGGACTTTACTCAGGAACTGGAAAGCCTATTAACAACAAATTACATTTTTAAAGTGAGACATAAACACTCATCTACAGCTGGGAAAAAAGGCAAACCAACAAGATTTTATTGCATTCCAAGTATGATGCTTTTTCCAAAGGAAGAAAATAAGAGCTTGGCTCAAACTTGAGTACATCAAAGCAGGACATAAAACTGCAGCTTCTCTTTCTGTAAAAATGCATGCCAGGACAACGCCATTTCAGAGTCACAGAATCACAGAGCCAGAACAACACCATTTCAGAGAGTCACAGAATCACAGAATGGCTTGTGGAAGGGACCTAAAGATCATCTAGTTCCAACTCCCAAACAGCTTCCCTGCCTAGCTCTCAGGGTCTAGACTACTTTGCTTCCTGACATCTTCTCCGGGGTTTTTTCCCCAAGGTCTCTTCCTTTTCTTATCCTTTAACCAGTGTTTTCCACTACCCTTGACTCATTTGACTCCTCCCATCTCTCAGAGCACATTTCCTGTGTCACAATTTCATCACACACTTATTTTTATAGCTTCAATAGCCAAATCTAATATGTAGATCCACCTTTACATGAGTGTCACACAAGTACCAACTCTTTGTCACGTCACTAGATGATGTTCAGGAGAACTGAACCAGGGAGGCTCAGGAATGCCAATTCACCCTGGAGCCAGATTTGAGGTACTAAATCCAGCTCTGTTCCTCCTTCTCCTCCTTTACTGTTTTGGCTACTTCCCTCCTTGTGAACATCCCTGTACTGCTCAAACTGCCCTGTACTGCTGAGATGATCAGCCTCCTCTCACATCCAGAAACAGGCTATTTCAATACTTTTGCTGCACTGTGATATATGCTAATCCAAACCCCTGGCTATTCCTTCAGGTCCTAAAATAAGGAAATATGTCCAGATTTGAGCACCACGCCAACACCACCAAAAAAAAAAAAAAAAAGCATGTCTGCCAAGCCTGTCAACAAATCCCAATGTCTCCCTCACTAGCTTTATGATCAGCATAACTCAGAAGGTCATTGGTACAGAAGTCAAATACAGGTTGACAAACTGTTTGTTCACAGTGAAAACACAGTCACTGGAAAAGCACTTGGAGTTAGATGACTCTTTCAGTCAGAAAAAGACCCTTCTGATTACTCTGACTAGCTTTCATGATTGCAAGTATTTGATACACAGAAGTTCACAATAAGGATGTGAGGATTTCAAGCTGCAATTCAAATATCTTCCACTCTTGAAACAAAGCCTCTTCCCTTAACTGTGTAGTGATCTGGACAGAGATGACACCAAGGAAGTGTTCTCAGCGCTTGGAGAGGAAGGGGGCAGATGGAGTTACTTTTCAAGTTTACATTCTGTTTTACCAAATCAAGGCCTATCAAAATATGTCCCATCAAAAGATGCTGGTCAGCTCTATCTCCCACATGCTCAGGGATAGATTTAGCAGCACAGCTCCACCACTGTATCACCTCATATTGGCTCTTCAATATCTGTGCTGGAAGTAAGGCATGTAGTTCCACAGAAATGAACAATTTCTCATCTCAAGGACAAGTTACGGAAACAATACCAAAATACAAGTCTCAACCATTTTGTGTGTGTGTTTTGGTTTTATTTAGTTTTTATTTTTAAAGGTCTGTACTAGGGTAACACCTAGCAGTGATTAAACACTGAGAACTCCCACTTCGTGATAGAGTCACTTGAAGTCTAGATCCACTCAACTCACAAAACTGGATACTTATAGCTCCAATGCACACTTTGTTATCACATGTCTTAGCTATTATATTTAACAAGAAACCAAGTCACGAATTATGATGAAAAACCTTAACACCTGCTATTTTGAAGAAGCACTGCAAATCTTCCTGCCTGAAAAAAAAAAAAAAAAGAAAAAAAACAGAGAGAGGTGAAGCTTGCTAACTGGCATTTTAGTGTGTTACACAATAAATTTTAGGCAGTTTTGTCAGTAGTGTTGAACAGCATAGGTACTTGTCTTTGTAATTATTTGCTCACAACTTCTAATAAACTGTTCACCCACATAATGAGGTTTTGGCCGCTGGCTGCACAAATATCAGATTTTGACATCTCCTTAAAAACATTTTTTTCATTTTACCTGAATTTGTCTCCTCAGCAGAAATCCAGTTTCCTTCCTGTGCTAATTCTTTTAAGAGTCTCCTACGCATTTGTCTCTTTTCCCTCAGCACATTTTTGAAATTGTTGATGCACTTGTTCAGGTAGATGGTCTCTGCGCACACCTTGTCAAGGCTCATGGGTCTGCACTCCTTTGCCGGCTCAGGTAGGGTGTTCACATCTTCTCCAAGCTCCTCAGGAGGTAAGCATTGCCCAGTAGGGATTTCACAGTCAGATGATGGCACCAAACTGGAAACAGGAGGCTCATGAGGAACAGAGGAAAGACTGGAAGGAGCAAATTGCACCTGAGCAGATGCTTCGCTGTTGACATTTGTGTTTGCCTGGCTCTCAGAGGACTGACTAGGAGGGGTTTCTGCAAAGTTGTCAGAGCTGCCACCCATACCTGAACTGGTCAGCATAAGTGTGTTGTCATCATCCATCTGTAAGCCACTATCATTTTCCAAAAGGATTTCAGAATCACTTGTTTCCAGTTTATGAAATACCACCTGCAGAGCAGACCTGAAGTGGTGAATAGCTTTCCCAAGCTTATTAGTGTAAAACTTCATGTCTACAAGATCAATGTTATCCCGGGAATGGTCAAGAAAATACTGAGAATTTTCCAGGACATCCCTAAAGACCTGATCAGTTGGATCTTGATCATTCAGGTCCATTTGGATCATATCTTTCAAGCTGTCACTACTATCAGCCATTTCATCTGTTGTATGATCATAGCTAATGGTTGTCACCCCACTAGAAACATCTTCTCTTTGAATATCAACTTTCTCTGCACTGGTTAGTTTGCATGAAGTATCACAGTCTATTTCAATTTCTTCTGTGGTTATGCCCTCATCTTTTTCTAGAAGGGAAGAGCAATTTTCAGTGACATTTTCAGTGTCAAGCCTGTGTTCACCACCATTATTTGAAGCACACATCTGGTTTGCACGGCCAGAAGAGTCAGATGAGCAGCAGTGATTTCCATCACCTGATTTGGCCAAATTGGTCCCCTGTGGATTTTGCAGAGGTTCACGAAGGACCTGGTGAATGTCACTGTCATCTGAAGGCTGCTCACCGCAGTTTATTATTTGTGTTTCCTTTCCAGTCTCAGATACCGAGTTGCTTTCCTTGGCTGATTTCTGCGCAGAATCAGGTCTCTGTCCTGTGTATTGTGCTTTCCTACTCGTGCTTTTATACTTAACCTGGCATGAGTCCACTTGGAGTTGCTCAACTGCATCAGTTCTCTGACCTCCATCAGGATTCACCGAGTTGTGATGATTTTTCTTGAAGCCAGACTGCAAAGAGACCGAATCTGTTTTCTGGCCATTCTGCCGCTTTTGCTCCTCACTGGTAGCAATCCAGACCCCTGAGCTCTGTAGAAGGATAGACTTCTGTAAAATAAAGTCTCTCTGTTCACAACTGACAAGTTTCACAACTGCTGGTCTTGGTATTAATGGCTTGCCTGTACCCACATCTGATCTATAAGCATCTTTTATATACTTACTGCACTGAATACCATTGAAGCAGTGATACTCAGACAAGAAGCTGCAGATAAGCTCTACTGTGTTTTCACCATCTTTCTCTGGGATGCCATAAAAATACAGTACTGGTTCTTCCTTTTGTACCTCCTTTCTTGGCTCTCGAGCGTGTGTACCCTGGGTTTTGCCACTGGAACCTCCTTGTAGGCCTTCTATCTCACTCAAGACTGTATCCACGCAGCTGGAGACTTCATCCACAGAGCCTTTTATCAAGGTGAGGTGCTGACGGAGCTCTGCGATCTCCGTCTGGATTCGACTTATTCCCTGGAGCTCTTTAACAATGTAATCAACCACATCAGCTGAGCGATCTCTTGATTGCCTTCTACGGCTCTTGTATGCAGCGGGCTTTTCCTGGGGAAAGCACCCTTGCCTTTCAGCTGCATCCCTCCAGCTCATGGTAATGCTCAGGGAAGAAAGGTCCTGCCCCTCAGAGACTCTGCTCTTTATTTCAGACGAGGTCTGTGTGATACCATCAGAAGAACTTCCCTGCGAGTCCTTCTTTTTCTGTTGAACCGAACATGGTATTTTCACATAGCCATCCCAGTTCAGTTCCACCTCACCAACACAAACTTCACTCACTCCTTTGGAATCACGTCCTCCATCCTGATGAAAGTCCCCTCCAGCTGTGGAAAATTCAGTGCTCCCAGGGCTCCTCTTTATTCCACAAACAAACACGTCTGTTTCAATCTCCACTGGGGATAGCTGGCAGCGATGTGCGTGGTTTGAATTATCATCCACCTGGCCTTGAAGAAGCCTCTTCATTTTGTCCCGCAGAAACAAATGGAGTTTTTGCTTCCGGAATTGCTTCCTGCCCCACAGTTTTACAACAGGTTTTCTGTGCAGAAGTGAAATTTCATTTTCTTGCTTTTTCAATCTACTTCTAGCAAACATCATCAGCTGCACCTGCGTTTCTCATAGTGCTACAAGCTGCAAAAGCACACATCAATCACAACTCGCATCCAGTTTTTATTCTGTCATGAAGCAGCTACCGAAAGAGGGGAAAAAACATTACAGTTTGGTTCAGATAGAAATAGCCAAAGTAACTTAAGCAGCAGAATAACAAAAAAACCCAAGAACAGCATACACATAAAATCAGACAGAAAGAGAATGTGCTATTTAGAGTGTACAGACACTGTCTTGCTTTTGGCCACCTCCCCTGATCAGGTTCTTCTTTGTAGAAATAAGTGTTCCTCACTTCCTCTTCTATTCAAGAAAGAAAAAAAAAAAAAAGATCTAAAGAGCAATTGTGGTCATTCCCTTTTCTCTACAAGGTTTGCAAATTACTCTAAGCTTGAGTTCCTGGCAATAGTGCACTTTGTGATTTAATTACCACTCTGAATACAGAATTTCCGACATTAGAAATTCTATCCTTGCACATTTCCTTTCCTTTCAAGTTCACAATCTTCATCCTTTCTTGCTTCAAACCAAAGCAGAAATCAAATTCAACTTGGCGCACTACCAGCTAGCCCACAGGAATTGCACAAAGTGATGTAAAGTGGTAGAAAGATTGGATGACAGATTTTAAGTGTAAAACCTTTCTGCTATTTTAATACTTTCATCTTAATATTTTGCTACCAAACAGTAAAAAAAAAAAAAAAACCAAACCAAAATGAAGCAAACCCAAAAAACCTCAAAGCTTGCAAGCTCCCGAGCTAACCTGCAGTTAAATATGCCACACTCAGCATATGCACAAACAGGCTGAGCTGACAGCAGGAAGATTCTGCATGTCACTTCAACTCTCAAGATTTTGCAGTGGATCATTTTCCCCGATTTAAAACCCCTCTGCAAAGAGCACAATAAAAACAAAAAACTCTCACTATGTTAACTACTCCAAACTTTCATGTGTCTTTGCTGCACTTAGTAAGCAACATAACAATCAGCTTTTTCCTCCAGAGTGTTAGACAGAGATCCATAGAGAGAACCTCCTGGAGCCACTGTGACTGGAGAACACAAGTGTATTTGATGATTCAGTTTGGACTTGCTGCTGAAGCACATATTCTTTCTCATATTCTAATTTGGAATAAGACCTATAGTACCTATCTTCCATTTTTATGATTACCTAGTTCTCAAAAAAAACCCAAAAAACCCAAACATTTTCAAGCTTCACAATGCACAAACCTAATCATCACACCGTCACATCCATTTGCTCCAAAATCTCTCAGAAGCTTTCACCTGGTCCCTTTTTGGGAGTGCATACAATGACGCCCATTTTCAAAGCATTAACTCAAAGTTTCCAAACACTGACTCAAAGTTTCTTCACCTGCACTGATCCCTAGCTGCTGAGGTGCAGAAATCCTCCCTAACATGTCCTCAGCTCCACCTCACAGCTGGCTGTGCTGCTGTCAGCAGTGAGCACGCAGCCTGTTAGCGAGCATTTTCATCGTGGTGAACATTTTGTTTTCACTTTTGTTGCTTCATTTTGTGGGTAGGAAAGGAGAGAGTGTTTTTTGATCTGGAGGAAGGAGCACTGTAAATACCAATGTCTATAATAAGAGCTTAATTAATATGCTATAATAGAAGTTGCATCTGTGCTTCAGGTTGAAGTCCCAGCATTGAGCATCTCAGCTGAACTACCACACCAAAGGCAGCACGTGCCCTTACGTAGGCTAAACAAATTCTCTGTGAGATTGATTGATGGCTGCTTAAAAGAAAACAAGTTTAAATTTTATAGAACTTTCAGGCCATTGGTCCAGAAAAAAATTTTCTTTTTTTTTAACATCTTTCTTATCTAACTACTCCCTCATAGAATAGGGTTGACATAAGAAATATTTTCTCAGACTCTCTTCTTCCACACAGTTTGGCTACTTCCACTTGATTGGGTAACTGATCTTTAACATCAGAAAATCACTACCAGTATTAAGAAGTGAACCCTCAGAGACCAAGCACCTCAATTCAATGGCAGCCAAGAAAAAGGGCTCCACAGTTGTGGCTCCCTACATGTGTTGCTTGAGGGTAGCACACAGAAATGCTCATTTCAAATATTATCCAGCATATATTGAACTCCAAGTGCTAGGAGAAAAGCCTACCTATGCTTCTGCAAGGTTTCCCTCAGAAAGCTCAATCTTCATGTTTCCTTCCATACTCAGCTTTCAAGGTATCCGAGGGGCTTAATGATCATTTTAGTTTAAAAAAATAAGAAATCAATTCAAAACGGTGTTTGCTCTCATTTCTTTTGTCTGCTGCAACACTCAACAGCAGCAGTTTGATACAGAAATCACTTTTGCCTGCTGAACACTTTCTTGCAGGACTGCAGCTGTTTCAAAGCTGGAAGCTCGAGTGCAAACAGTACAATGCTGTCATTTTTATTTCTATATACAGTGTTTGTGGTTTATGTATATGTATGTATGTATATGTAGGTATATATAGATATACAAGAATACCTATTTCATAGGAGATTTAAAAAAAAAAAATCCTTGATTTCATCAAATACCATCAGTACCTTTCCATCTTACCCCAAGAAGGACAGAAACTGTTTCCTCCCAAGATGGGAACAAGGTCAGAGCAGAACACGTGGACAGCAGCTGTAGCTCAGGGGGAAGCCTCCCTACCTCTCTCTACAGTGGGTGGAAATGAACGGAAATTGCTATTTACTACCAAAGAGCAAATCACTGCCCACTTAGACGAATGCCGAGAACCAAGTAAGAGAATCGCCCTCCTTGCACCTCTCCCACAGGCTTCCTCTTCCTCCATTCCCTGCCTTTTGCCACCCCAAACCCACACTCAGGCCTGGAGTTCTGGACATTCGCCCACCTCATTCTGTGGGCTGTCCCCAGAGTGCCTCTGCACCTCCTGCCAGGGTCCTTCACTCCTCCTCTCCACCCAGGGTGTGGGGGCTCCTGTCCCATTCCAGTGCTCCAGACTTGGGTGCTCTGCAGTCACTTGTGCCCTGTAAAGATCTCTTATTCCTCTCAGGTTGCCTGCATTGGGGTCATTCTTTTTTGTAGCACTGATGTGCAAAGTGACAATGAAGTTAATGCAAGTTCAGCCAGGGAAAAAAAAATCTAATCTAGATGCAAATCCTTGCTGAAGGCTTTTTCTCTTCCAGAATCATTCCAGGAGTCACTTTAACACATAACAAGAAATCAAGTCTTTAAAAAAAGGAGTATTTGGATCCTGGTATCCTGCCAGATGCTGCAAGCCTTCACTGACTACACAAGGTTTGTTCTGACTGCCTTGTTAGCAAGCATTTCTCTCCAGAAGAACTCTGCGCTCAGTTCAATGCAGCTGTCTCTGGGTGTGCAGGCTGGAGAGCAGCATACAAAGGTACCATCACTTCTATGTTCCCTAAATTCTCAAAATGAACCAACGCTCGAGCTAAACATGAGGAACACATCGATGCTTTACTTGAGGATGTTTGAGTTATTTTGCTATTTCCATGAGGACAAAGCTGACATATTAAGATTTTTAACAGGGGAAACGCATGAGCTACCATAAACACTGCACAGCTTATTACCTTGTCACTGGACACACTTATGAAATATCCTTGTAATGTAATGTAATATAATCCATGAACAACAGTTACTTTTCCTCCTGACACATGGATTTGCCATGACAACAGGAGCAAAAGCATGGCATGCTAGCATCCATGAAGGAGAAAGGAGAACATGAGAAATCCCATGAAGGAATAAAATGCAATTATGTTATCTCTGCTTGAGATCAGTCATATTATACACTTTGGGCACTTGGGGAAGGCCAGGCTCTTCCCAGGGGGAGGGGAGATGGCTGCAACCCCCTCTAAGCAGCACCTTCAGCTCTGTGAGCCACTGGCCAACATGATTCAAAACAAAGGTAGCACTGTGGTGCCTTCAGCACTGCCCCACACTGCAGTGAACTGGCTGCAGTCCAGAGGAAAAAAAGGGAGTGGAAGCACACACCCTATGTCCATTAAACCTCTGCTAAAATGAGGTGGGTTTATCTTACGAAATCACAGAACTCTTTAGGTTGGAAAAGACCTTCAAGACCTTCAAGTCCAACTGTTAACCCCACACTTCCAAGGCCACCACTAAACTAACTGCCACATCTACACATCTTTTAAATACTTCCTGGGAGGCTGATTCCACCACTTCCCACTTGGGCAGCCTATTCCAGTGTTTGACATACTGACATTTTTACTGAGACATCTTTACCCCACAACATCATGCTAGAAGGTGGGGGTACCTCAGGGTAGATGTGATGTTCAAGGTCACCAGCAAAGAGATATAAAAATAATTAACTATGATCAGAAAAACATTTCACAGCAGCCTCTCTGGCTATTGATTCGTGCTACTGAGTGAAGTCTTTTTGATTAGATTATATTTACAGTATCTTCCACACAAAGTGGTATTGTATTACCTGTACTAGCAATTACACTAGGAAAAGCAATAAAATGACTGATAAATGGTCTTGCTACTTTATAAAGAACCATTTAAAAATGAAGAATACCAATAACTAAAATGTAGGACATTCTGGGAATAAAAAAAATTGGCATTAACAAGAGAAAGAAAATCATGGCTAGGGCTGCCATAGCAACGTCGCCCCAGCACTCTGCATGCTGAAACATTGACTCTTCCTGAGAATATTATAGCATTTTTAAACACATTAATTGCTGAAATAATCCTAACAACAAGTCTTGACAGAGGTATGAAGGGTTACCGTCAGTTTTGCTGATGGATGACATCTGGAGAGGAGCCTGCAACTTTCTAATTAATATGATTGCATTTAATTTTGGGTTGGATCATATCTGAACGTGGCACTATTGCTTTGCTTCTAAGAATGTGTCTCTCTTCAAACCTTGTCCTGGTAACTAACAAAAACTCTAACTTTTGAGTCCTGGCATGACTAAGAAGGTACTGAGCTGAGGAATCCTGGGCAGAAAGCAGGACAGCTGGAGAACAAAACATACTGTTGAGAAACATGTTCACCTCAGGGCATTTTGGCTAAAAGTAAGCTGCAGAAGAGGCACATGGAACACCACAGTGGATTAAAGATGAAATACATCCATGCCATTGAACAGACAGTAGTTACAAAAGAATAAAAGTAATTTTAAAAACAAAACAATGTGAGCAGAGGAACTATTACTCAGCTCCTCATCAACCCTTTCACAGTTCCTCTGCAGCATAGCCTCAACTTAAGTTCTTGTTCAGGACAGCCCCACCTGTAAAACTTTCTTAAGTTTTTAGCACTTCCAAAGGTATTTTCCACGTTTCTTGTACCTACAACATCTGTTTCTATACAGAGCACTTCAATGCAGGTATCAATGACAGCCACACTTCCCACCTGACACGTTCAAGGAAAAAAAAACCCCACACCTGAAATCTTTCCAAAGCAGTTTGATAGATGTGATAAAAGGTCAGGTATGGTCAGTCAGTCCCCATCATGGTGGAAAAATGATCCACGGAATACTGCATATTACACAGTTCTACACCTCCCACATCACAGTTATTTCTTACCTTTTACACAAGGCCATCCAACCAAGACAAAAAAGCACCTCTGAATAATATCTTGCTGTACCAGCAAGCTATCAGTGCAGCTACAAAGTGAAGGAACAGTAAAAATCACAAACTATGAGTGTACAACACCCACTGAAGTGTTCTGAGTGCATTCCTCAATGTCAAAATTTCTGTTGCAAAAGAGCATGAAATTAAATTAATGTAATTAAAGAGTATCACTATGTAGTAGAACAAGGAGACAGCACTCCCTGCCTTAACTCCTTAACACCCTATACAAACACAGCGACCAATACAAAAGTTAAATGTGTCTCAGCTTTCTCTAAAATGGGACTAATGTCAGTCATCCAGACGACATCCCTTCAGTGAGCACAGATGGAGAAGGACTAAGTGGTCCAGGCCGTAAGTCCAGCTGTCTTGGGAAGCCCTGGAGGGCACCTCAGCACCAGGCAGCCCTTCTATCCTTCAAGACGTGCTCATTTCCCTCTGCAGCGCATCCTTCTATCACAGCTTTTCCTGCAAGCTGAAAGCAGCAGTGGCTGGCACAGCGATGCATCGCTCGCAGTAACAAATGAGGTCTGTCACCACCTGGCAGCCAGGAAAAGGCGGCATCCAGAGACAGAAATAGGGGTTGTCCCCAAGCGCAGAGGGAGGCACAGCCTGGAAGCTGCCGACCATGGCAGTGCAAAGACTCATGCCTAGCAAGCAGCAAGCTAAGTCTAAGGCACTTATCTAGTTCTGAGACAATGCTGTGCTGAGAAAAAGGCAAAAAGGATAACAGACTCCCAAAAGTAGAAATCACAGCTGTTTCTGTCGTTCTTATGTAAAAGTTTCTTCACTCCTTAGAAGAGAATACAAAACCTGAGCAGCAGCTATCAGCAGTTTAAGAGCAAATGGAAAACCAACTAAGTTCAGCAGCCCCTTTATTTCCAGAGGTTGAGGGTTTTGTAAACAGCTGAATCAACCAGTAAATGGTTTGCCTAGGACAATCTAAAGCACTAATTATTCCTTAAAACAGATTTATCCCAAATCAGGATCCTAAGGACCAAGCATTATACTGAAAAGACAAGCCAGGATCAAGAAGCAACTTCTTATTTAAAGGAAACAGCTCCAAGGACTGAAACAAAAGTATGAGGGCATGCTAAGCTGGCTGGTCATGGGATCAGAAGTGCCTGATGGAAATGTATGCCAGGCTTTGGGGAAAAGTTTGTGACTATTCAGTTACCTCTAACAAGAAAGCAGACAGACAACTTACAGCCCAGTGCTGAGTTACTGTGTGAACTCTCCAAGTCCTGCACTTCTGGCAAGAACCACCACGAAACACATCCTTAAGAATTTCCTCAAAACTCTTGATGACTCCCTGAGGTCTGCAGCTGGTTTTTCAGGTGACGGTGCCTCAGCTCACAGGGACATTCAGGTAGGAGACGGACAGACAGCACTCACCAATGAATTAAGAGACCAAACTTCTGTTGTCAGGGCAGAGAGAGCACAGCCCTCGTACTAACTGGCGCTACACAATCTTGCTCACTGATTTGACCTGCTCTGCACTCCTTTAGGGCAGACACTTGGTAGTGTTCAGCCAGGATGGGTTAAAGTAATGTATGCAGCAAATGGAATTAGGGTTTTCCAGCTCATGCTACTAAAATGCAGCACTCGGCAACTAAAATCCTCCTGGGGTAAAACTGCAGCTTTACTTCTATAAGCTTTCTCCTTTTCATCTTGAGGACAGAAGACCTCAGCATTCTGTATTAAGTCTTGAGGTTTATCCCCCAAAGGCTCACTCCATTAGCAAAAGAAAGCTGCCCATATAAAGGGAAGGAAAACTGAAAAGATATCTGAAACAGTCACACCATCTGCTCTGATTCATGAGCTTGTACAGCATCCTCATTGCTCCTGCATGCCAGTCATTCCATCTCATCAACGCACAAGCTTCTCAGCACAAGAAATCAGGCCAATGACAAACACTGTGTTAAAAGCAAGCCTTTTCTAAGTGACATTTAAGGAGAATCAAACCAGTAATTTAATTACTTCAAGTTATTTGCTTTTCAAGTGATCAAATTTAATTTATCCCCAAGCCCTTTCCCTTTAACTCTTCTTCTCATAGTGATTTTGATGTCAAATTCCAGCTGAGATACAAACCCTCCTAACAGAAAAGTATGAGAAGTAAACAGACACAACCTCAATTATACCAGTCATAAGACATCTACAATTAGTATCTAAGGGGTGAAAACAAAAACTAAAAAATAGAGCATACAAAGGAACATACTAAGTGTAAATTGCTTTTACAAAGACATTTTTAAATCCAGTCAGCTTCGAATGGAGCTATTGTATTGCTAAAGTAAACACACACAGAGCCCACTCTAAAAATAAAGAGCAATTCTCCTTGGTTGCTGCCTACTTGCAGTTTATACCCAGCCACTTCATTTGTTCCAATCTTTCACTTACCTTGCTGCTTCAAAACAAAAGGTTAAAATGTAAAGGAAATTTATACAATTAATAGAAAACTACAGAATACAATAGCTTGTTCTCATAGAAAATACAAGTCCTGAAGGATTCCTAATCTTGTTAAAGGTTCACTGGATAATGAACTTTTACTATGGAGATTATCAACATATTGTTGGTGTCCCATCTGAGGTATCAGGGAAAGCAATGTTAAAGGCACCGAGAGTTTCCCGTTCCACAGCAGCACTAGGATGAGAAATCACATAAAGTTGAAGGCATGTTTTGAAGGGAATAAAAAATGCAAACAGCTACTAAAAATCCAAAAAGCAAAAAACAGCAGAAGCCAACGATTGTAAAAGCCAAAAATGAAGAAATCCTTTTGGTTTCCAGGAGCATCCCTCAACAGAAATTCTTTAGTTCCCCATCACAGTGCATCTTTTCCCTTTCTCAGGCTGTACCAAGTACAGCTAAAACTTCATCCTTCTCTTCAGTTGTGACTCAACAGAAAATATTGTACTTCAGAGGCAGAGAGAAAGCTGTGCAGCTATTGCTACTTTACTCCTCCTCGTCAGCTGCCTACTGCCTAGCTCCTCACACACACGCAGCCTCCCCGCTTCACTCCTCGCCTCAAAATGATTCTCCACTTTATTATCCATTCAGAAGGAAATGCGAACTGATGGAGCCAATCTGACTAAAGACAAAACGCACTCCTTTGGCACTACGAGAGCAGGCAGTGCAGCACAGTGAGCTGATCTCTGCTGGAAAAGAGCTCTGCCTGACTCCTGGCATCCTGCGGGACTGTGGAGAAGGGGGGGGGGGGGGCTGGGGAAAAAAGCTCAGGACTCAACATAATTAACCAGCTCCAAGAAGATTCTTTGCCCCGTTTATTTTTATCTCTCCTGTTCACCCCCAGACTAACCCACAAGATTCAGCGATGCCCTCGCTGAAATGAATCCAGTTTCCAAGGAAGACTAGTTCTGGTACAAGTGTGGGGGATTGAAACACCCGTTGATCTCTCGTTTCCCAAAAATAAAAGTCACATTGTTACATAAAAGAATGACTGCAGAAGTGTTGTGCACAGAATCATATCCACTCACGTTGTACTGACACTTCTCTCCTG